TTCATACACAAGTCAGTGGAGAATTCACATAGGTGACAGTAAGCTGCATTGAGTCTTTCGAGGTGACAGTTGCAAAATGTAATAAGATTTCATTCTGATCAAGAAGAGATGCAGCGCCACGCATGAAGCTGCATCAACCAGCCTACTTAAGATGACACAAAAATACTGATTTTATGATAACCCAGAACTACCAAGGTCCACCACTAAACCATGTCTCTAAGCACCACATCTGCATCTCATTTAAATGCCTCCAGGGATGTTGGCTCAACCACTTCCCTGGGCAGCCTGTTCCAATCTTGACAATTCTTTAGGTAGAAAAAGTTTTCCTAATATCCAATCTAAACCTCAGGATATTTATCTACAACTTTATGCTATCCCCTTCTGTGCACAAATCTTAAAAACCACAAAAGACAAAACAAACCCTAAAATCTTGTTTTCAAACAAGTCAACCAACTTGACATTTCAGACTGAATTAGTTAGAAAAATTGTGTAGTGTAGTTGGAACATCAGAATGGCAGCATCTACTCAGACCAAAAGCTGATCTAGCTTTGCATACTTCCAGCCAACACTGAATGCCTAAGGAGGGACAGAAGAATCCACCAGTCACATTGTGCTGATGCTTCTGTGGACTCATACCCTCTCCCCTTGAACTCAGGCAAAATTACCAGTACCTGCAAAATCCTGGGGAATGGAGATTTTCATCTTACGTCTGTGCAACATGTGTACCCAGTGCTTTTAGTTTGTTTTGAATCTGTCTCCTTGATGCCACTTAGCTCTTTTACTGGATAGGTCACTGAATAACCACAGCCTTTCTATGCCACTGTTTTTCTTTCTAACATTGTATCTTCATTTGCTAATCCTTTTTTAGGCTAAAGAAGCCAATCTACCTGCTGTCACTGGCATGAAAGCCCTTCTCTTCCTTCCATTGTCATTATCACCCGTCTCCAAAACATTTAAAATTCTACTGATCCTCTTCAAGGAGAAGGGAAGAGATGAGACAGACAATATTAATAACATAGGAGTACCATGGATTTATTCAATCACATAGTGATGTTCTTTTCATCCCCTAAATTTTATTTCCTAAAGTTAAAGCTTACAGTTTTGTAAGCAGCAGACCTTCTGCTTTAACTGGGCAATGCCCATGCTTCAGCATGAAGAGATGTATCTTTAAATGACAAAGCTTTGCCAACGTTAAATGATCATTAAAATTAAAATGATATCATGTAAATAGGGCATTAAAATATACATGTAATTCAGAATGGATTGTTTGATTAGACTGCACAGCCTCACAGACAACTACTTATGGAAGTTGAAAGCACACCACATACCTTATCTGCTTAACGATTTCTGTTATAAGTTCCATTGTTTCCCCTTTTTTTTCAAGTCTCTGTTATTTGGGATGGAATCACCCTGAGCCACATAGAGATTTATCTGCTGGAGTTCTAATTAGATACAGCTAAGACAGGGAGAATTCGAATGTTAAGATTTGCCACTTCCCTTTTAATTTGGTTTCTATGAGGAACTTCCATTTCCTCAGAAAATTTCTGATAGCATGACAAACAAAAAAAAAAAAAAATCCCCAAATTCCAAACCATTGTATTATTTGGAGACTGCCTCCCTCTGCCATTCCTGAGAAGAAATGGTTACCGTCACTACATACACACTGAAACACTAAGGGAAAACAAACAAAACTCACTCTCTGCCTACTCATTGAATCTGGACAAGTCTTGAAAACTAAGAAGGCTTCAGGGTAACAGCTCAGAAATACATCCCTGAAAAAATACAAATGACAAAATACAAATAAACTAAAATAATACAAATATTTTGTAATAGAATCAGATTATGACCTTTAATAAACTTGGAAAAAACATCCTGGCTACAAAATTCTTAAGCCTTATGATAGGGAGCAACATGGATACACTGGGTGTGATGACCCTTGCTCAAATGCTAGATGTTAACTTGAAAAGAGGTGGTCTTGCATCTGCAGGTAGGAGCCTCACCATGAGTGTAACACCAGCAAGAACACTTCTGCAGGGTGGCCCTATTTTCCTGAGCAATGAAGTCACATTATTTCTTCATTACAATTACAGCAAATGGATGAACTTAATCCTGCTCGGGCAGTCTAAGTTCGTACCCTGTGGGTACCCGAAGCACTGATCTTGTTCTATGACTGATTACAAATGTAAAGGTTAGTAAAAATTATTCCTCCTACAGCCTTTCCTATATGTCCTTTTTATTTAATTCCTCTTCCCTTGAAATCTCTCTCTTACTTACTTTAGCCTTAAAATGCCTCTAGTAATGCTTTGGCTTTAAAATTATTTTGTAACCCTTTATAAGGTCTAGTTTTTGTTATCTTTTACATGAAATACAGATTATTCTTTGTTATAAAGCAACACTGTAAGTAAATATCTGGCAAAATGGCTAATAAGGAATCACACAGGCATCTTGAAATCTTCAATTATAAATTTGATATAGCTTTCTTCTCCTGCAAGTAACAAGTCAGGATATTAAAGATGAAAATAAATCTCATTTACTATTGCACTATGGTACATGCCATACCAGCTGATCTGTGATTAGCTGGAATTCAGTAAAGAGTATGAAGATGAAACTGAATCAATATTACAGCCAAAATATAGATGGCATAAGTAAAATATTAAAAACATGAGGCTTCATATGTATGGAGAAAGAAGAACACCTTCCTAGCAATTACTTTTAATCTGTTTTCTTCAGTATTTTTAGCTGTATAAGTGTGCTTGGACTGTATGTAATGGAAAAAAAACAACCAAACCACACACACCTGTAAAATGAATACTAGCTGAGGCTTAAGCATCTTTGAAAGAGTTCTTGATCAAAGTTCCTAATTATGCAAAACTTGACAGTATTAAAGACGGTGCAGAGCATAGTTCAGAGCCCAATATGATAAACTTCTGCCTACACCAGGAGCTTCAAACACCAAGATGCTGGAGGAAAAGGGGACAGTGGGAAAACAGCACTGACGTTTAAGACAAAGTAGGAGAGGATGATAAGGAACAGCATCACTGACTTGAGGGAGAAAGGGCTGGCAGTGGTCAGCCCCACTTAACCAAAGACAGGATTCCCTTCAACAGCTGGTCAACAGATTTATCTGTTGAATTGGCTGTCATCTAGCGGAATTACAGCACATTGCATCACCCTTACAGGTCTGGAGCTGTTTCCCTGACAAATTACTGAACATTTAAATTTGGTATTTATTCTCAAGAGTGAGAATTTTGTATTTTGTTCCCCAAACAGACTATGTCTAAAGACTTGGAAAAAAATGAACTTCTATCCCATCATCTCCCAAGATATTTCTTGATACATTTTTGTCTTTCTAGAATTCTTCTATACTAAACAATCATGTGGCAGGCTGGCGCTTTTTTGAGTTTCATCTAATGGTTGTTGAGATTGAATATGTAAACCAACGAAATAGTTTAACTTGAAGAGTTTTAGTGAATCTTGATTAAACTTTACACAGTGAAAATTACAGGCAGACCAAAAAGCCAGGGCCATCTTCTTGCCTCTTGGACATTCAGACCTCATTGCAGATTCATACATAATCGATGCCAGACAGTGCTAAAAAATGGAAACAAGGCTAATGTGATGAAAAGAGGTTGATGAGCAATTGTCATATTGCATGGCTTGCATGGTTATTTTTGGAAAAGAAGAAAAATAACACATGGAGTGCAACAGGGGGCAAATCAATAAAGTAACAGCCCCAGATTTCATTATTTCTTATGTTGCAATTTAGCTGAGACAACGCACCCTTCTGCGCATATTACACTCATTTTTGCCAGTAACCTACATCCATGACAAGAATGCAGCCCCTGAATTTACATCATTATGCCCACATCCCCCCTCATCTTTTATTAATTATTATATGACAATATTGGGGGCTATAAAGTCCATAAAAGTTTTTTGAACTGAATTCAGTAGTTTCCCACTCATTTGTTAACCCTGTAAGGAAATTGTCTCATGATATATTTATACAGAACTCAGGAAAATACGTATTTGGCTGACTTTAGAACTGCTAGGCTGCTGAAAAGCACTCGCAGTAAATAACATGTTAACCAAGCCATCCTGACAGAGAGCAAGTTTGGACCTCTGCAGTGCCACTTCAGAAAAAAACAGTTTTTTCCAGCACATATGCCAAACCGCTGCTTCATCCTCTGACCGAGGACATTTCAACACATGGCGTCTCACTCTGGGCTTCAGCATAACAAAGACCAGGCTGTCACCCAAAGCCATGCTATTTCTCCCTTCCCATTCCTCCCTTTTCCCTGCCTTCTCCCTGCAGCTGTTAAATCCTGAGGCTGCTCCTTCTCAGGTAGCTAAGCGGGCTAAAACCCAACCAGCACGGTTCCTCCATTGGAAACTAACACCTAGCCGCACCAGGACCAGTCCGAGGGGCTCACAGCCCGCACGCCCTGAGGTACCTCGTCTTCTCACACAAGACAGGGCACCACCTCGGGCCCGAGGGGGTGAAGACTCCCGGCACCCCGGGAAGGGTGGGCCCCGGCCCTCCCGGGTCTCCTCAAACCAGCGTGAGGCTGCGCCGCTGGCCTCGCTTCCCACCTCTATATTGGTGCTGCGGTTTTGCCTTCCCCAGCCCCGGCCGCAGCAAGACCCTCCAGGCAGCGCAGCCCCAGCGCCGACCCCGCCGCAGGCCCCTACCTGTGCGGCTGCTGCCTGCCCCGCCGCAACTAGCAGCGTCCTCCGTTCCCATGGCGACAGCGGCTCGCCTTCGTCGGCCTATCTCAACCGCTTTCGGCCCTCTCCCTCGCTTCTGATTGGCTCTAGCATCCCGTCCCGCTGCCCAATAGAAGCCGACAGAGGAAACGCTCCGCCTTCGCTGATAGGCGGATGAGGTCGTTCCGAGCGTTGGTGAACTACGACTCCCAGGATCCTCTGCGTGACCGGGTGGGAGGGGGTAGTGTCTGTCACGTGACCAGATGGGGTGGGGTAACGCCCATCGCCCGTGAGGAGTTGCTTCCTTCTCGCCTCAGGGGCTCTGCTTCGGGATCCGGGCCCCGCCGGGCGGGATGAGGGCGCTGCCCCCGCACTGGGCACCCCTGGCGCTGCGGGCGGCGGGCAGGTGCTGTGGGCCGCCCGTCCCCCGCCGCCGTTGCAGCGGCTCTGCCGATGCCGGCGGCCGCAAACCCCTGCAGGAGTGGGCGCTGTGGGTGAGTCCGCGGGGTCGGCTGCGGGTGCGGCTGCCCTGCCAGGTGAGCGTCCGCCCGCTGGACCCGCAGCGCTACCCGGACGCGGATCGCGTGCTGGTGGCTGTCAGCGGCGCCGGCGGCAGCCCCTCGCCCCGCGGCCGGGAGCAGGACCGCGTCCGGGTAGAGTACGACGAGGCGCTGGAGCAGATGGCGATCGTGGCGGACGGCCTGGACAGCAAGGCCGCCGTGGACGTGAGGACACCCGTGAAGTTCGGTGGGTGAAGCGGGGCTGGAGAAGCGGCTGCGCGCCTGACTGCCGGGCCTCCCCTCCGGGCGTGGTGGTCCGCAGAGCCCGGGGGCAGACGGGATCCCTCCGTCCCTCCCTCCGGTGGAGACTAGAAGCGCTCTTGGCAGCGATATTCCTCAATGGCATCATGCCTCCTCCAAGTAAGGAGGTTCAAAACGTCCCTTTTTTCCTGAGTTTCCTGACTTCTTAGGTGTTTAGGTATATAATTTATTGTTGACTTTTTGTCAGCAGTTGTTAAAGCTGAAACTTCTGCCATGAAGTGGTAGTTACAACACTTTTATTTTTGCTCTGACATCTGCCGTTCAGAGGCTGTGCTCAGCAGGGTTGTTGAATCTGCCAGCTCTGGTAGTGGTTGTTTGGCTGAGTGATCAGCCACAGGGATCAAAAAAGCCTGGAAGGCAGCAATACAGATGAATTGACAGGAAGAGCTGCCTTGTCTGGTATAACTCTTGCATTATGTTTTTGTGCACAGGGTATAAAAATCTGTGCAGGGTTTCTGGTATGGGACCCATAAGCAACTTGGGAGAGCAGCTGTAGTGCCTAAAACGAACAAACAACTGTGCTGGACTGATAGTGGCTCTTAAGTTTAGGGAAGGAAAAGGCCAAGCTTGCTAGGACAATGCCCTTCTGAGCAGAGCTTTAGGAAACACTTGACCCAGAGGTACCTGTGTTTACTCACTGATGTGGAAACAAACAGATGATGCTGGAAAAAAGAGATCCTTTGGTTTGCTTCACGTCGTTGTCCAAGACTGCTGCTTTTGTTTCATTTGATGCTCTGCTGCAGTTGTGATATAAGAAATGGTGACTAATCTCATTCTGCTTATGTTTCATCAATGTTATCCATGACTTTTCTAGAGCATGGTGTTCTCTTGGTTACCACTTTTTTAAAGCCTTACGTTGAAGACATTCTGCACCTTTTATCTTCACTTACTTTCCCCTCCCCTTTATCTTGAATTATACTATGTAACCTTTTGGTTTGGTTTTGTTCACACACCCCATCCCTCCCCAACACACACACGCACACACTTCTTTTTCATTTGAAAGGACCTGCATTCTCTTTCAATTTGTAGTCTTACTCATCACTATAATTTACTTCTTGTTTTTTGTTTTGATGTTGGATTTGTTTTAACCCTCTTGATAACTGAAGGGGTGTTTATATATATGTATGTGTTTACCAAAGCTTAAGATCTCTTTTGTTCCCTAGCAACTAATATAGTGAGAAACATTCTGTAAATAAAATTGGGGGGGGTGGGAGAAGGACGGAGGGAGGGAGGTGCTCTCCCTCTCCCTGTTCTCAGCATGCTTTACTTTGTCTATGTTAGAATGGCTGTACTAATTTGTACCATTGTTAAAGATATTTTTTCACCCTGGTTATCCCCAGCAAGGTCTCAGGCTTTAAGTCCAATATGGTAATTTGTCTGAGTGGTACAGTGGTAGACACCACTAGGTGCCCCAGCTGACGCCTGCGGGCAGGAAGGGACCCAGAACGAAGAAATGTCTGAGCCTTTGTACTCAGTGTACTGTCTGTGCACTCCTTGTTGTTATGGTCTTCATGCACCTTGCACACACTTCTTGGTAGAATGATGATCTTTGGTCTGGGGTCTTCTTGTTCCTTATTGAAGATTTTCTCTGTCTCCAGACTGGTCTGTACCTGTTTCTTATCTGGATGGGGGTTGCATCTTCTGCTGATAGTGGCTTCCTTGTCTTCCATTTTGTACTGGCCTCAGGGCCTCCCTTCACCTAACTAAGCAACAGTTCAAGAGAAGTTCGGTCATTTGGGGCTTGTGGCCTAAGGCTTCAGCAATTTTACTCACGCTAAGCAAAGCTACTCAGACACAGAGTTAAAAGAATTCAGCAGACTTAATTTACAACACCATTCCTCCAGTTAGCCCACTGTCCTGTCTCCAGCTGGCATAAACAGATGCTCAGGGAAGAGTAAGAACAGGACAAACATAAGTGATATTTCATCTTGGGTTTTTCTTGGCTGTCAGCTGTTTTCAGCTCATCGGATTTTCTGAGCCTAATACAGCTCAGCACCTCAGTGGATCTCTCTTTCTAGTGTCCACTCAAGTAAACAGTTTCATGATGAGAGCTTCCTGGCAAACTCCATTCCTCTTGGCAGTTTGTTCCACAAGGCATATACCATCCATCCATTCAAGTATCCATTCAGGGATAGATACCACTCAGATGTTTTTGGTCTGATGAAACTGTGTAGGCTTTACCAACATAAAACCTTGTAAAGCTGGCCCTTAAGCCTCTGATGATAGCCACCAGTCCTCTTTGCCAGGTTTTGCACTTTTACATGCCTCAAAGTGTATCTTAGCTTACTTAAACGTAAGAAACATACTGTTTGATTAATGTCTCGGTCACATTAATTCTCTTGAAAGTCTTCCGTGAAGAGGCTAAGAATATAGTTTCTGCAAATAAAACAACTTTCCAGAAAACCTGCTTATCCAGTCCACCTGTTCTAGCCCTCTTAGGGAATTGTTACCTTCTAACACAGTCTGCATCCTTCTTTAAATTTAACCTCTTATCTTACTGTGGTAATAAGGCTTCACTTTAGCAGCAAAAATGAATGTGTTTTAGCTCTGCCTCTTGGATTCTCCTGGCTTGTCAGGTGACAAAACTTCCCTTTGTTGCTAATTGGAGCTCTCAGTCTCTCATCTTCGTGGTTTGTGAACTGCTGCTGTCAAGGTTCCAGCATCTGTCCTGAGCAGCTCTGTGACAGTATTGATCTTCAGCCTCCAGTGTGTCATGGGTCTGCCTTGGGGAATCTTGTTGGCATATACGTTGGCAGATAGTGGAAGTGAAAGAAAGACTCACAGGTACTTAAATGAAGGTTTCTTTGCCAGACAATCTCCTTTTCTTCAGAGAGTGAAAGGCTCACTGTCTGTTAGTCCTTCAGTTACATGTCTTTCAGCAAACACTTTTCTTCTTTCTGCCTTTTATCCTTAGAAGAGCAAACCCACTTGTTTTCTGTCCTGCCTTCACTTTGTGCCAGTTGTTATGGTGGTCATTACTATAAATGATTACTAATATAGTCAGAATCCCCAGACTGCACATTCTCAAACTTCTTCCTTGTTCTTTAAACTTAGGGGTGATCCTGAGTGGCAGAAAAATGCTTTTGCTTTTCCTGTGTGAAGCACTATGAGCCCATAAATTATTCACTTGGTAAGAGTTATCTACAGGACCTAGTGACTTGTTTTTGTGAGTGCCTATGAACAGTAATAAGGTAAGCTGATTCAGACTAGAGGCAAACATGCATCTTCATGCCAGGGGTAAGTCAGGCCTTCCAGAAGCCTAGGGAAGAATGACACATGCAAACACTTCTATACCTGGTTTTGTGTTAGACTGCTTGCTAGTTGAAGCGTCGTAGGTCTAAAAGCAGACCTTTGTATTTGTGCTGTTGAATCTTATTACTCTGTGTGGCCTCAAATAACTTGCCAACCTTTCCACCCCAAACCCCATGTCAGGATATCCAAATGTCTCTGCAGAGTTGCTAATAAAATTGGTGACTGGGGTATGAGGTGGAGTTTGGGAGCAGGTTAATAAGGAAAAGAAAACTACACTGAAGGACCGCACCCTGCTGATTCCTTGCCAGAGGTTACAATCACTGTGCTGCCTTGTTTTCTCTTCAAGGTAGATGGATGTACACAGGCTTATAAAATTTTCAGTGTTGATTGTTGATCGTGACTAGTCATGCAATTGAAACTGTGTAGCCAAGCCTCACAAGAAGGTTCTTTAGTAACAAAGAACCTGCTTTTTTCCCCTACTATTTATAGTTACTATATAAAATAATCAAGTACTATGTTAAATAGATTTGGTTATTCTCATTCTGTTGCTAATAAAACTCTTTTAATTCTAGACTTGGATATCAAAACATCAGGGACTGGCTGCGTGAGGATTCAGAAACTAGAATGTGATAACTGCAAAATAGAAACGGAGAAGGGGACTAGTGTCCTGCAGTCAATAAAGGTACAAAGAGCCCTCCCACACTCCATGCTTTAAGAGGGATCATGGGTGGAATATAGTACCTAAACTTAAATACCAGTTCTGGAGATAAGTACTCTGATATTTCTCAGTGTTACTCTGTGTATAGCACCTCACCTTTATTTATTGCATACAATTACAACACAAAGTTACTAACACAAAATAATGTGCAATCAGAAGTCCAGATACCATTGGTGATAGCCAAAGCCAGCAGAAACAGTGACAGCAGTAAGCCTAATCTTTGTCCCCCTGCCCCTCAACAAAAAAAGAAGATGGACTGGGATTTCCTGTCTAGCTGCATACTTTGCAGTATGTGATTTATTTTTTGTGTGTGTTTTTGGTGTTTTTTTTTTTAATAATTCTGATATGTAAGTGCTATTAACAAACCTAGGTTAATTTTCAATCAGAAGTTACACATTCTGTCCAAAATACCTGGCTGGATTATATCTGGTAAATACTGTACATGTCATGGTCATGACCTTGTTTTTTCAGTCTTTAAGACTTAAGCTTTGCTGACATAGGCTTTTATAGGAATAATCAAAGTATATCTAGACTTAGGTGCTGTTTGGAATCGAATTTAATAATTAGGATTGACTTGCAGGAGTGGGTATAAACTTAGAAAAAAAAAGCGCTTTTCAAATAGTATAGTTCCTAAGTTTAATTTTTTTTTTGAGATATGAAAAGTCTTTCCACATATTCTTTACCGTGGTGTAAAAGATGATTTTATAGCATGCATATGCGAAACTGAATTTAAAGGAGATCTAATATACGAGAAAGCTAGGTTTACTCCATCTTCAGTGAACTATAAATAACTTGGAACTTCCAGATTCTGTATAACTGACCATTTTACTCTTAAAAAGGTAACTGAAATCTAACAAGAAGTTAATAGTACTATATGTATTACTGCTACCTAAAGCTGGTTAAAAATGGCTCTGTTATATAATAATAGCAAACAGCAGTACATGAGAAGCTACATAGTATGAGAAAACAAGGTAGTTTGGCCAGTAATAGTGACAGCATGCATCACAATTGTTAAGATTTATTTGGGGGGGGATGTCATAGAAAAAGAGGATTTTGAGGAAAGATAAGTAATTTTGTGGGCATCTTTTCTCATAAACAGTGTGAGGTATGAATAATGTTGAGTTTTAAAAATGAAAAAGTTCTATTTTCCTTGAGACTTCAAATAGCGATGAAACAATAAACTGAAAAAAAGCCTGCAGAGTCACCAGTCTGGGGCTTTTGAGATCAATTCCTCTGTAGTACTCCACTGGATGAGCTTGGTGTTGCTTCTTTACCTCTGTCAATTTTGAGCTTTCCTCAGTTCAGAAAAATGTCAGAAAAACTACAAGCGTAAAAGACGACCCTTCCCCTGTGCATGCACCTCAATGTGTCCACTTTGCTGGTGACCACAGAAGGCTTCTTTGTTCCCTTTGGCCTCAGATGACAGGAATGGCCTGGTCCCAGAAAGCAAAACAAAGCTTTCGTAGATTAGAAGGCTTTGGCTTTTTTTAGCCCGATTAGTTACCCTGAATATTCTTTTAGGTTAGGAGTATTACAATATCTCTCAGCCATACAACCAACTTTTAGTCTAATGTTATTAAGCACTATAGTTCTAGTAAAGCAACTGTAACTCATTTCTTCTAATATAGGTTCAAGAATTATACTCTGTATTATCAGAGAAGCAGAATTATTAACCCTTGGTTTGGTGGTTTGTTTGTTTGTTTTTTTTCCCAAAGCTGCTGATAATCTTACTGACTAGATTCCATAATGCAGCACAAAAGCTTATTTTTCCTTAGGGAGTGTGCTTACTGAGCAAACTGAAGTGATACTGCCCTCCCCTGGACGCGTTAAAGAGCTGTTTAATGTTGCTCTGCTGTCATGCTGTCCACAAACGTCATTGACTAGCAAAGCAGGAGACTTTATTGTTGAGAGCAATAGGTCGTTGATCAGTGACTTGAATAGTCCTCACATGACCATTTTTTTTTTTATTTAAAGAACACAGGCAAACAGCTTCACAGCTGCTGATTCTTTTACCTTGCCACAAAGTTGTTTGTGTAACTTGTAATTAAAAACTTGATTTTGGGGTATGGTGTCCTTACAAAAGACCTAAAAAATTGACATCCACTTTCCTTAATCATGCATGCTAGCAATATAACAGAAAAGATGAGTATTCTGTATGAGTTTTTTAATGGATTTTTGACTGGTGCTTTTGGTGGGATAGGCATTATCTAGCCAGTGAGATTTGTTGAGGGTTGTTCTATTGAGATCTTTTTGGTGGTGCTTGTTTTGTAATTGGCTAAAGCCCTGTTTACCCTATCCTTTCCAAGTCTGCAGGTCAATTGATTCCAAAAAAGGGCTAGAACTTCTAGGTCTTCTTCAGAGTATTAATTATTCCCGAATTCTTTTCTGAGAAGGCAGTGCCACTGCTTCTTAATTTTTAATCCTGCTTTTTATTACAGTCCATCAGCTTAGCAGTGACATTGGGACCAAGGAGATCCTTGCATTTTGTTTCTATGTTCAGTGGTTACTTCCAGCTTCCTGACTGTGCCAGTGATGACAAGAATTCCAGGTGTCTTCCACACAATCAGTGGAAGACCTGCAATGCTTCCTCACCAGACACCATGTCTGAGCATGATTTGTTAAAGTCCTGTACCACCGTCCTTTCTTTCTTTGAACTGAACAAACTCTTCTGTTTTTCTTTTAACATCTTTGACTTCCTTGGCAGCCTTTTACCTCTTCCTTACTCGGACCTTTTCATGTTGCTAGGAGAAGCCCTGTGACAATTTAGTGTTCCTTACTTTCAGTGAGTGGAATATTCACTTTTAATGAAAAAGCTATTTGATCATTATAACTTGCATCCTCTCAGCAAATCCTGCTGTCTGTTAGGTGTCTTGATGCCTACCTCTGAAAGCTTGTGAGGTTCATGGTTTTGTTTTGGGGTTTATTTTTGTGTGTGTGTTTTGGGTTGTTTGTTTTTTTTTAAGAGATATGCATAGTCTAATAATTCAGGGGGGGAGGGAAGTTGAGACATCTGTATCTTATCAGAACATTTTTGTCCCAAAAACTATATAGAAAAAAAAATCCTTTTATTAAAAAAAAGGAAAGAAAAATTGAGGAAATAAGTGTGTATGTCATGGTTTTATTTTGCTTAACTATCAGTGGCTATACTGATAAGTCACTGCTCTACATTAATTCTTATCTTATGAATTCCCATATTTTCCTGGTGTTATGTGCTTGGAGGATTTGTTCTTTAACCATTGTTACGATAATGTGCCAGATGAAACTGCCTTGAAAGAACTGTGCTGTCTGACTGAGGCATCTAATTTAACTTTATCCTTTTTTTACTCTATATGGAGAGAATCATCTATTATTTGTACAGAAGCTTAACTACACAGCTGAGTTATTTGCAACCTTTAAAAGGTCTGAAGCACTGCTGAAGTCTAGTTGGGGCATTGCATTTTACTCTGAAGACCTGTTTGGATTGTGAAAACCTTGAGATTGTAATGCAGATGTATGCAAAATACCTAATTTGAATTAGTATCTGGAATGAAACACCAGGATCTGGTTCTACTTGCAGGCCTAGGGTTTGCACTGGTATGCACACATAGAGGTTTATGGTTTTACATACTACTCCAAGCATAAGTAGTTTTATAGTATGTTTGTATATCATTGTCCTATAGAATTTTGTGAAACTGTAAGTTTCAGGTCAATGGAAGGCTTCAGTTTGTAAGTTCAGTTCTCACTGCCAGCTTGTTCCTCTTGTGCGTCAGCACTGGGTATGTACATTACCTTGGTTTCTGGATGGAGCATAAATGAAAAACAAAGTTTTCCCTTTCGTTGCCTGCTGCTTTATATACTCAGTGAATGTTTTTCTAGTTATAAAAACCCAAACCAACCACCCAGAAAAACCACTTGTATTGAGAGTAAAAGGTTCCTCAGCATCCTTCTTTCCCTTGTGTTTCTGGTTATAAAGAAAGGTGATTGGTTTTCAGTTTGACTACATTGGAAATAATCAAACACATTTGGCGATAACTTGAGGAGAAGGCTTCACAGTAAAATGGAGTTTGTGATCCAAGGTGATTATTGTGGTACAGCTTGAAAACCAAGATAATCAAGATAGAATCTTGTTATGATTATCCTAACCATAGGATTTTTGAACTTTTTTCCAGAGCCATAAAATAGATATACGGACAAACGGTGGCAAAGTAATTGGTCTTGGAACACTTTATGGAAATACAGATATTCATGCAACAGAGAAGGGTGTAAGTAAGATGTAAAACTTTCTCTTTGGCTTATTGAGCTTCTCTGCATAATGACTAAATTTTCAAGAATGTGCTGAAGGGTGTGTAGTGACCCTCACTGTCTGTCATTTCACTGTTAACTGACAGTTGTCTAATTATACTATCTTATGCTTAATTTGGAATAGTGAACAGGCTGCACAGAAAGAGCAGTAAGAAGCATGTGATCATTCCATCAGCACAGAGGCATTGCTAGCTGATACAGCTCATTAGCTTTAATTCTGTAACCCTCACAACACTCTTAAACATTTTATGTGGCTGGTATCTAGACATCTGGATTCTGCAGTAGGCCCATTAATTTATTTTAGTGTCTCGTTAATAGTGGCTCAATATTTGTCCATGCTGTAAACTTCCAGCATTATATGATTGTAAGAACGGGAGAGTAGAAGGTTTTGTATCTTTCTTTGTAGTTGAGGAAATAAAATCACATGTAATCTTGTTATGAGGTGCAGTGAGAAGAATGAACAGGAAAAGTTCTGTAGAGAAGTAGCTGGCTTTTTTCAGCAGATGGCAGTATGAGACAAATGTCATATTACTCTAATCTCATTTTGCTTCTTGGAATAAATAGTCAATTCTCTATTATTTAAAATTATGTAGAACTGGGCTCCCTTACATAATACTACAGTTCTCATATCCAGTCTGGTTTTTAGGCTCAACTTGAATTTTTAAGCGTTGTAATGTCTATGCAACTGGTTGCATCAGGATTATTACATCTGAGCCAGCATTATATGAATATGTGGAGCCAAGCCAAATCTAGAAGTAGCTTAGATGCATGCAGTACTCTCTCAGAATCAATAGGTATCCTTAAACTCAGCAACTCTGGGAAGAATTGGAAAGAATGCAGGTAGCTTTCCCTCGCCAAGGATAGAATTGAGACCAAGCTGTTAAGTTCTAGGAGTCCAAAACAGCCTCTGTGAAGTGCTGTTTGGCACTGTTTTATGTAGATTGTGTTCTGAGATCATATGTTCTGAGATCATGTGACATAGAGCCAGCTGTGAGCTGTTCTTAAGGTCCTGCTGTAAACTAAGCAACTTGGCATTGGATTTTCCAAGAACTGTTAATGTTTCATTACCTGCATTTTTGGAGTGGGTGCTAGCCTGTGTTTTATGTACAAAGGAGCTAGAGACTGTTGTACCTGTACTGTTGTTGGGGGTTGTTTAGCCTGGGGAAAAGGAGGCTCAGGGGAGACGTTATTGCTCTCTACAACAGTCTGAAAAGAGGTTGTAGTGAGAATGGTATCTAACTTTTTCCTAAGTAATGAGTAATAGGATGAGAGGAAATGGCCTCAAGTTGTTTAGATTGGATGTCAGGAATTCTTCATCTAGAAGGTTGTCAAGCATTGGAACAGGCTGCCTAGGGAAGTGATTGAGTCACCATCCCTGAAGGTATGTGAAAGACTTGTAGATGTGGTACTCTAGTGTCGTGGTTTAAACCCAGTCAGGTAACTCATTCACTCACTTCCCCCCCTTTCTTGCCTTCCCCCTACTCCCGGAGGGACGGAGAGGAGAATCGAAAAGAATGCAACACCCACGGGTTGAGATAAGAACAGTTTAGTAACTAAGGTATAACACAAATCACTACTGCTACCACCAATAATAACAACGATAAAGGAAATAACAAGGGAAGAGAATACAACACCTCAGCACCAGCTGACCGATAACTCGCCCCCCAAGCCCCACCAAGCTCTGACCGATACCTCCTCCAACCCTGCAGTCTCCCAGCACTTCCGTCTAACTCCCAGTTACATCCTGGGCATGACGTGCTGTGGTATGGAATACCTCTTTGGTCAGTTTGGGTCAGGTGTCCTGTCTCTGCTTCCTCCTGGCTTCCCCTCCTCCCTGGCAGAGCATGAGGCTCACAAAGTCCTTGGCCAAACCAAAAGATCGCTATCAGCTCTGTTCCTGAGATGAAAGTCAAAACACTGCACTGCACCAGCTACCAAGGAGGAGAAACATGACTGCTACTGCTGAACCCAGGACATTATCCACCCCTTATTCCATACCATTCACGTCATGCTCAGATCCCACATTTTCAATACACCCATCACTCCACTCTTATCTATGTGCATGGACCAGTAGCTATAAAGCTGCTGAGTCCATCTGGTCCATGATGTCAGGCTCCATCTCTTGTAACAGTCTTCCAGAGCAGGAGAGACTGTGTGTAGTGTTCACACTCATGAATAACCTGGGCAATAGTGTCCATTGCTAAGTCCACCCCTCGATCATGAGTCCATCTCTGTGTTGCATCTTTGCTCTGATGGCCTGAAGTGCCATGGGCCCACCAGGCTTAAAATAATTCACTGTCCCCTTCAGCAGTTTCTGCAGCTTGTTGCCGGGCACTCCATACAGCTGCCTTCCATCTCCAACGCTTCCAAAGCACTGGAGGGGCCCAGTGGACTAGATACTTGCCCATACTGTCCCACACACCCTGCCACTCATGACTGTCCAGCCTTGGGGAAAACCTCTTGGTCCCCCTATATTGTCGTCTAACCCCAGACAAGACCCAAACCTGACTCTGCTTAACTTTTGAGATCAGACAAAATGGTTGTGGGTAGAACACAGTCTGTGTGTGTGCCAACATGCTGATCCCCATCACAATCAGCAGGCAGGTCCCAAGGATACCCAAAGGCCATTCAAAACCTTCAGAACTCTCAGTTGATGCTGCTGTACTTGTCACTGGGGCTGGTGTAGCTGCTGTGCTTGCCGGCTCTCCCACCACCAGCTTCTCTTTTCCTGAGTCCAGCTCTTCCTCCTCTGCCTTGCTGGGAAATGCTGCGTGGTCTCCTGCATCCTCCTGGGGCTCGGCGGGCGGCTGCCGGGGAATGCTCTCGGCCGTCGCGGGGCTGGGCTCGGCCGCGGGACTCGGCTCCTCCGCGGGGCTCGGCTCTTCCGCGGGGCTCGGCTCCTCCACCGCCTTCTCCCGCTGCTCGGCAGCCGCTTCCTTCTGCTCCTCGACCGCCCCGACCTCCTCCACCGGCAGCCGTCCCCTCGCGGCCTCCGGCCCCGCTCCCGCCGCCGCTTGGTCCCCGGGGCCGCTCTCCCGGGCCGGTTCGGCTGCCGCCGGCTCCCGGGGCCGCTCCCCCTCGGCTCCCCGCAGCCTCACGAAGATGGAGAGTAGGGCGAGGGCCAAGACGGTGAAGAGCAGCCGGACGGCCAGGTACAAGTCCACGGCCACGTCCGTCCCGCCCTGCTGCTGGAGCCCGCCCGTATTACAAGCCATTGCCATAAAGCACAGTGAGACAAGAACCTTAGCCCAGGCCCCACACTTGATAAACACTAACACAGCAAATACCGGCTCTAAGTAAGTTACAACATTCTGAAGCTGTGAGATCAAGAGAAACAACTCTGAGAGCCAATAAATCAGCATTGTGACGAGTGACTATTAATCCAGTCAGATCTGTCGTTATCTCAACCCTTCATGCCCCACGTTGGGCGCCAAAAAAAAGTGTCGTGGTTTAAACCCAGTCAGGTAACTCGTTCACTCACCCCCTCCCCCTACTCCCAGAGGGATGGAGAGGAGAATCGAAAAGAATGCAACTCCCACAGGTTGAGATAAGAACAGTTTAGTAACTAAGGTATAACACAAATCACTATTGCTACCACCAATGATAACAACGATAAAGGAAATAACAAGGGAAGAGAATACAACACCTCAGCACCAGCTGACCGATAACTCGCCCCCCAAGCCCGACCAAGCTCCGACCGATACCTCCTCCAACCCTGCAGTCTCCCAGCCCTTCCGGCTAACTCCCAGTTACATCCTGGGCATGACGTGCTGTGGTATGGAATACCTCTTTGGTCAGTTTGGGTCAGGTGTCCTGTCTCTGCTTCCTCCTGGCTTCCCTTCCTCCCTGGCAGAGCATGAGGCTCACAAAGTCCTTGGCCAAACCAAAACATCATTGTTATCAGCTCTGTTCCTGAGACGAAAGTCAAAACACTGCACTGCACCAGCTACCAAGGAGGAGAAACATGACTGCTACTGCTGAACCCAGGACATCTAGGTACATCTAGGAGATGGTTTAGTGCTGGGTTAATGGTTGGACTTAATGGTCTTAATCATTTAGGCTGGAAAAGACCATTCTATAATTGATATATTTTCATGAACATTATTGCATCCCAGCAAGACCTCCCACCATAAAGCAGAGTGGGTAAGGCCTCACTGTGGTATGACCTGATGATGCCATAATTGGATTAATCAGTTCTAATTCATTGGCAGTTCCATTGGGACTATTAGTAGTTAGTGGAGTTAGGATCTGTCCTAAGCCATTAACAGCCACAGGGAGTAGAATAGGGCAGAGGTAGTCTACACTGTTCTGGATGTATCCTCCATCTTCCCAGAAAGGGTTTCTGTTGGAAGGATCTGAAAACTGGCATCCTTGCTTTCTACCAGTGAATAAGACTGAATGATTCCTGTGGAGTCATGCTGCTCACACATACTGGCATGGTAGTGGTCTTTAGAGTTGTGCTGTTAGTCATTTGTCCCAAAGTAGTTTGTTACTCCAGTGCAGTGCATAGCGTTCATTTCAAGTAGCATCTCACTGGAGTTGCTAAAAACAAGTGGATGGTAGAAAAATAATTAGATCTGCATTTACATGAAAATATTTCATGAGAATGAAAAATACAGTTACTTTGCTCTGAGTCTTTGCATGCTGTTGTCCTTTTGAAACAATAAAACAGACTTCATGCAGATTGAGTTGGGCTTCTTTGTGATCATAAGTACAAATATTGCTAGAATTCACTCTTAGAATTGTAAAGTTGTAGTAACTTCAGTGAAATAAATTATTTTAACAAGAATTTACAGCTGTGGAACAATCTTTTGGCTTATGTTGTTCAACTTCCTAATAACAAACTGCTGTATAGTTAGGAAGGACAGAGTGAGATTTCTTTTCTCAATTGACCACTCATGTTAACAGATCAACCTTACATCTCCTGTGTGTGTTTGTATGAGATGTTTCTTAAACCAGTTGTAGTCATCATTATGTAATTATGACTCTGTAGGCATTTCCAGCCCCCTCCTGAAGGTGGGGAGGGAAAGGATGTGGTAAAAGGCACGAAGCACTTGGGAAACAGAATATTTTTAAGGGAGAAAATGAAGAAGGCACTAGTAAAATATTTGAGCAAGGATGGCACAAAAAGGAAGGCCAAGAAGAGGAATATGTGGGGAAGATGATGTTTATGTCTTAGTTAAACATAGCAAGATGTGTTCAGGTGCAAACCCAAACATTCTCAGTCTGATTTATGAAGATAGACTGACACTTTAAGGGGTAAGAAACTGGAACTTAAGCATGTGGTCAGTCTCAGTAACTACAATCTCCCAAGGCTCTACTCTCAAGGGGAGGAATTTTTCCAGAAAACCTAGTGGTTCAGTGGACAAAAATAATCAAATTTGTTTGACTGGGGAATCATTAGCTAATCTGTGCCGCAGGGACTTTTCTATAGTGCTTATTTAACAGAGCCAAACAGCTATGTTCTGCCAAAAATTCATAAAAGTTTAAGAATTTGGGGTTGAAAACATAGTCTCAGTAAAAAATAATCCCATTTTTTTTACACTTTTCCTATCTAGGATACATTTTTAGTTTTATACTTGAGCAGTCCAACTCCCCTATCTTATTTCAGTTATTCTGAAACAAATCTTCATTGTATTGGTGGTTGGTTTTGCTTTATTTTTTTATAGTATGTATGTAAATTATTGTAAGTTAATGTGTCTTGTTACATTCTTGGAGACCTACTTGATGGTGTAACATCAACTTTTCCTGTAATTTTCTTTACTAATTGATTTTCTTTACTGTAAGGGTGGTGAGGCATCGAAATGGGCTTCCCAAGGAAGCTGTGAATGCTCCATCCCTGGCGATGTTCAAAGCTGGATTGGACAGAGCCTTGGGTGACATGGTTTAATGTGAGGTGTCCCTGCCATGGCATCAGAGAGATGATCTTAAGGTCCTTTCCAACCCTAACTATTCTATGATCACGTCTTGAGACAGTAGTCCAGTCAGTATTCTTATGTGAGAAGATGGTGTAAAGCTCAGTATGCATGGATTGGTATGGTCACAGTGTAATTTGATTGACATACAGTCCATACTAAACCAGCCTCTTTGGCTCACGTTTTGGGGCACAGTACAGCATGGATTTTGTGAAACACTAGTTGCTGTTTGTCAGAATACCTCATACTTAATCCATAGCTTATTCTTTATGTAATAAAACACAGGAAGGGTCAGCAGACTTTTGTATGAACTTTTTTTCCACAAGATGACAATGCTAAAATGAAGTGGATTGAAAGTGTTAAGTATGAACTGTTGAATGATTGCATCGTAAATCACATTTAACTGGGGAATAATACGAGTTCAATTCATAAGGTAGCTGCATAATCATGTAATTTCCTCTGTTTTTTTCAGATAGGTTGTCACATGACTAGTTACTGGCAGACAGATGAAAGCGTAGAATCATAGAATGGTTAGGGTTGGAAAGGACCTTCAGATCATCTAGTTCCACCCCCCCTGTCATGGGCAGGGATATCTCGCACTAGACCATGTCACGCAAGGCTCTATCTAACCTGGCCTTGAACACTGACAGGGATGAAGCATTTGCCATGTCTTTGGGCAACCTGTTCAAGTGCCTCACCCCCCTTGCAGTAAACAACTTCCTTATATCTAACCTGACCTTCCCCTGTTTTAGTTTAAACCCATTACACCATGTCCTATTGTTACAATTCCTGAGAGTCCCTCTCTGGCATCCTTGTAGGCCCCCTTCAGATACTGGAAGGCTGCCATGAGGTCTCGATGCATTTATCACCTTTTATTTTCCAAATCTGTCCATAATGCAACTTTTCAAATCTTATCCTTCATCTCCATTTCTATTGAAAAGAAGTCAAAATGGATATCTATCCCTCATTTTCAAGGCTTTGTATAGCTTAAGGCTTAAGTCCAAGAATAGAGGCCTGAGTAACTGAGATAATATGAGCAACTATACTGAGGAAAACTGCAGCTGTGGCTTTTTTTGCAAACCTTCACCAAAGCTATGTCTATAAAGTGACCTAGTTAAAAATCTGTGTAAATTGCTCTATGTAACAAAGGCAGTGGATGTTTCAGTATGTGGTGACAGAAAACTGATTATCAAAGCTTCAAGCATCATAATGCTGCATGAATGTTGTGTCTTCATTATTACAGCTAATCTGTTTGTTTACTTCTAAAAATTAAGTGATTTTTCTTAAAAATAGATCATTTTGTGACTGTTTGGGTTCTTCACCTGTATGACTTACGTAGTAATTCATTGGAATGTTGTAATGAATCATTAACTTTCTGGTCAGAGCTCTTGGTTGTAAAGCTGTTTTGTTTTGTCTTGTGTAGCTTTTAACTGAGAACATGACTCTGTTCTGAACCAACAACTGCTTTCCATTTGTTTTGCCTCTAAATACTATTACTTCCCTATGCCTTTTCAAACTGTGATGCCAGGTTTTCCATTATGTTTATTTAAGTTTATTTCTCATAGAGTGTGAATATAGAGAAGCTGCAGGGGACATCCATCAACATATCTACTGAAGATGGGCTGCTGAAAACAAAGTATCTCTATGCAGAATCATCACGTCTGTCTTCAGTAGCTGGTGATATTCTGCTGGGAAGTATTCATGGTAAGAAGAAAATACTGAGCAAATTTGTCTGCTTTGAAGGTGTACATAATGTTCACTGTAACAAATGGACTAATACTATAGACTGTTACTAAATCAACTGTGCACAGTGTATGAACAAAACAGTTCTGTCTGTTAGGGGCAGACTTGAAAATAACTAACTTATATATAGTATGCTGCATTTATTTGTTTTTAAAACAACTTTGTAAGCATACTTATGAAATAGCAAAAAGTGTATTTTGTAGGAGAGAAACATAACACATACTAAGGATGTAAAACTATTTTAAAATTCAGCAATGAAAATTATACGTAGTAAAGAGGTTTTTCTTCCCCTCTCTCCGTCCTTTCTTCATAGAAGAAGTAGCTCTTACTGCATCTGCTAAGAAGTATGGTTGCATTTAGTTTTTAGCAGAAAATGGTCTCTGTCTCTGCTGGCACGCTATACTAATAGAGTGGTGACAGTTTCTGTTCTGTGATTGGGAGTGTGAGGAAGGTCTCTAATCCATCCACCTTTTAATGTCCTTCACCTAGAACTAAAACTAACTTGATAATCTTTTATTTAAACAGCACTCAAGGTTAGAAGCTGGTGTGGTTTTCTAGTTTAACAAAGTTCCCACTGAATTCTGCCTGTGCTGTAGTGTGGGTTTGGTGATTTAACATCAAGTAAAACAAACTGGGGGATGTAGAATAGAATCATAGAATAGTTAGGGTTGGAAAGGACCCCAAGATCATCTAGTTCCAACCCCCTGCCATGGGCAGGGACATCTCACACTAAACCAGGTCACCCAATGTGACAAACGAGTGTAACAATGTACAAAGAGTGAAAATTACTGGGGTCAGTCAGAGTTCCAGATTTACAACTTTATGCCTTAGAAGCAATTTGCTGCAATTTTGTAGCAGTTTTGTGTTGTCATCTTGAGAAATGACTCTTCCTTAAAGGAGCAAGTCCTTTGTCCATTTATAGTAAATTTAAGAATTGTTTCTAAACCTGTTAGGTAAAGTTCACTTCAACATGCATAGGTAGAAATAACTTTTTCATGTTATTGAATTTTTTTAACATGTAGTCTGTATTGTTACATGTACTTCTGTCTCAGCTATTTTGGTTTGGTTTTTATAACTTCAAACCCATATAATGATGTTGCGAGCTGATCAGTGTGTGGGCATGGTCATGCCTCAGTGCACAGCCAAAAGCTTATTTTGACAAAAATGATTAACTGCTGTAGTTGGTGACTTCCTTAGTAATGCCTCATTGTCATCTAGCTGAAGAGCAATATGAAAACAAATAGAATTGTGTCCAAATTACACAGACGTTTCTTATGTCACTTCAGGATTATTTTTATGAGCTCTCTATGAAATGGGTCTGGAACACCTAATGTTATTTTAGCTGTTTCTTTTCAAAACAATTGCACACTAACATTAGCTTGGCTCTTCTATTTTTCCAGAAAAAATATCCTGCAAAACATGCTCCTCAGTTATATTTTAATAGTAAAAGCAAATACTTTTAAAGTATTTTAAATTATTATATTACATATATATATGCACACAAATGCATAAATACTGATGGAAAAGATAAACTCCTTTCATAATTTTATGTTAGAAAACAAGTGGCCACTTCTGGTTTTTGCTCATAAGGTAGCGTAGTTTGGTTTGTAAACGCTTGGAAAGATTGTTTCTTGGGCAGTTAAGTCCACTGTTTCCTTATAGCTGACAGGATGCTGGTACTATAGTTGGCAGTAGTATGCTTCTCAATACCCTTCTCTGACCTCACCTCAGTACCTCAGTGTCTTTTTTGACTGGGAAGACCCAAATTGGACACAAAATTCTCTTATGAGACTGCATTTGAAGTATTACGTGCTGGATATGCTTATCATACAGGTAGTGATTCGTGCAGAAGTTGGTGTATATCACAATGCCAGGTCCTTACCTGCAAAGCTTCTTTGCAAACAGCAAGTACTCAGCTTTCACTGCCTTACAGGGTTGTTTTGTCTCACGTGACAGACTTTGTTTGCTTTTGATCTGTTCTTCTGTCATAGTCTAGTAACTATTTCAATATAAGAGAATCACACTGGAAAACACAGTTACTGAAGTTACTTTATGTATTTACATGCTAATTAATAAATAGGAAAAGGTGACCATATAGCTGCCTTATAGTGACCTGCATAAGATGAAGCAGAAAATGTGCAATGTTTTGAAGGTAGAATGGTATAATGCTTGAGCTTGGCATTCCGTAATCCCTTCTGAAAAGAATCCGATATACCAAAGCATGTTCCATAAATTTCATTTCCTATGTTTCTGGATTTCAGTGATCGTGGGATTGTAGAAATTAACTTCATTCCTTTTTAGGCATGACTGTACTTTAGCCTGAAATTTAAAATGCAAAGTCAAAGTGGTAAAAAGCTGTGTGGTGGTTTGTTTCTTCTGTGCATCTGAATCATGCCATCTTGAGAGCTTTCAAAACAAATGGAAAGAATGGAAATAATACAGTGTGAAGTGATGCCTTTATTTATATCCCAAAAGCCATCTCTTGCTCCAGCCCTATGCTGATCCTGTCTTCCAGGAGTTTGAAGTAGTTTGAAGTTTTATAGTGTTTGTGGAGAAGCTTATACATAATAGAAAAGATAAGTATTTCTTCAGAAGCAATCCAAGAACCAAGCCACTGTCATCAATATTCTGTTAAAACTATTATATTTTGGACTTTATAGTATTGTGCTACAGTGCTTAAGTCAGTTGGGTATAAGAATCAAGCTAGTAATTACCTCTGGTCAGCTTTCTCTTTGTCCTTGATGTGACCAAAAAGATGCTTGGCTAGCTTAAAAATTGTAAGCATTGGCCTTTATGGGACCACTGCACGGTCATAACACAGCAGGCTATTCCTATCTGCTTTAAAACCAACATTTTTTAGCTAAATATTTGAAGTGAGCCTATCACACTAATATGTTTTGGGTTTTTTTTGCAGCATTAGTTGTATCTGCCATTTAAGTTTGGGGTTAATAGGAGTTTGATTTCAACATGTTTTAATATTTTTCAAGGACCTGCTTATTAAAACAGAAAGCAAAAAACCCCAGAAAAACAAAGAGCAAACCAGAAATCCCCAAGTCCCAGGGGCTATATGCAGGCAGAGTGTAATCAAGCTTCAGCTCCATGGAAGCTGCTAGCTGACAAAACCAAAGGCTTTTTTGTAGCTTGTACAAAAATAAGTACTAGTCATGATAATATAGGGAAAAGGGTGGGGTAATTATAGTGTGTCTCTTAATAACAGCAAATGGTAAAGCCAAACGTCTTTCAGGTTCATTTAAATACGGTTTTGTTTCAACTGATTTTTCAGAAGCCGTAAGTATTTTGTGCAGTGTGTGCTTGAAATGATGAATTGAAGACTATTGATATTAGGCTGCTTTTCTAGCTTTCAGCCCACAGACCACTAAGAAAAGCACTACAGGTCACATGCAGTGGAATGCATTTTACCCTAATGGTTGTTTGCCACTCTGTAATTACAGAAGATAGGAGCAAAGCTTGACCCACATGCCATTTTTAAAGGCCAGTTCTGAAAGATCTGAAAATTGTTGTGAATAATGTGCATTACTAACTTGGACTTGGTTACTATTATCAACCTTTTATTTTGCAATCTGTCCTCCTGGGAGGATGAGAGTGTGGCAGGAATGACATGTTGTGGTTTAGTTTTTAAAATTAAAGCATTTGTTGAGGCAGTTTTTTTTTCTGCAATTTTTTTCTGCTGTAGACCACTGATTTCTTTGCCTATCTTTAAAGTCTGTTTTTTCTATGACTCAGTGATAGCCATTTGCATAGACAGGTATAACATTAGAAAATCATTTACATTCATAGAAAACGGAAGACATCTGTCCATGGTCACTAGCTTTATCCTTTTACTGGGAAAAAGTAACGGCTGTAATGGGTGACATGGTTTAGTGTGAGGTGTCCCTGCCCATGGCAGAGGCGTTGGAGCTAGATGGTCTTAAGGTCCTTTCCAACCCTAGCTATTCTATGATTCAATTATACATGTGTAGCATACATGTGTAACTATGAAAGTTACTACAAACTTTGTTAGTAGGTGTAGATGGATTTTCTGTTACGAGGTACTTCTGTCATCCTTTCAGATTCTCTTGGTTCCATAGATAAAGGGGAAGACTATTCATCTTGAGATTTTTGAGGCTAACCAGTGCCTGTTCAGACTAATTCAAGTTCACTGGGAGACCATTCTGTGTTCTGCATTACTCGCTTTTGTTCTCTGGTTTCTCCAGTGCACTCAGATTTCACTGAAGTCAGTGAAAAGCATTGACAAAGAGATCATCATGCACATGAGAATAAATTTGGAGGGAATAGGTAAAGTTCAGTAAGTCCGGGAAGCAGCCTTTTCAGAAAAAGAAAGGAAAACAAGTAACCAACTCGTCCTCAGAGCGGGGCAGGGGGAATATATGTGCGCCTATATCTATAGACACACATATTTGTGTATGTGTCTGTGTCTTACCTATCTATATAAATAAAAGGGGAAAATAGGGACTGTTTGTGTTACTAATCCTGTTGAGCTATTTAAATCATCCATAGTGCTGTCGCAGGCATCAGAGAAACATGCAAAAATTTGGCCCAAAATAAAATACAAAAATACTGTGCTTTAGCCTCACAGTGCATCTCTGCTTTTCTTTCTTGCATCCAGTCTGTGTCTTTAAGCTTTACTCAGTGTTTTTCTCATCTGGAATCAATTCACTGTTACCCACATGTGTTGAGATTTTTTGTTTGTAAAGCAATAATATTCAAGCAATATATCTGGTGTGTGCTATTTTGCTTCTATATGCAAATGAGAGATACTACTACAACTGCAATGCCCTTGTATAGGTCCCCATTACTTTAGCCTTTGTTACAATTTCAGAAAGCAGTTAAATATGCTTTTAATGTTTTTTCCTTCTCTTCTTAATAGGTAACACCAGCCTTCAGACCAAAACTGGGAGTATTACAGTAGGTAGGTTCTGCCTTCTCTTAGAGATACCTCTTTTTCTCCCTCTTTCCTTCTCCTTTTTAAAAGCCAAATGTTCACAGGGAAAGTAAAGAGGCAATTCCTTACAGATGTTTCTGTCCTATTTTCAATAGCACTGATAGCTGTGCAGCTGAAGGAGATTCTTTCCAAACTTCGCTGTCAGCCTTTTGCAGTTGGGCAACTCAAACTGTCTCACATCTGATACCATGGTACTTACTGGGCTTTGCGCAAATCACACTGAATCTAGGTGCCATCTTCTAGATTAAGATGTGATAAAAAGACACAAGAAAACAGTAACTAAAAGGACACAAGAAATGCAATAATTTTGCCTTTAGCCTAGTTCTCTTGCATTCGTTGATATCGATGACTGGCTGTGTTTGATTTTTATATCACAAAGCACTGATCATTGATGTGTTACATATTTGAGGAGGGGAAGCTTGAGATAATAGTAATAGTCTCCAAACTATTCTACTGATCTTTGTTTTCCCTTCAGAAATAATAATGGCTCATAAATTTTCTTTCGGGAACTTGAGCAGGATATACAACAGGATAACTAGGAGTTATCAATTATGGTACCTATTGTATCAGTTGCATTTTTGTAGTACCTCAACACAAAAGTAAAAAACTCAAATCCTGGTTATTTCTATGACAGAAAATTGAAGTAACGATCATAGACAAGGCTCAGTGACTCCTGAATATAAGAAGAAGGATTTCCCATTCTGTAAATAAATTGATTATGGGTCCAAATCTCAAAGGCTTCTGCTAATGGTAGTAACCATAGTCACTCATTGACCACTGTGCAGGGACAATCTGTACTGTTACAACTCTTCTTATGTTTCTGAGCATTCTATATTAACTTTCCTGGAAAATGAATGCGATACACATTCTTATGAGTTAGTCATTAAACCACAGAATTAAATTAAGCTTGCTAGTCTGTTTTTCTTTCTTTTAAATAAACTCAGAGTATGAAGAGTGTTTAAATAAAGGTTTCTTACCACAGGAGATAGCTTTTTCTGTCAACTACATGGTAATAATTTTCCTTAATTAACCAGGTTCCACTTAAATATTAAGACACATCTAAGAGTTGAATAAATTTGAGTTTCAGTACTGAAAGCACTAGTTAGACTTAATCTTTTCCTGAAGAGCATTAAACATACTTTAGATTTTTATGTTTTTTTCCAAAGATAAAAGACTTCTAACATTCAGTGGTTCAACTCTAAACTTGAAAAAGAAAATGTAAAGTTTTAAGTGGAAGGTTTTTGTATATGACAAACACATGCTACAAGGTAGCTTGTTGATTGTCAGGAGACCTGACAGGGACTTTTTTGATAGAAATAGGAAGAACAAAACAAAATCTTCCAACTTCCTTGGCTGGGTTTTCATAGGGATGTGGTTATTTACTTCACTGGAGATAGAATTTTATCAGTTTGGAGAAAAAATCAGTTTGGGGATGTATCCTTTGCTTTTGAAAGATTTATTTACAAGTCAAACTTGAGAGTGATGGATTTTTTTTTTCTTCAAAATGTTTTAGGGAAACTATAAGCTGCTTGCTTGACAGTTTCTTATGCTTGTAAAATTCTGCATTAAAAAAAGGAAACCAGTGCTCTTCTCTAATCTTCTGCTTTTGTTATTATTCATAGAATATTTTTACTTTATTTTGGTGTTATTAGTCACTGACATTGTTTTCCAACCCTGTATTAGAAGCTTCCTACTTGTATCAGATGTTCTGTGGACTTTGAATGACTTCATAGTTTGAAACAACCAGAGCTATTTTTACTTCTAGTTTAAGTTGTGATTGCTCCATCCCTGGCAGTGTTGAAGGTGCCAGGTTGGACAGAGTCTTGGGTGAAACGGTTTGGTGTGTGGTATTCCAGCCCATGGCTAGGGGGATTGGAACTAGATGATCTTCAGGTCCTTTCTAACCCAAACCATTCTGTGATTCTAAGTTGCTATTTAAACTAGTCATTATAAATCTGAATTATCTTAGAAAGAGTAACTGAGTACTTCGTGTTTAGAACTAGCTTAATCTTCTAAGTTTTTATTCAGTAAATTCATAGGAAAACTCGGGTTGGAAGAGACCTCAGGAAGTTGCAGAAACATAGAATGTTTGAGGTTGGAAGGGACTTCTAGAGGTCATCGTGTTCAGCTCCCTTAATCAAGCAGTCTCTAATCCCCAGCCTCTTGCTCAAAGCCATGTAAGCTGTGAGGTTGCTCAGGACTTTATCCCATGGTTTGGAAAATCTCCAAGGATGGAGACTGTACAGCCACTCTGACAAACTGCTTGGTTGTCCTCAGGGTTGAAAAGATTATTCCTTCTATCCAAACTAAAGCTCTCTTTTTTTCAATAGATTTTTGGTCTGCCATGCTCTCATCATGCACCACTCTGAGGAGTCTGGCTTTGTATTCTTGATCACCTCCTTGCAGATATCAGGGGGCTGCTGTCAGGTCCTGAAGCAATCTGTTCTCCAGGCTGGGCAAGCCCTTCCCTATCAGGAGAGGCTGAGGAGTGGGGTGTTCCATAGCCTGCCTATGTTGATGCTTCTCTGCTGGATTTACTCCAGTTTATTGATGCCTGTCCTCTTTTGGGAGCCCCAACACTGGATGCTGTGTTCTAGGTGTAGTGTAATAAGTGCTGAGTAGAGCGGCATAATCCCTCCCCTTAATAACTGCTTAATAACTGGCCATGCTTCAGTTAATACTGCCAAGGATACTATTTGACTTCTTTTGTGCCAGGGCACGCTGCTGGCTCATGTTCGGTCCTGCTAGAGTTTGCTTATTTCTCAGTGTTATTGGTATGGTCTAATTATGTATTCTCTACTTTGCTGCCAAGACAAATTTTCCCCTACCAGCTCCAAAACCCATGGCTTTTCCTTACTGGATTATTTACATTTATCCCAGTTATTCATTGTAGAAATGAATCTTCTGTAGTCAGAAATCACAGAGCTTATGGTGGTTGTTTTGGAGGGGAAGATTGTTCTTAACCAGCTTATGGGCAGCAGGGACTTATTCTGGCAAGGAAAAAGTAGAGACATACAGCTAAGTGGTTTGCAGAAATGGTTAACACAGAGTGATAGTCTGTGGATACATGTGGACAGCATGGATAGATACTCGAGGAAGATCCCTTATGATGTGTAGTAGGTCAGAGGCTTATCAAGGGGAAGATGTACTTGGCATGTTGTATTATGATGCGGCATTGAGGCATATAGTGATTTTTTTCAGAACAGAGTAAGTTACCCAGAAAAGACTATGGCCTTTAAAACCAACAGATACAACTTTAAAATCAAGGTAGAAATTGGATCATTTAGCAATAAAAGGATCATCTAGACAATTTAGTTAGCAAAGGAGTTGTTTTCATGAGAGATTCATTTGCTTTCTGTGTTACATCATTTGTTTTGCCAGGATGATGAGTGTGGTAAGGACTGCTAATGATAATTTAGTGGTATGTGAAATTAGTCTATTTAACATACATTTCGGTTTCTCATTTTTCATGTGATGGCTTTAGAAGATTGTTCTAATATGAGAAAATTAACCACTCTTTATCAACACATTATACTAGGCAGCCAGTTAAGTAGGAATTAAATCTTCCTCCCACTTCAGATTCGTTAGAATCTTACATTTTTTTCTGTCTTTAACTGCATCATAATATTTTGTGTTTTCCTGTTGAAAACCAGTTTTGTCACCGATTTTTAACACGAGGAAGGTCAGTTGTTATGTGCTATTAGGAAAAGTAAATATGTTTTTGCTTAGATTTAAGGAAAGATCACTTTTTAATCCTTTCATCAGTACTTCATAAAATGAAGGAAGAAGAGATACGAAATGTTGCAAAGGATGTTCAGTTTAGTCACCCTTGTGGACTTTCCAGTGATCTTTAATTGCATAGTCTTTCTCAAGTGATGTGGCTTAGGTCTTATTTTTCAGGCTGTATTTATTTTTCATAAAGCTTAACAAAAGCTTGTCAAGGGCATCTTGCTTCAATGCTTTTTTTCTCTTCCTGTGCTAGTAAATTCTCAAATAGCTGAAGTTGCTCAAGAGTGACCATCTGTTCCATTCCCAGTAGAACGGTTCATTTCCCCTTGAGCCGTCAGTCCTTAGCAAAGCCTGAATTCAAACTGTATGCTCTTTTCCTTGTTTTTGACTTCAGTTATTCACATTGTTCTCAGCTAACACTGGGTATATTATTAAAGATAAATTGCCCTAGGTTTGTTCTGTCATAACTGTAAAATATGTATTGTCTCCTTTATATTTAAGTTATGCATTTTATCCTATCAGACTGTGTTACTTAATATAGGGTAATTTTTCTTATGGAAGTATTTTATTTAAATTTGGCCCTTTTTCTTACATAACCTCATCTTTGCTGTTTTTAATCCATTTCTCTTTCCCCCCCTTCTCATTTGTTTGGAGTTAGACACAAAATTTAAGCGTCATCATTAATAGATTTGCAGAAGTGATGAGCAACTTGTCTTTTGGCATTCTTAACATTTGTATTTAATAATCATCCATAAAATTCTCTCCATAACTCATATTCAGTTGTTTCTGTAAAATACACTTTATCTCCATAGATCAAAGTTAGGCAGGTATTGTCAGCTTTAGTGTTTGGTTAATGCTGCCAAGGTTCTTACATTTCTTCTGTCTTATGAAGCATTCTATTTAGTGGTACAATCTGGGAGTTGAAATCTGGCATGTCATCCTCCCAAAACAGTGTTCCCCAATGGAAAGGCATTCTGCTTGTCCTCAGAGTTGTTTTTCTTTGGTTTTTGTGGGTTTATTTGTTTTTGGGGGGGAGGTTTGGGGTGGTTTTGTTCTTGGTTTGTTTTTTTGTTTTTTGGTTTGTTTTTTTTTCTTCACTTTACAGGTAAATCTGTGCCTTGGTGAACCTGTACCTACTCCGTCTTCCTGCATCCTTTATTTGTTTGTGCCTTCTGCAAACAGAATTCAGTCTCTTGCTAAAGAATAACTGATATGTATATAAATATTTACATTTATTGTATTTTTATATACATATAAACTAAAAATCTAGAGAAGAACGCTTTTTTCTGTCTTGCAGTGGGGCTGCTAGGTTTGCAAAAGGCATCTTTCCACTGTGAAGAATCTCACAAGGGCTGCTTTTGCATGTGAACAGTGGGAAGAAGGATTTGCTGAATAAACACTGGTCCCTGCAGAGCACCATCAGCTGGTGGCAGTGTACTGAATGTTAGCAGTTGTTCTGCCTTCAGAGGGTCTCTGTCCTATCACTGGGGACTCTTCTTTCTTCCTAGTGCAGATAAAAGAACTAATTGCGTGTTTTGTTTATAGCAGAAGAGTCGGGGTCTGAATATTTCCCATTGCCAAAAAAAAACCTCTGTTGAGATTATGTGGATGCTCTGAGATTGGCTTTTAAATTTGTTTAGGAATATCTGCAGAAGTAGCTTTTAGAAGAACATGTCAAGCTATCACTACTAAAAATACTCAAAAATGTTGATTCATATCAGATGTTGCTGTTTTAATGACTTTACCTTTCAAATTTACCATGAACAACCTTTTTAAAAGTGATCAATAAAAGGTTTCATTGTCACACAAGGAAAACCTTTTTTCCAGTTCATTAATTTTCATTTAATGAAGAGTTAATGTTTGGGGTTTTTTTCTTCAGACTTGTAGCACAGCTGCTTCAACATAAAATCTGTTGAGATGGCAGAAACACTCAGTTCTAGTTGTCACTGTGTTCTTTTTAGGCAAAGACAGTCTCTCAGCTTCTCAGCTGACTAAATATGGATTGGCTACTTCTTAATTACTTTTTAATTACTTTCCTTTCCAAAGAAATCAGTTTTAGCTGTTGGATAGTAATAATCCTTTTTTCCATGTTTTTACTGTTGTATATGACACACTGATCTTCAACATCTGTGCTTGAGATCTGGAATCAGAAAAGCACCAGATGAGTTTGCTTAGAGTTGAAACTGGGGTGGCAAGGGTAAGGTGTTAATGCTAGATATCCTTGTTATGATTCATCAAGTTAATTCTTTCATGAATGTTTTTACTTTCTAAAATTGAAAGTGTCATTCAGGTTTGCTTTTGTTATTTTAGTTCTGAAAGCCTGACTCTGTTTCCTTTTCTGTGCACATCCAGAAGCTAAGAAAACCAGTTTCTACCAGTATTTCAAGATTTCTTGGCGATATTTTCATTTCTAACATGGTATCTAAAAAGATATTTCACTGACTGCCGTTTGCTTGGGTACATAGTTAATTTTTTATGCCTCTCTAGCGTTGCTTCATCATTTCTTTGTAATTTTTATGAGCTATAGATCTGTTCAGTAGTTGAGAAGTTGACTCTTTGAAACTTCACTGTAATTTTATAGGAATTTGTATATTTAATATTGGAATGCATTGCAAGTAATTAAAGGCTACTTCTCAAGTATACAGTTTAGGCTTCTTAAAGGCTTTTTAGTGGTAAAAAATGTTTCTTCAAGGAGTTTTGTTATAAATTTCAGCTAACAAGGTACAGAAAAAAATACACGCATCTCTGTTCTAGGGCAAAGATCAAATGGTGGTTTCCTATGTATATTAAAGTGCAATGGTTATCTTAAACATTCATTTAAAATTCATATGTGTAGTGCATGAGCCTTTACAAAGCCTGACACACAGTTCTTCTTTGTAAGGAGATGTTATAGTGCACAACTGCTTGTTGTTTGCATGGGTAAAGTTCTCCCTGTGTAGAGAATGAGCAAATGAACTCTTTCGGCGTCTAAAATAGATCTGAGTGTTCAAAGTCTATGCTTGATCTTCACACAAAGATAAACTCATCCTTGTAGAAAGAGGCAAGTGTTACTGTGGCCTTGTAGATGCTACAAGTCCAGTAGCAGCTGCAGCGCTATGGCCCTGGGATGTGTCTGTGCCACAGCTGGGGACTGCGGAGATCAGTTTTGCCCAGAAACCTGTTTTTCTAAGAGAAACCTGACATTCAGTAAATATGTTACTTCTCAAACACAGAAGAACTGTCAAAATTCAAATACAAAGAAAGATTCTGGTAAATGTTTATTTTAAAGGATGAACGATAGACAAGATTCTAATTTATTTTATTTTCCTTAGATTCATCAGATGGAAGTCTAAAAGCTTCTACACATCATGGGACGATAGATGTTTATGTCAGTCAGTTAAGAAAAGTGGATCTGAAATCCCAGAAAGGTTAGGAAACTAAACCAAAGATTTTTGTTGTTGTTGTTCAAGCTTATGATGTAAAATAAAAAGGGGTAAGGGTTAGGGTTTTTTTGTTTCTGTCTGTCTGAAAAGCAACATGGCTTGTGATTGTTGGTTATCTATATTCTGTTTTATCTCATTATTAGAAGGTGTATATACTGATAATACACTAACTAAACTCTAAGGGGCAATGGTACTTAATATGGATTACAGAATATTTGTGGTTTTCAATGCTTTTTTTCCTGGCAGTGTACCCAGCAGAATCCTGCACAGTTGACTTGTATGCAGTCTTCCTTTGCCTTGAGCACAGTTTATTCCATGATGCTGATACGTGTGTGTGCAGAGTGACAACTGACACACATTTACATTTCTTTTTCCCACCTTTACTGGTTAGAATGTCCTGTTCCTGAAATTGGAAGGCAGAAAAACAAGGATGAAAGGCCCTACCCAGTCTTCCCTTTTTTCTCCTGATTACTCACTAGAATTTCACTTCTTAAGTAAAAGCTCACACCTAAAGTCAGATTCATAGTTTTACTGTTCATGAGATACGATACTGTGAATGACCAAGCCCTGAATACATCTTGTTAGTCTTAGTTTTGAAAGAAAAAGCCCACACACTACAGTGTTTTTATACTTTAACATCAAGTCAGGCACTGCAGGTGTTTTAATTGAACATGGTATTTGGTACCCTTCTCTTGTCTGTGAGACAATGTCTGTGCTGAGTTAAAACCTAGCAGTTACTCAGAATAATGAAGGAAATGCATTGAAATAACTTATGTGCCATTCTTCTGCACCAGCTGTTCTGGTTCTTTAGTGCAAAGTAATTTATTTTTATATATTTCTTAGTTACATTTTGGATCACTTATTGCTAAGTTAATATTTCTTTGAGTTTGTAGGAAAGACAAACATATTTCATAAAAGCTAATTAATGTTATTTTCAAAACATTGCCTGACATCCCTTCTGGCAGCCCAGTTTAGTAAAGACAAAGTTAATGAAGTTCTGTTTTCATTTACCCTGTAAATTCAGTGTAGCTGCTGACAGCTGCAGTGTAGAAAATGTCCCATTCGTGATAAATTAACTGCATGTGTGTTGGATTTTATGAGTCACATCACTGAGAAACTCTCCAAGGAGGACCCAGCGATGAAGACCTTTCTTATCCTAAGGCTTTTGTGGCTCCAGCAAAATTTAGGCCCAACTATACTAACAGTTAGTAGTTTGTCAGGACTGTCACAAGCAAGTGATTCTGCTGAATTTAAATTGCACAGCTAGGGTTGCTTTCTGACCACTAGTTGTTACGTCAGGCTTTTTAGACCTAGAGCAGGTTACACAGAAACGTGTCCAGGCAGGTTTTGAATGTCTCCTGAAAGGGAGGCTCCACAATCCGCTTGGGCAGCCTGTTTCAGGTGCATAGAAGCACATATTTAGGAGAAACAGAAGTCAGAATTTCTGGTTTTAACCTCAAGGGTAGAATTATTCGTGTTACCAACACTTCAGTTTTGTCAGTAGTTTACATTTTTGTGATACGTAGTATAAGCTGGTTAGTCATTTTTGAGACTGCATCTGTTCAAGGATGTGAACAGCTGGCCCTGGGCAGTAAAGCAAAGACAATTGCTGCATTAACAGTGTGTAAGCAGCAACTCATCATTCAAGAGGAGCAATTCCTTCTTAATGTGCCATGGATTAATCATCAAATCTGATCCCCTGTCCTTGCTCAGGAATGTAAATAGGCAACTAGAAGATGAAGCTGAAGTCATAATACTTGTGAGATGTATTAGATTTCCTTCCCTTGATCATTCCTATAATAAGATCCTCTACCAAGAGCTGTTGCTAGCAGCAGTGTATGTCAATGTTAATTTTCATGTCTGCCAATGAAATACTGTGACACCGCTTTCTCCATGTGACATAGAATCATAGAATTGTTAGGGTTGGAAAGGACCTTAAGATCATCAAGTTCCAACCCCCCTGCCATGGGCAGGGGCATCTCGCCCTAAACTATCTCACCCAAGGCTCTGTCCAACCCGGCCTTGAACACCGCCAGGGATGGAGCATTCACAACTTCCCTGGGCAACCCGTTCCAGTGCCTCACCACCCTAACAGGAAAGAATTTCTTCCTTATATCCAGTCTAAACTTCCCCTGTTTAAGTTTTAACTTGTTACCCCTTGTCCTATCACTACAGTCCCTAATGAAGGGTCCCTGCCCAGCATCCCTATAGGCCCCCTTCAGATACTGGAAGGCTGCTAGGAGGTCTCCACGCAGCCTTCTCTTCTCCAGGCTCAACAGCCCCAACTGTCTCAGCCCGTCTTCATACAGGAGGTGCTCCAGTCCCCTGATCATCCTCGTGGCCCTTCTCTGGACTTGTTCCAACAGTTCCATGTCCTTTTGATGTTGAGGACACCAGAACTGCACACAACACTCCAAGTGAGGTCTCACAAGAGCAGAGTAGAGGGGCAGGATCACCTCCTTCAACCTGCTGGTCACGCTCCTTTTGGTGCAGCCCAGGATACGGTTGGCTTTCTGGGCTGCGTGCACACTGCCGGCTCATGTTCAGTTATGACAACTGCATGTAACTGTATGATAACTGTATGACATGCAGTATCCTGGTTATGGTAAATGGCATTATCTTCATTTATCTTTTCAGAGACAAAAAAAGAGGTTACAGTATGTGAAGGCTCTTACAAAAACCCCCAAAACTCCAAACCAAACAATTTGATTCAAGTTACCTGAATTGTACGTTTTGTGCTTGGATCTGAATGTTAAACTAACTAGCTTTCATTTAAATTTATACCAGGTTCAATTACAGTCAAGGTACCTGCCTCTCTCAAAGCCTATTTACAGTTGTCTGGAAGGAAAGTGGATGTGAGCTCAGAGATTCAGTTAAAAGAAATGCAGAGTGCCTCCAAAGATGATCACGTAACTATAAGTGGTAAGGCTTACTAATCTTGGCTTCCAATAAATGTCTGTCTGGCCTTAGTCAAAGGCAGCTATGTTTCCTTAAGAATTTATTGCTCTTGGCTGCTTCTTATTTCATCTGTTTCAGGTTCAAATGTTTCCTTGTGCCGTTGTACTCCCTCTGTTACCAGATGACTTTTTCATTTTGTTTAGTAAATGACTTGTGAATGCTAACAACTGCTTCTCTAATAGAAGCCTTGGAGCCAAATTCATTCTCAGCATTATTCCGGTGAGTTTATGGGAGGTAATCCAGGGCTGAATTTGACCCATTGCTTTATTGGCTTGTATTGTCACATATAATAAATTGCCAGGGAATGTCTGTTAAAAAACATAATGAAAAGTTTTCTGTCTGTCTCTGTTGGGTGGGAGGGGGAAGTAAAAGGGGTATACAGCATATTTATAAATGTACAGTATAGAAGTTAAACAGTGCAGAAATGATGGGTGGGAGATAGCTAGGAGAAGAGCAGAAGCAGCCGGAGCATGGAGGAGCAGAGTAAATGGAAAGGTGCCTGTGATTACTGGAAACATTCTTCTAATGAATTTAAACTTGAACATAGGAATCCCAAGTCTTGCTGTTTCCTGCATTAGAAAACAGTTGTACAATTCATTGTCAGGGTGTGTATTTCTCTCCCCCTCTCCGGACGTGTCTATCTAGAAGATGAGGCTGTTGCTGTTACCAATTACTACTCAGTTTGCTCAAGAGGAAACATTAATGCAGTGTGTCTGAAGGCTCCAGTTTAGTTTTTGAACATGTTATGTCATTGTGACCTGATGTGATAGCAGACTGGGTGAGGCTTTTGAGTTTCATTTTGGTTTTAAACTGAAGAAAGTATGTACAAAACTTCTTTTCCTCCCCCATGTTAGGTAATAATCTCAAAGTGAGGAAATGTTAGAATTGTATGTACACAATTTCAGTATAGAATGATAGAATAGTTAGGGTTGGAAAGGACCTTAAGATCCTCTAGTTCCAACCCCCCTGCCATGGGCAGGGACACCTCACACTAAACCATGTAACTTGCTTATATAAAATAGTAGTCTTGAAATGTATAGGCATAGATATATATATCCTGCCTTGAAGAGTAACTAGTATATAGATATACTGGTGGTTGTTAAATCCAATAGCTTTAAAAAACATGGTTAGAAGTTCTCAGGCTAGAAATCTGTGAAGGACCCCAGATACAAGCAAGGCTTTATCGAATGAGTTGTCTTAGCAGTAAAACAACATTTCTCCCAGTGAATAAGGACCACTGGCCAGTTAATCATCTTAATACCCTGGGAATGTTAAAGATAAGAGTGGTGTTTCAAATATCCACAGCTGAATGGCTTCTCTGGTTTCACAACCCAGTCAGTGTTTATGTAGCACAGTCATCGCTGAGACAGATGCAATTTTTCAACCACTATTCTGTATGGAAGTGATCTTGGCAGTTGAGGCCAAAAGCAGCTCTAATTAGTTAACCCTCAAATTAAACATATCCAAAAGGCATGGAAATCAGTGAGGATTATGCAGAGGGAACAGTGTTAGGCCAGTGATTATCAGTTGTTGATAATCGTTGCACCAACAATTTATTAAACATCCATCTAATTTGATTGTAATGTAGGTGAATGAAAAGGAGACCCTGGAATGGATTTTCTGCAGGATACAGTTCAGCTAAACTAGTGCTGGTGTGAAGTAACATGTCTTCATCTGTCTCTATACCTGCCATTTAGCTTTCAGTTTTTTCTCATGTAATGTAGCCAGTGATGTTCTTCTCCCCTTTCTTCACTGGTCAGGTAGAAGCAACAAACATAAAGAGTAGTTGGGTTTAACATGTGCTTTGCTCCTTTTCTTATTGTTTTGAAAACAGTTCCACCTCTTTCTTAGGAAAGAAAGAGGCAGCATTTGCCCATTCCTTAGGCATGGTAAGGGAGTTGCTTCCTGCTTCTCCTCTTTACCTTAACCTGTGGGGATAGTGTATTTCTACTGCACAAGCACTTGTTCCCTTATTCTCAGTAAACTTCTTAAAGTTGGTATTTGAGAATTTCCTTGTGCAAGTAGATTCTGAAATAATTAAAAATCGTTTAATACTGCTTCTATATCGTGAAAACATTATCCACTGCTGAAATTTTAGGTAAAGTCTGTAGCTGCCCTGCTGCTGCAACTGAAGAAATACAAAATGGAGAGAGAAGAGGGGTTTTGCAAGTAGAAAAACAGTCACAAGAGCATGGCAGTTTAGACTTTTATGCTTTGGAGCTCAAAGGTTAGTTTAAAAAGAGATGATTTGTCAGAAGCTGGCCAGTTCTTATGTGGATAACACAGGAACCAGCTGCTTTCAGGAAGCTTCACTTGCCACTGGGAATATTCTGGGAGATTTTAGAGAGGAGACTGCAGTGGGAAGACAGAGTTCTGTGAATGGGGTAGATATACAGCTTGTCTATGACCAGCTCTAGGAAAGCCTTCCCTTCTGCTTTTACAGCAGTTACGACTTACATCATTACCTTGCTTTGCATCTCCCATTTCCACACTGAGTGGGGAACTCGGTGCATTACAGTCCCACAAGCAGCCACATCCAGGGTTTTGTAGGGTAGTCAAGGATTAGGGTGGGATTTAGTCAAAGCAAGAAGATGAAAGCCTGGAGTCAATGCTCTGGAGGCAGAGTGATGAGAGTGTGAAAAGGTGTTTTGATCTTTTAGAAAAGGAAGGAACTTTCCTGCAGAACTGGGACATTTGCTGATACATGGAAGGAGTTGGAGAGCAGTGCCAGGGAGTTTACTCCTCAGAGTAATTTGCAAGGACAAGGCATCTGTTTCCATTGACATCAGCATGCACTCTTGGAAGTAGTATGTATGGTATAATGAAATCTGTTATAAAGCCAGATTTTTCATGCTAACCACTGGCGCATTTTCCATTGGTGAAAGTGTTTGTTCAGCTGTCTGGTTTGAGTGCTTGAGTAACTCCTTTAATTTCTGGTGACAGTCATGTCAAGGCATTCTTTTTCTTTCCCTGGTGAAGAGGGAAGCCCTTCCTGCTCAACATCTCTACCTTCCCCATGTCTCCAGGTCTGCCTGTATTCTTAAGTCAGCTGATTTAGGATTGTAGAGATCATTAACTGTATCTCATACTATATATGGCAAGAGGAAAGATAGCAGACTAAGAAGTGACTGGCAATTAAGCAGAAAGGGAGCTTAGGAGACTGTTGTGTTAAAGGGCTTACAAACACTGAAGGATGAAGTTGAAACTCAGATAATCTTGATTTGTATGCTTTTTAGGCCATTCTTCCAATAAGTCATTTGTTCTAGTTAATTCAAAGTACGAAGATAGGAATAATGACCTGTGTGGTTCCAAGAGGAGGAATATATCAATAGTCATTAAACAGGAAACAACAGTGTTACACAGCTAAAAAGAAAATAAACAGTATACGAGCATGACTGTTCTGTAAAACTCAAAATAACCCCTTGGCTTTACATGCATTAGTAATACTTTGCTGGCATGTGTCCAGTTTTGAGTACTGTACTTCAAAAAGGGATGTGGACAACTGTGGAGACTCCAGAGGAGAGCACATGATGAGGGGCCTAAAAGCATGATTAATGAGAGAAGACTAAAAGAAATGTTGGTTTTGTCTAAAGAAGAGAAGACTAAGGGAAGATGAATTTTTTTCCAGTATTTAAGAAATTACTGTAGAAATGAAGAAATAATTTGTTCTCTGCCCACTGGTCATAGGAATAGAAATTATGATTTGATGTTACAGTAAGGAAAACTTTTCTAAAAAATAAGAAACTTTCTGGTGGTAGGCACTTGTCTGGTGAGGCCACTCCAAGTACTGCAGACTGTGAAGAAGAGGGTAGGTGAGCATGTTGGGTTAGATAAAGTGCATCCTTGGTTAGGTTGCTTTCAGACCTGTTTTGTCTTGTCTGAAGTTGATATGACCATCTGATCCCACCCACCTTGCAGTAACTCAAATGAAGGTTATGAGGCATGGGGGTGGGTACACATGGATAGTGAATGAATGCAGACAGTGGGTATGCTTCTGCCCACTTCCACTGCCAGTCTGTGTGCTGACAACTAAACTCGCTGGAAGAAGTCTTGCAGTCATTTGGAGACTTTCTTTAGGTCCTTGTAGCTGGTGGTACCAATTTCCAAATCTAATTGTCTGTCTGGAACATAACCCCTTTCCTTAAACCGTGTAAATCTTCCATCTTTGAGTGGTGCCAGGGACTCATCTGATTCCAGATCTTTCCCCGTGCCTAGCCCCAGTTCTAGTGACGAGTGAGCTTTTAGCTTTGGCAAGTCACTTGCTCCCTCTGGTTTTCAGCACTTCAGTGAGTTTTCCTTGGTGAAAGTCTCACAGGTGCTCCTCAGAGGCTGTGGATGTTTGTCTATGTAGGTTATTGCGAATTCCTGTTCTTACTTTCAAGTTGGCAAACCAACCTCTCTGTATGTTTCTGTCCTCTTACAAAGAACGTACTCTTTGGGAATTACACCCAAATTGAGGTGTATGTGCTCCCTGTGTCATCCAGTGTGACAACAGTTGCAGCAGCTAACAGCATTTTTAGCTTTTGGTACTATCACACCCCATCTATAGCACTAAAGCTTCACTGAGCCACATGTGAAGAGTGTTCTGCTCGGAGCCATGCCTCGTGGTGGCCATGCACACAGGTAGTAGAGTGCTCTCTTGCATGTTAACTTACGCATTCCCTCAAATGTCTGTCCTGAATACGGACAGGAATCCCCTGTTGTCTTCTCTACACCCTTTTCTCCCGTGAAAGTTTCCAGATAGATGTTGCCTTTACCTTATGAGTTGATCCAGCATCCCGTTACTCTTCTGATCACCAGGAACACCTTAGATGGCTTTTCTGTTCATGTGCCTCTGGAGAGAGCCTGTCTAATTACCAGATCCCCTTGAGAACATGGACACTGATACCACTGTCCTTTCTCTGACATGTTGGGCTTCTCTTAATAACATACTTCAAGTCTTTTCACCCCATCTGGTTCTCCAGGTAGATTGTGGTGAGGAGAACCTTTCTCCTTACAACAGTCATGCACTGAAATAGTAAGAATTTAAGTCTGGCTGAGGTTAGATCTGGATTCCCTTCTGGAACACAGGGGATTTAGACAGATGCTTCCTACCTTCAGGAATAACTTATTTCTCACCACTCACACAATGGCTCGTACTGGGAATGTGGCCTACGAAGTACTGTGGACTTAGCCATTAGGATTGCTTCAAAGCCGGTGTGCAAGGAGGGAGCTGACTGCTGAAGTCTCGTGTACAATGCGCAAAGCTTTACGGGTGTGTTTATGTGCTTTTGTTATCAGAAATTCTCTATTGTTTCCTTTCAGGTAATGTGTGTGTGTTTAGCTACATGGAGTGCCAGGGTTAAATATAAAGCTGAAGGGGCAGTGAGTAATGTGAGGCAAACAACTTGCCTTTAAAAGGGAAATAACTGAAAGAGCTTGTATTGTCAGTCTGCTGAAACCTAAGTCTTTCCTGAACTGTAACAGCTGTTCAAGTGCAGCTCTCCTCTCCCACTGTGCAGCTGACTCGCATTCAGTTACGGTTCTGATCCCCCAAGTAACGCTATCCATTGTCACGTCCCTCCCTGTTTTCTCAAGGCACTTCAGAACTTTCCTTCTTTCCTAGAAGCAATTTTTATTGACTCTTTGCCACTGGAGCTGAGTGGGAAGAGCTTTGTTTTACAGTGTCCCGTTAAACATTGTCCCTCTGTGAAGCCTTGATCCTTAAGCAGTATCTTGAAAAAACAAACAAATACCCAGGTTCTATCTGGAAAAGATTACATTCCTTCAAGTCAGATGGAAAGTTCATCCAACTTTTATAAAACACATGAGATGAGATGCTATCCTACAGATTTTTATTGGTTTCAGCTTGCATTTAACTCGAGCCGTTCACAGGCTGTTTGAGAGATACCACAGACCTAACGACACCAGTGAACGACATGTAAAATAGGCTGCTCTCTATGTGTTTTAGTAGATGAAAATAAAGATCTCCTTAACTTCTCTAATCTCTGGGAAGGGAAGTGAATAAACAGTCAGTACCAGTACTTGCCCGTGTAAAGTTCTCTAAAGGTGTTGCCTGCCTTAGACACCAGCACGTATTGGAAGGGGTCACGCACACACACACCCTAAAACAACAAAACAAAGCAAATGGAAAAGGTGACCATGCAGCAGAGTGGTGCATCTGTCTTGTCCTGAGCTCACATGTGTTGTATTAACTGGGTGGTTTTGAAATTAAATCCTTTATTAATTTTGATATGCCCCCCTTCTGAATCCAGCAGGCAGTTGGCTTTTGTGATTTAATCATGCTAGCAAAATGATCCTCAGAATCCACTCACACTCCCACAGTATTCAGGGTACAGGCAGTGAGTACAGTTAAGACCGAACTGTCACCAACAGATCTCCAACCTTTTTGCTTGATTAGTGCTTCATACACAAAGTTACTTAAATACCTTAAGCTTGATTTGATCTGCTACTGAGGATAAGCTTAACAACCTAAACTAGTTTGAAGATGTTAATCCCTGGGGAGTGGAACTTGACACTGACTTTCCTGCAGTTTGATGTTTTTTGCATTTCGTTCACAGGCAAATCTCCAAGAAGAAACATAAGGAACAAAACATTTTCCTAAGCTCACACAGCAAATGCAAAATGAGAAACAGAGCTCAGGCACCAAATGAGCTTCGCAGCAGCTCGTATTAATTTGTGCCTGTGTTTTTTCAGAACACTTTAACTTTTTAGGCAGGGTATAAGCAGTGTGTGAAGGTGTTCGTATACAGGGCTGACTGTGCTTCAGGATTTGTTCTTTGTATGGAACTACAAGCCATAGTGACAAAGACATGAGAGAGAGAAACTGGGACCAAGCACTCCAATGTATGCTTTCTGGAAATACATTGGTTGTGTCCTCTTTCCATAGAAAGAAAAGCTGTACTTTCAGTGCCCTACAACTCTGTTAAGGGATCAGCTGAAATTGTCCTTTACAATTTTTTGTTAGTTTGGGGTTTTTTTGACACCTGGAGGCTATTTCCTGTGTAAAATTCAAACTGATCTAATGTTTTAAGGGTTACCTCTGCTTGAAAGACAGATGTTGTTGTCATTTCTGTTGTATATTTCCTGATGCAATACCATTGCAAATTGATGGGTCAGGGAAGCTTTCTGAGGAATTGAAGTTTCAGATTTTAACGTATTTCATGTACCATGCATTCGTCCAACTTCGTGATGATCACCATAGATTGAAGTTGTAATTAGGCAGGGAGTGGAACTATGGATTCTGCCTTACGGTAGGAATGATCCTGAGACTGAGTGTGATTGAGGCTGCTGCTGCCTGTAGCAATTGGGAGCACAGAAGTTGTACTAGGACATCTCCATGTAGATCCTTGAAGGTATGTTGTAGTCTGATGAGAACAGACACTGAAATACCTCTTCATTCAGTGGGAGAACCTGATCAGTGTTGGACTCTGAAAATCCCATACTTCTAAGCAGTACCTCAGCCTGCTGGTGAACTGATGTGGGCTTGGACCATAACTGTAACTTAATCCCACTTAGAAGTACCAAAATAGTGAAATGCTATTGAAGGTTCTGGCACAAAGGCTGGAGTTGTGGAAACCAATGCAGTGATGTCAGTTGGAGTTTTGCCACTGTTTTGACGTGGCCAAAATTTAACTTCAGCTGTGTTACAGGTCAGAGCAGAGCATGTTTGCAAAGTTGCTTCATAATCTGCTTTCCTAACATCCCTTATGCTATTCCAGGCTGAAATTAGTTCTAAACTTAGAATTCAGTCAGTCACATGAACACTAAAGTAAAAATAAGTGATATTTTGTGAAGATAAACCAAAGTGGAGGTTGATCTTGTGATAAAATTACTGATTTGGGACTTAAAAGATCCAGTTAAATTCCCAATTTGGTCATGAATCTTTTGGGTAAATTTGGAAGGTCGTTTATTCTTTCTTGACCTCAGTTTCTTAATTGTAAAATGAGGGTAAGTTGAACTTCCTCCTTTGTCTGTTACATTGTGAGCTTTTCAGAGCATGACCATGCATACTAAGTTTCTGTGAAACATGTGAGAAGCCAGACAGCTCTGGGTGAGTGAAAGCAGTAATAGTAACAACATGTCTGGTCATCTGGAAAACCAGGTCTTACCCCTGTCTCTCTTCTGTGTTTATAATGAGGATCAAAACTTCAAATTACTTAGTGAGATTAATGTCTAATGTGAGGAGTCCTCCCCTGAGGAGGAAGGAGCAGCAGAAACAGTGTGTGGTGAACTGACCACAACCCCCATTCTCCATCCCCCTGTGCTGCTGGTGGGGAGGAGATAGAGAATTTGGGGGCAAAGTTGAGCCTGGGAGGAGGGAAGGTGTTTTCAAGATCTGATTTTATTTCTCGTTATCCAACTCTGATTTGATTGGTGATAGATTAATTTCCACAAGTCACATCTGTTCTGCCCATGGCAGTAACTGGTGAGTGATCTCTCTATGCCTTTACCTTGACCCATCAGCCTTTTGTTCCAGTTGAGGAGGGCAGTGATAGAATGGCTTTGGTGGGCACCTGGCCTCCAGGCCATAGCAAAAACTGCAGAACTATGTAATAAACCCCCCAACTTTATTGAAATAAAAATCTTATGGGGAATTGTATTAATGCAAAAAAACTGCATCAAGAATGAAATGTCAGAAGCCCCTGTTAAAAATACATAAATTTTACTAAATAAAAGTCATGTAACTATGTCCAGTGAGCTTGGAAAAATGGCACTGTGAAGATGATATGTTTATTGAGTGTCAAACTGAATAGAGTTTTCTTTTCCAGGTCACATGAATCAACGGGATGAAACAGACAGGTGGATTAAGGCTGACACGCAAAATGGCAAAGTGTGTCTTAAAAGCCAAAGTTGGATCCAGTCTGTCAAGCTGAAGAGCTCTTAAAGGGGAAATAGGCCAAAGAGATTGTAAAGGAACATTTCTGTAAAATTATGAACCTTTTTTGATGTATATTCTTAATATAAGAAAGAAACAATATTAAAAATGAGGGTGCTTTCACCCAAGATTTGCTGTGACTGTGGCTGATGCTTAACAGATCACTTTTAGTGCCTTTTAGGAACAACACGATCTTACATATTTGGGATTTGTATAACTTGAGCACTCACTGTGGCAGTTTAAAAACTGGTAACTTTCAAACAAAAGTTTGGAGTAAGGGAAGAGTCCACATCACTGTGCCCTTCAGGTAAAAGCTGCCACAAAATGGAAGTATTGGCCTAATAAATGAGAACCGTGATCTGTTTCTTTGCTGCATTTCCTTTGACTGTCAGCCTTGCATGATGGGACTGTCTGTCAGCTCTCGGGGGCAGAGGAAGGATGTGAGGGGAGGAGGTATATGTGATTTTTGTGGAGGATTTTGTGTTACCACAATGCAAACACACAGTAAAGGAAATGGAGCTTTTAAAAAGCTTTTCCATGCATGTGTATGGCACCTTGTAAAAGTAGTACTGAAGTTTGTGGTTTAAAAACTGAGGAATTTCCTGCCAACTGAGTGTAGCAAAGAGGAGTTCAGAGTGTTGGCTCAGGTTTTAAGCTGTGTATGTGTGAGTATGTACTTTAGTTCATAAGGGTACATTATGAAATGAACTCTGTTCCCACAGGATTCCCCAGGAGGTGTAATTGCCCCTGGCTAACAGCTTCAATAGTCAAAGGCAGCATTTATACTCTAATTCAGGGTGGTTAAAACCCCAGTGTTTTTTGCTGTTGTGTGTACTGTTTGTGTGGATAAATTGGGCACAGACGTTTATGGCAAATGTGTATTTTTAATATCAACACTAATATATAGCACATTGCTAATATTATTACTAAAAGCAATACATTGTTGCTAGTTACTTGTCATTCTTCTAAAAGATACAAAGTTAATAAATGTGTAATGGTTTTAGATTTCCTGACAAATTGTTGGAACTAATGATTTCTGTTCACTGCAGAAGTCAAAAGTGAGCGAAGCCCCTCTAAAATCACACAGCATCGACAAATAACACCAGTCTAGTAGAGGTTTCACTAAATCAAATGCATTTAATGGTTCCATTACTCACCCAGCATACAAAGCCTGTCAGCCTATGATTCAGTTTGTGTGTTTTGGGACAGCTGCATCAGCAGTTTTAAGGGAGAGTGCAGTAAGAAAGCCTGTTATTTCTTCCATGTTCAAAAGAAAGCAAGCTAAAGCATTCATGTTCTAAAATGAGCTGCAATTAAGCATCAGGATTGTTAGCTTCTTGCTGAAAGAAGTTTAAATAAGCTGTCAGAAAAATTGTGCTGCTCTGCTTATATTCTTTCTAAGCTAATAAATGTTGAGACCAGCTAGAACTTTTATATAAAGGTCAGGAATGAGCTGAAGAAAGACAAATCTTTGGGAGTTTCCCCAAAGGCTTTTGAGTAATGTCTTGTTCTGCTTTAGTGAGGTGAAACTTCGTATTTTTCTCCAGGCCAGGGGTGAGCAGTAGGTTATCAATAATTAGGATTTGAAAGGCAAATCCCATGTGTGCTCGCTTTGGTTTGTCTGTTTCATGAGAAGACGTTCTCATAACTGGAGAAAACTTCTCCTTTAATACTTTTCTTATCTGTGCTCGTCTTTCTTTGAGCCTCCTGCCTCTGTCAGCCACCAGCCAGAATAGTTCAGATCTGCAAGTGTGAAAATGGGCTTGCTTAGAGACCCAAACCCAGCTGAAGGGCATTTATGAGAACTGGGGCTCTGTGCACAGGTTGAGATGTAGAGAATCCTGCTCAGATGCACGCACATAGCTGTGCTGAGGAGCTTGTAGTGGCTACCTCTGCACTGTTCTGCTCAGGAACACTGTATTGACGAGTACCAGCTGTGTCAAGTGTGATCTGTGGGGAGTCAAAGTGTTCATGTCCTGGAGAGGACCCTCATGGCAAACAAGAACCCCAAACACATGCAGATGTAGTTATTGCTCACTGCAGGGGACTACAGAAGCTTCTCATTATTGGAAGATGAAGACAGCTCAAATCGAGATCTGAAAGTTAGCAAAGCTGTTTCAGTGCGACTGCCTTGCTTGGAGGCAGACTGTGAAAAACATCTGTGGTGCTTTTTTCCTACAGCAATAAACAGCCTTTTATCAAGTATGATTAGTTTTAATAAAAACAATAGAGTGTTCTTTTGTGCTCTAGTGAAAACCCTGCAACTGGAGAAGGTGTTGCACAATTCCTTCATTTTTCAGTTTGAGGAATTTGTTCAGGCTCCAGTGCATGTGTTTGGGTGAAGGTGAGTATGTTGCCATCCCGGTCGTATCCGAGCCAGGAAGGAGGGTCAGCATCACTGTGTTCTTGTTTCTCCAGTTTGGCTGTGTATTTCAGGACAGCTTGTCTGCAACAAGAGTTAGAAAAGAATGAATTACAAAAGTAAAATAAGGTTTGCAGAGGCTGTTTCTCCAGTGACCAACACAAGCTGTTTCCTGAGCAAAAGTTCCTGTTCTAACGAAAGCTATCAGTATTGTAAGTGGTGGTGTGGAAACTACAGGAGAAGGTAATGGCTTGGGCGTTAGTCACAGAACAAACCAGGTTGGAAGGGGCTGCTGGAGATTGCTGAATGGATCCAGCTACACTAGGTGGGTCACAGCTTTGCTGGCTGAGTGTCGCTAGGACTGAAGGTTGCTCAACCTTTCTGGGATCCTGTTCAAGTGTCTGATCAGCCTGCTGATTAAAGAAAATAGTTTCCTTGTATGTGATCAGAATTTTACATGCATCGCTTGTTCTATTGGTGCATCTTTGAGACAGTCTGTGTCCTCTGATCAGTTACAGACAGCACCACAGTTTCCTCCAGCCCAAGCCTGCTCTTCCTGTGACTGAGCAAAGCAAGTCTCAGCCTCTCCTTACATGTTGCATGCCACACGAGAAATACACACAAGGTTAATAAACCAGTTACATCAAAAGATATCACAGCCTCAAGGGAGGTTTTTCATTGCTGTATGGGAAGGTTATAGTGACTGTGCAGGTCCCAATCTCTGGTTTTGTCTTTGAACAGTCTGGCACCTCCATGTACTTTTATCCTTTCCTGCTTCACCTTCTGCTTTCTTTCTGACTAACCTCTCCACCTGTAGTTATCTTCTGTCACCCCCCTCTTTCTCAAGTGTATTGTTTCTGAAACAGATACAGAATGGGCAGAGTTACAGTCTTACTGTTACCTGAAGAGAATTGCTTATGCCCAAAACCACCCATGACTGCTCTGAACTCCCTCAGCATTTGTGGCCACTGCCCCTTTGCAGTGTTAGAACACAAAACCAATGAGCTAGAACAAAGTGACACAGAAATAGGAGGAAATTGGGCCTGCTGAATGAGACATCCTAATAAGATGTTGAAGAGCAGTTCCCTCCTCTCCCTGCTTGTAGGCAGCATCAGCCCAGCACCTTTCTTGCCTTCCTGAGCTGAAGAAACTCAGCCCAGCACTTCCAGCCTTTTGAATGTCTCTTTCTTTCCACCAGTCCTTCACTTGGCTGTCAGCCTGCTCCTGCTGCACAGAGCCCCGGCCTCCCCATGCAGGCTCCTGCATTCCAGAGAGCTCCCCTTGTGTGCTCACTGGGGAGAGCCAGCTCCACACCTCCTGCCCTCTTCAGGAGATCCAACCTCATCTGGTGTCACCACCACAGCAAGGCCACCTTCCTCCCTGCTGGCCAGTTTCCTATGCTCTTCAATAATGTAATATACTGTGTCTGCACGATACTAGTTAAAAACCCAAATTGAAGTGGTCTGTTAGCTGCCAGTAATGCTACTACAGAGCATCTCTTTTATTCCCAAAGTAAAAATGCTGAGCATGGTTACAAAAGAGGCACAGCTGTAACATAACCAGCGCAGCAGGACAGGGTAAGTGGGAAGGCATGGAAAAGGAACAAAATTAGAGACACCAGAAGGGCTCCTTTTCAACCCCTGCAGGATCTGAACACTGCCGCACTGTATGAACACACCAACACAAGGCTCTATCTGTTTTTATATTAGGGAGGCCTGTGCTGTTGAGGAATGTGTGCACAATTTATATGAGCTCTAAGCTCTAAGCTATAAAATACAAATCAACTCATCCAAGTCCAAATTCCTGTTTTCCGTGGAAACTGCAATGTATGGCAGCTGGCTCAAGCATGTATAAGGGGAGCTGTTACTATTCTTTTGGAAGCTTATGCTGTCCCATGCCTGGAGCTACAGTTGATTAGTTTGCCAGAAACAGCCATTCATGAATCACCACCAAATGGCAAAATAGGTCATTTAGTTAAGAGTCTCTGTACCATGGTGGAGCCTGTGTATTTATTTATATACTGTCTTAAATTAGCACATCGATGAATAAAAGCATTTTAGCAAATAATTATGGTTATCTTTGGCAAAGCACTTGGTATAAGTCAGAGAAAAGTGCTGGCCCAAACACAGGGCTTGAGCAGCACTGGATCCTTATTGGATCCTTATCCTTTTTACTGAGAGAGGGTAGGTAGGAAATACAGCTCTGCATCATGGTGTGCATCCTGAGCCACTCCAAAATTCAGAAATGTTTGACTGGGTCAGTCATAACAAAAAGCAGAGGATTTGAACAGGACTCTCTGAGATGAGATTCCAAAACCCAATCAAGAGTAAAAAGTAATGGAAAATAAAAACTTAATCATGAGAGGACTGTTTGTAGTGCCACTGCAGGGGAAATAAAGCTGAAGAAGCAAGTGGAGGCAGGCAGCTAATGGGAAAAGCATGAAGCATCCTGCAAGCATGTTCTGGGTTACACGAAGTGATAACAGCACATCAAATCTGGTGTATTCTGAGGTCTATGTTGGCTGCAGGAGTATTATCATTTGATGGCATCCAGTTCAAGTGCACACGATGGCTCAAACATGGCACTCCAGGAACCTCCATGTCCCTTCTGAAGAGCGATTTGCAGTCAGTGAGAAGCCAGTACTATGATATTTTTGTTGCTTCTTCAAGAGGAAACTTAAGAGTAATTATTCTTAGTCTTTTACCAAATGAGGTGTAGGCTGTCTTCATTTCCCTTTACATGTGTGTTGGACTCCCATATCCTTCCTGATTTAAGACCTGAATATTTAGATAACACCTAAGAAATTCTGCTATTCAAAAAAGAGCTCTTGCAATCTCCTTTTTAACCAACATCAACCATCAGAAAACACAATGACAATGAAATGAAACAAATACCAGAATGTTCTCCAAAAGATAAACGTACTGTACCTACTACGGCCCCTTTTAAAGGGAAAAGTTGCAGTAGTATTTGTTGATGAGTCACTTGATAACAGAATAGCCATGAGTTTAAAAGAAAAAGCTGCTTTCATATTAGTGAGGACAAGGAAAAAGGAAGCATTAATTTTGCTTTCCAAGAACGACCTTTGGTGGAACCAAACTGTTAGGGACGAGCTGCAGTTTGGTGAGAGCTCAAGCCTGGCTTCTCAGGCAATGGAAGATTCCCGTTCTCATTTTGCACCCAGAAATGTTAATAGAGCTCCACACCTTTCAGTGCTGGAGCTGACTTCAAATGGTGTTTGTGTTCCGAAGTGTAAGGAGAACGTTTTACAGGGAAGTGTTTTTCTAAAGATGCCACTGTGTTAGTCCTTGTGGGATTAGTCCCAAGTGAATCAGAACTGATACAACCTTTTCCTACAGAAGACACAGTTTAAGAAGCAGTTAGCTTTCCTTTCCTCTAGCAGAAGAAATCACCTGCACCAGTATCACATACTCCCACAGGTAGTTCATCCATCAATCTTTGTGGCATTTAGAAACTGGATTAATCGAAAGGTCATTAGCCTCTGGATACAGAAATATGCAGCAATCAGGCCATAGACCTTTTTTTCTTCTAACATTTAATAAACTTGGAACCAGGCTGGAATATTGGCAAATACAATCACAAATGCTACCTGATACTGGAAAGTATGGACAATTTATACACTCGTAACTGTTTCCTATGAAGCTTCACTGGGCTGAAACAAAGAACTTTGTGGCTCCATATGTTTTCTATTTCAATCTAACGAAACAGTAAAACTGAATGTGACACAATGCAAGAGATATGTCTCAGTATTTGCAAGGCTCAGTCTATTAAGGCATGTCTGCTAGGACTGGATAGTATTTAATAGTAAACAGTGGGGAATTCCTTTGGCAAAATGAAGTATATATGATTCATAGATTTTTGTAGGGCAACTTTAAACTAAAACCACATTTCTTCTATTGCTTATTGAGAACCTAAACCACTAGCATGCTTAGTTCTCCAGATTAAATTGATTTCTACATAGGTGTCCTCTTCCATCTCCTTAAACTGGGAAAGAAATGTCTCTGAACTGTAGGTTTCGCACCTGCAGAGCGTGAATTACATCTGAAACCAGCATTTCTCTACATCCTGTGAAAATCTAAGAACCTGAGTAAGGTTTTAAGAGTTGGTCTGAAATAGAGAATCAGGCCCTAGTGTTCATTTTTCTGACCATCTGTTGTTACTAAAAGCATACAGGTTGTGAATGAAATGCAGTCTTACAAAATTACATTGTGACATATCACTGACAGCACTGTCATCGCTTTTGATGTCAATGAAAAGCTACTCCAAGATGACTAGCTTTAGAATCACTGCTGTGGTTTACTGAGTAGTTATTGGCAGAAGATTTTTTTTATCATCTTTGCAATATTAGCCTTGAATTACAATAAAAAATAGATTTTTCTAAAGTGTGACACATCCAGGATGTGGAATATCTCTGCATCGAGCTGTGAACGCCCTTTTGTTTTCTGAATATCATTCTATGTAATGACAATATAGAACGTGATTGCAAAGCCACTCAGATTTTGACATGGTTGGTCTATTCTGCAGCCTGCCCAGGTCTAGGGAGGTTCTTCAGACCTGTTGGAAGGAATAAGTGAAAAATCTTCAGTGCTGAATTACTCAACATGGTCAATCACCTGATGGCTTTTGTCCCAGACTCAAATGGCACCGGGTGGGATTTTCCTATCATTAAACATACAGTGCTAAGAATTAGAGAATGAGGCTGGCAAAGAGAAGAACCATCCACTGTCACGTATCAGAACGTCAGGCTCAGGAAAGCAAAACTGGTAAAGTTTGCCTAGTTCCAAAAATCACAATATTATAAAAAGGGCAAAGATAACGCTGGGTGGAGATGTGTGTCTCATGGTTCTGTTTTGCAAAGAGCCATAACTCTCCAGGGCTTTCTTTACAGTAAAAAATAAGTGGTTGGGAAATTCCTTGGCTGAGTCAGAAGGGTTTAATAAAGACGTTTGGAGAACCCATTGCATGTGGGACTCTGAGGCAGAGGCATCACCCTGGGTCACACCGCAAAGGCAGTTTTATGAGAAGCCATGCCAGCTCTTTAAACATGGCTCACAAACTTAACTGGAACTCACACATTTCTGTTCCTACTATATCTCACCTCCATGGGAAGATGTGCAAGCAACCAAAGCCTGGAAGACATGATGCAGTGTGTACTGCTCTAAACAGAGATAAGAAGTCATAGAAAATGCAAGTGAACAACAGTAATCCAGGGGTAAAGGAAAATCTCTTGAGGAAAGTTATGAGGAGATTAAATGTATTTGAAATATCTTTTGCAGAATGAGCTGTGTGCCGCAATAGCAAATAACCATCAAACTGTTAGTGTGTCCACAACTTCCTCAAGAGGGACAGCGGAGGTGCTGATCTCCTGTCTCTGGTGACCAGTGATAGGACACAAGGAAATGGAACAAGCTGCATCTGGGAAGTTCAGACTGGACATGAGGGAAAGGTCCTTCACTGGAACAGGCTCTCCAGGGGAAGCTGTGACAGTACCAAGCCTGTCAAGGAGCATCTAGATGATGCTTTCAGTCATCTGGTTCTGTTTTAGGTTGTCCTGCAAGGAGCAGGGAGTTGGAGTTGAGGATCATTACAGGTCCCTTCCGACTTTAGACATTCTATGAAATCATTCTATGATTCTAAACATGACCAGAACTGAATGTCTTTTAAATAACATGGGGAATCAGGAGACTCAGTCCACTTACACCAGTAGGGAAGTTGGATTAAGTAGTTGTGGTCAATGACCTATTTTTCCCAATTGTAGTTACATAACAAGAATGTTTCACTTGTACTTCATGAAACTCTGCTTATGATACCTTGTCTCATTCACTGTAATCATGATGTATTTTGAGCCCAGGATCACATCTGTTTCTGCTGTATATTGACATTCAGCCCCTTGGCAGCAGGCTCCCACATGTCCTCAGAGTGAGCTCAAGCACATAGTGTGATGGCTTTGCATTGGATGGCTTGCACTGGGACCAGTCTGGCTTTCTCCCTCATGTTCCAATGTGCTCTTGAGGTGATATCCTGTGTCTGCAGAAACTTCCTTAAGAGGACATTGATTGCCACAAAGATAGATGGGGTCCCTGTTTCTCTTCACTTGTGTCTGACACTAGAATATGGAGATATCCACACCAGGCCACAGGAATCCTAAGGCAGCAATGTGGACACCCCTAAACAAAGGAGCAAGATGGCTCAAGCTAGATATTGAGCATGGCACTGTGATGCCAGTGAAGGAAAAAGCGCATGTTTTTGGATTTACAACCACCTCTGATTTAAGATTAGGAAATATTCTCTTACTTGGTGATATTTCTACAGAACAGCATCTTGAGAACCTGGAGTTGCTCACAACCTTTCCAAAGATACTTCAGTGCTTTGTCAGTAAGATGAATGCAACCAGAGACATCCAAGAAGTGGAGATAATGGCAGACTGCAGCCAAGTACTTGATACAGGTATCAGTCATCTGTAAATGAAGCAACAAGACACAGAGAGGTTAGAAGATTATTGACTAGTTGAGAGAGAGAAAAAAAGGAGCACAATTTCAGTGTCCTATTTGTGGGAAAACTATGAAACTGTTTGAAAATACTGTGTGGAAATGGAGTCTCTGGCACAGCAGAATGCTCAATCTCTCTGAAAGAAGCTCTACAGAAACTGTGATTTAGGTATCAGGAGGACATTAGGCATTAGTTACTTATGATTCCAGAACAGTCTAAAGTACTGGGGGATGTTTTTTACCTAATCTGAGTGTTTTAACTTTCCAAATGTCATAACTTTGTATGTAGCACACTTAAACCTTACCTGCTGTTACATTGCTCTCACTAAAGAATTAGGCTGCACTTATAATTTAGTTATATCAGTTTTGTAGCTCAGTTCTCTGTTACTAATGAGTGTCTCACACCAAGACCTTTTTAAGGTACAGCTGGCTTTCTTTAGCTCTGACGCTGCTCAGTTTCACCTCACAATTCAATTTTTCTGAACTGACACTCATTGCCATTAATGCTGAAAGTTGTATTTGAGAAGAACATGAGACACAGAGTCTTCAAGGTACATAAGCTATTTAATGGCTACAGTGACCTCAACAGAAACAGTTAAGAATATATTATGCACACACTTTAATTACCGTGTTCACTCAGAACCAAAAAACAAGAGGGGACATATGAAAGACCTTTTAAAGGTACTTGATTAAAATCGGTGGAGTGGAATGGTGGAAAGAGAGATGAGGGTTTCGTTTGCACTAAACAGCCAATCTCACAGGAGTCTAAACGGACAAGGAGGCAAGGTGAAGCTGAGAACTTGGGCTGTGGAAGAGAAGATTAGCACACTATCTTGTGATGCAGTCCTCCTGGAATACATAAGTAATTCTGTGATTTGTTTATTCCAGATTTAGCTATATGCTCAATATTAAAACCTGCAATAGATTAATAAATAGATTGTAAGATTAACAAATAGATTAACATTCCTATTGAAATAAAAAGAAGTTGCTGACTTTGAAGTCAGTGATCACCATTTAAGAGAAATCTACATTCATCGTACACTCAATCCTATTGCCTTTACAGGACTGAATTACAGAACTCAATGTCCATCAAACTGTGCCTTTAGAACTCTGCTATTTGCAGAGATTTATTTTCAATTCTTGTTGTATTTTTTCATGTATAGGATATGTTTCCCACATCAACTTCATTTTTTCCCTGTGAAATAGGAATTACTCTTGAATCAGGCTCATTCCTTGAGTAAGACTCAGAACCACACTGCTGAGTATTTTACAGTATCAGCATTTGGAAAACGCCGTGTACTTGTCCTAGGTATGCAGAAACATGACAGGAGGCTCACCACACTTTCACTAAAGCCAATGGAGCTTGTACAAAGACAATGAATTTGCTCCAGTAGATATGACTAAAGTAGTAAGCTCTTCTAATTTTAGAGTAACCTGCACAGCACATGCCAACACGTTCTTAATGGGCATGGATTTCTATATTGGTTTTTTTTCCATGTTCTGTTGCTATGATGTTTGTTTGCAATTCTTTTTTTTTAATATAATATAGCTGGTGTCGTAGGATGTGAGTGTCAGACATACTGACATTTATCCTTTGGAACAGGTTCATTCTTACTTTAAACTCTTGACCATTTTAAACAGTCTCTGAGTGGAAAATATTTCCCTTCTTAGCAGCTGGATCCCCTCAATTTACATCAGAGATTGCCAAAGGATTTTAAAGACCCATTACTTTTAACATCCACAGGTGTACTCATCTCATTTTGTGCAGTTGCAAGCTGGATTCAAGTCAGAAAAAGACTTGTAAACCCAGTGTAGGTTTATTGTGAAGAATCTTGATGTTCTTTTCTCAAAATAGTAGGGTATTAGCAGTTAACAGATTGGCTTTAAAACCGTTTACAGAAAAGAGCATCTAGAAACAAAGTGTTGGAAGAAGATTTGTTGGTCAAATTGGTGTCAGTCAGTCACTGAGTCTACTTCTTGTTCCCATTTGCAGGAACTACAAAACATGGCCCAGCTCATTCCCTTGCTAAGAGCCATCCTAACATTAATACTTTGCCCCTGTCTCCCTTCCCAGAATGTTGGTTTACAAATCACTGTTCTGATAACCAGAAACTCTTCTGGTTTCCAGCCTAAATGTATTTATTGCCATTTGTTTTTATTTGTTTTCCTGTGTTAGTACATAAGGTGAAGTGGAAAGCATGTCAGAGAAGACTGGTTGCAGCACTACCTAACTTCAATTCCCTTGGGAAGATCTTCATGCACAATTTCTATTATTGCTGTTATTATGGAAAAACAGATTAATATCTGTCCAAAAGTGAAGGATACAGGAGATCGAGACCCATATATATAACAATTAATGATGTGCAGTAGGTAACTGTAAGATACAAACCCAGGACTTTTGTAAGACATGGAGCAACCTGCTTGGCCTACCAGATCTGAAACACAGCCTGTGGATTTTGGCCTAGAAGCTGAGACTCTTATGAACCTTTGGAAGGCAAACAACTTGATCAAAGCCTCTGTAATTTCGGGCTGGCTAAGCAGCCAGCCAAGTCATCTCAAACTACTTGGCTAGGTGGCTGTATTCAGCCACTGCAGTGAATAAGAGGGCTGAAAGGATAGTCAAGGGTTATGGAGATAGATAGGTGCTGGAGAGGAGGAAAGCAGGGACAAGTGATGGCTGCAAACATTGCGGAAGGAAATAGGACATGGGCACTTCAGTGGGATAAAGAGGGAAATGGTCCAATGAGTATGGTGAAATTTTAAAGAATAGTTCAAAATGAACTTTCTCAAAACTGGTAAGAAAATTGTTCTGCTCACTTGAGAGTGATGAAGCAACATCACCACAAGTATTTCTATTAAATTAAAAAGAATAAATCAGCATTTTAAAAATTGCATTTGAAGCTTATTGCCAAACTGCAGTCAGTCTTTGTTTGTTGCTATTAAATAAAATACTTAAAAGCATAGAAATAACTAGATGCACAAAAGCCAGACATATTAAGTGAGAAAGTACAAGAAAGAAGATTTAGGACTTTATAACAGCATTAATTTAAAAAAGGAACACACATTCTGATACAGGAAAATGATCACTGAGATGTGAGACTTTAATAAAAGAGAAATGATATAAAAAACTAGGAAACAAAAATGCTCCAGGATAAGCTCATGGTAAAGAGGAACTCTTTCAGTATGGATTAATCTTAATCTAAATAAAGTAATGTCTGGAAACAATTGTGTGTGGGGGTTGGATATCTGGACATTCTGAATGAAAATATTTGAGCAGCTGTCCTAGAGAGATGTTAGTTACTTGAAAATGGCTGCAACTGCCCATCAGTTTATTGGTAATAAATACCTCCTAAACACAATACAGTACATCAGACTCACCAAAGCACACTGGGGACCACTAGCAAAATTGTCACATTAACTTGGATACGAAGGGAATATTGATATATCCTTGTGATGACTATTATTCTGAGTATCCTTCTAGTAGTCACCAGAGAGACAGGGCTTCTCAAAGCACTGAGGAAAGGTTTCCTGACTGTAGGAAGACTTCTCTCCACTGATTGTAAAAAAAAGCAGCCTGAGCCTGGGGAAGACTCTCCTCCATAGGTATAAGTTACCCAACTACCTCATCACTTTATTTTCCAAAGGACTTAATTTCTTAGGCTTAGAATCTTCAAAATAATTAAACATGGATTTACATCTGAGTGCATCAATTTTTTAGGCACTATTACTATATTCAAGGTAGCCACTGCCCTGCCAAATTCTTTACAAGGGTGGTAAAATACTGGCACAGGTTGCTCAGAGAGGTGGTGAATGCACCATCCCTGGAAATATTCAAGGCCAGGCTGGATGTGGTTCTGTGCACCTGATGCAGTTGAAGATGTCCCTGCACATTGCAGAGGAGTTGAAGCAGATAACCTTTGAAGGTCCCTTCCAAACCAAACTATTCTAATGATTCCATAAAGCCATAGTTATGGAGTTCTCATGTCCCAGTTTATGCTGTACCTGGGTTCAGAAAGAGCAAAAATACCGAGAGTTATTAAAACAAAGACACCACACTTCAGAAGCACCCAAACCACCAGAAGCTGGAGAGAGTATTTGCAGGAAGTGTCACTAAAACACTTCTCTCTCCACCCTTCCCTAGATGTCAGCCCCTGGAGAGACAAACTTTTATCTGATACAGCACAGACACCTTTATGTAACTGCAACCATTAGAAGAACGCCAAACACTCTCATGAGCCAAGCCTCAGAACTTCAAACTTATGGAAAATCAGCTGAACTTAAGCTCTGACTTATAAATGAGTTTAGTGTAGAATTGTGACAAAGACACAGATGCCAGCAGGTCACATTTCTGAAGGAAACACTAAGTACTTCTTTGCAATAGCAATCCCAGAACCAGTGCCCCATTTCTTACCCATACCTTTGGGCAACCCGCTAGGTTGACTGATGTTAGTCTCTGGCAGTGAAATGCCAATGCCTTCACAGCTTCATCTGTCAGCTGAGGGCAGCAGGAGACATGGAAGTGCTCCAGGTATTTTGTGCCCTTGCAGAACTCCTGAAAGAGGGACAAACCAATCGATCATTCTTAGGTGATGTGCCTAGTCGTTTTTTTCTTAATTTGCAATGCATTTACATCAATCCTTTGATCCACTCCAGGCATTTCAGTTTTCTAGTAGTGATGACATTATTTAGTAGTGATGACATTCAGCTGTTGGCTGTGACTGTCACTAGAAAAAGAAGAGATGCATTGAGAAGCTGTTTTCCATTGCCTATATATTATACTGTGTGTTCATTAGACTAACATTCATGTAAGTTCCACTGTATATATTAAAGTATGTTGAATTTGTATTCTTTGGATTGAATACAACCCACAACATAAAGATGTGTGCCTAAAGGACTAACCCCAAATACATTTTTTTTTCTACTCTGAAAATACCCATATTTTTGTATATTAACTTTTCTCGCTTTTTTTGTTGGATTTTTTTTTTGGGGGGGGGGGTGTTGTTTTTGGTTTTTAGGGTTTTTTGTTTGCTTTGTTTTGTTTTAAACGAACAAACATCTGTGTCTGTATAAATGACATTCTTTTCTTAGAAAGCAATGGGTAAGGATCTCAGGACTATCACTCGGGAGTTCTGGGTTCTGATTCACTCTGTGGAATTCAGGCTAGTTAGCTGTGTCTGAAATGCCCTGCAATTCCTGCTGTGATACCTGTGGACTACTATTTCTATCCTCATTTTCAGGGTGAATGATCACCTGCAGATCCTACTGACTTAAATTCCAGCTCAGTTTAACCGTGCCAAATGCAGGGTCCTACACCTGGGTCGGAGCAATCCCAGACACAGCTACAGGTTGGGCAGAGAAGAGATTCAGAGCAGCCCTGTGGAGAAGGACTTGGGGGTGTTGGTCAATGAGAAAATGAACATGAGCCAGCTTCAGTGTGCACTTGCAGCCCAGAAAGCCAACTGTATCCTGGGCTGCATCAAAAGGAGCGTGACCAGCAGGTCAAAGGAGGTGATCCTGCCCCTCTGCTCTGCTCTTGTGAGACCTCACTTGGAGTATTGTGTGCAGTTCTGGTGTCCTCAACATAAAAAGGACATGGAACTGTTGGAACAAGTCCAGAGGAGGGCCATGAGGATGATCAGGGGACTGGAGCACCTCCCGTATGAAGACAGGCTGAGAAAGTTGGAGCTGTTCAGCCTGGAGAAGAGAAGGCTGCGTGGAGACCTCAGAGCAGCCTTCCAGTATCTGAAGGGGGCCTATAGGGATCCTGGAGAGGGACTCTTCATTAGGGACTGTAGTGATAGGACAAGGGGTAACGGGTTAAAACCTAAACAGGGAAAGTTTAGATTGGATATAAGGAAGAAGTTCTTTACTGTGAGGATGGTGAGGCACTGGAATAAGTTGCCCAGGGAAGCTGTGAATGCTCCATCCCTGGCGGTGTTCAAAGCCAGGTTGGACAGAGCCTTGGGTGACATGGTTTAGTGTGAGGTATCCCTGCCCGTGGCAGGGGGGTTGGAACTAGATGATCTTAAGGTCCTTTCCAACCTTAAGTATTCTATGACTCTATCTTGGGAAATAACAGAGAAAAGCATTCAGTGAGATTTCTGAGCTTGTAAAATTTAGTGGGGATTATGAACTTGCAAGAGCTGTTTCCAAAACATTTTGGTGACCTGCAGATGGCAAGTGATAAATAGGTGCAAGGTAGTGTTATTCTTACTACAACTGCTATTAAGATATTCCAGCTTCTACTTTTACATAAATACTTAGTTTGCCCTTACAAGGCCAACTAAAAAGACCAAAGGGACAATTTAACCAACTCAATGTGTTCATGTGTTTTTCATCTTATGTTTGCACCCTTGCAGGTGATCGTATGAACAAAATTTTTTTGCAAAATGCACATTAAAGTATATATTTTAAATAGCATCAGAGAATCCCACCTAAAACTTTGCTTTTCATGAAACATGAGTAGTTATAACTTTGGCATACTATGCACATTTATTGTTTGTAATTAAACTTCTATGAAAGGCCACATAGATTCATAAAATGCACTTTTCTCCTTTTGCGCTCTGCAACTTTCTTTGCCTTTTGGCCTGAATCTTTTTCAAAGCTGGAAACATCCACTTAGGCCTACAGAAGAAGAAGGTGCACCCTAGTTTGTGTTTGTGCAAACCTTCTCTTCAAGAGCCTGCAGAATTGTTAACTCAAGAACCAAGCAACCTAAAATCATATTTTGTCATCTAACAGTGCCGTGATGTGAACATCACAGAACATTCTGCAGCTCAAACAAAGCTTTATCTTCCCTGAGAATATCTCCTGTGATGTCCATCTTCTGTCTTTTCCACCCTAAAACCATGGTAAAACGCCTTAAATTTGCCACTGAGCTGATCTTCCAGGCCTGCTTATCTTGGCCTAAGGCCAGTGTAATTTGTCATTTACTGGAATGGAAATTCTACCTCTGTAGGCAAAGAAGGAAATACTTGTGTAGTAGAGTGAATAAAAACCAAACACTGTTGCATGAACCTTCTCAAAACGTTCAAGAATTAGTCCTGAAGGAAACAGACAAAAGACCACAGGGAGAAATAGCACACGTGCATGCACATGGAGACACACAAATCCACATACCTATCATGCACAAATATTACATATTTATCATTCTGAAGAAAGTCCTGTAGGTTATTGCCTCTAACAGGAGGAACTCTGACACTAATGTATGGTTGATCACTGGAAAATTTTAGCGTAGTTATGATCAAAAACTACATGATTCTGTCAGAAATTTGGTTCATAGACCAGAATTCAGAATTGTCAGTGGACAATTCAGAATTTGTATTAATTGGCTTCTGTACCTTTCCTACTTCAAACTTCGCTCTACAGGCTGTTTGTTACCTGTAATAGAGAAACATTCTAATCTCAGTAACTGAACTGGTTTTATTCATGTGTAAAAGCAACTGCACTCCCTTCAGAATTAGACCTCAGATGTGATGGCTTAATCACAACATTCTCAGCTAGGGTATGTAACACAAGCTGAAGCCAAGATTTCAGTGCCTGTGTGATACGTTTATCTTGTTTTTACTGGCATAGTTTGCCTACAGACATATTTTTAATACCCTTCGAAGTTACATTCTGAATTTGCTCTTAACCTTTAGTCTACCCCAACATTATTTTGCAAAGAGCACTAAAATTACATTTGCAATCAAAGGGAACAGAGCTTTGTTTGCTTTCTTCATCTCTGTATCCTCTGTCTATAAAGAAAATAATGGCAGAGGTTGGGAAGATAAACAATGTTTGCAAAACATTCAGACTACAAAGAATCAAATACCATATGAAGGAAACAACATCATTTTCTACCTTATTTACACAATTGTAATTCTGTGTAAATAAGGCCTGAAGACACACACAAACTTCAAAGGAAATATGAAATGCTGAATTGCTGCTCATTAAGTGAGCATTACCTGAGTTATGAATAAGCAAAGATTCTACTTACAAAATATGTGATCACATAAGCATTTACATACTGTTATAATGGCTGGGGACGAATAAAAGAATTAACACTGTACAGTCCACGTTATTTCTGTTTATATAGTTTTCAGTTATATTACTTAGCTATTTTATAACTTTCCAGCAACTTACCTTCACAGTGTTAGAAAACCTCTCTTAATATGCATTTTCTTTTCACATAATTTAAGTATTCTTTATATAATCAAAGTAGAACCAAGTCATGCAGCATACAATGGGGTTAGTCTCTACAAATTTCCATAACCTCATAACATATGAGAGGTTATTTATAGATTCAACTTACAAAAAAGGACTTGCCATTTTGTTTTGAGTTACTTCATACCTCTTCTTTCTCCTGCCCTCCCTAGATCCATGACAACATGGCTTCTGTAACTTCTGCATGTACACCCTGCTGCTGCTTTCTTCCTCTAAAAGTTTAAATTTATATGTCAGACCAGGAAAGAATAAACACTCCTTTTTCCATAGTCTTTGTTTTGAACTTACTTTATACGGTAAGACAAGTGAAATAGCTTCTTATCCATAAGCACAGCACAACACAGAAGTGATTATTCTCCTCTAAAAGCATTAGCATTGGCACTACGCGACTTTCCATGAGGTACACAAGATATACATACTTGGTCATTGTTCTGGTTAAAAACATGGAACTTTATTACACAGAACATTCACAGAAGGCAAGTCAGAATTATTCCTAAAGAAGCAAATCCTAATGGCCTGACGTGTATGTTGAGTAACAAGATTCAATCCAGATGCATCCCTTGTGGTACAGCAACAACTGACTCATTCTTATATATATGGCGATAAAATTATGAATGTTGCAGCTTTATAATGGAAAAAATGTAGAAGCTGAAGACTGAGATTATGTGATGGCATTGCCTGTACCCGCAGCCTCATGATCTGCAACTGTTTATGGGCATGAAATTCATACAATCAAAAAATCATGATTTCAGCATTTTTGTTACATATGACTAGGAACAATTCTCAGTTACAGAAAAAAGTGCTCTTATTTGGATATGAATCCTCTCTCCCTCCTAAAGAGATGGATGGTTCTTTTTTCTACTGCAAAGTTACTGACTAGTGTTTACTTCTTATATTCTTCTGAAACACAGTGGTAAATCTATGCAATTATATTGAGTTTGTCAAATCTCCATAAGGATTTAGGTAAAATTCAAACAACCTGTGATAAGGATAAGGAATTTCACAGTTTAAGTATACATTTTAGAAACCATACTTTTCTTCATTCTGAATATTCAAACTAGGTTCATTACATGTCCACTAAATTACGTATGAAGTAAACAGCAAACACTGACCCCTTTCCACCCTTTTCATGCCATGTGGTTAAAGAGATCACAGCGTATTCCCTCAACCACCCCCCTCCCAGACAGCAGGTTCCTTGCTTACTTATCTGTTCCTTTTATGGAGATTGTACCATGCCTCTGATCATCCCTATTACCCTCTCTGCATCTTCTCCAGTGTGAGTGCAATGCTTTACCCAGAAAAAGAATTACAGTAACACCAAATAACCCATTTTACCAAAACAAGAGAATAAGTACTAATAAATCAGAATTTAGCATGTAGTTACTGCTGCTATGATAGTATGTCATCTAAGTGTAGTTACTGCTGCTATGATAGTGTACATCATCTAAGTGTTTGGAGGGCAAGTTTCATTAAATGAGTTGACACTCATTAAACAAAAGCGAGAGTCAGTAAGCAGAAATATTAAAAACCCCATAAACATTGTAAAATGAAATTCAAATTTTGTATTAGTACTAACAGCTCTGTGATAGCTGCTGATTATGCGAAAGAGAGAGCATTTTCTCACTGTGTAACTTTTTAAGTTATCATCCACGTAAATAACTGATTTTGTGGCAACTTCCATCTGAAAGTTGCCTTTATACAAATTATTAATTAATTTCCTGTGTGGTTACTTTATAAAAATTATTTCTAAGCTCATAGGCTAAATATGAGAGCAGAACACTATAAAAATGCATGGTTTAATCTAATCTTTCTATTTTAAGAACAGTGTCTGGGTTTATATTGCACAGATCCAATATTTAAATTTCAAACCCACTGCATGTAATTTTAAAAGAAAAATAACAGAAAAAAAAGAAGTTTAGTGAGATTCAATCGAAGTCTTGCTGTGACAATGATGAGGTTTTTAGAATAAGAAGTCAGTATTTCAAACGAGTAGTTTCAAATACATGGAGTCCATTTTCTAGCAGACTAGTTTGATATTAATTTGGTTAGATTTGACTAAATTACTCATTTGATGCTTCTGTAAAGGTTTTATTCAAATAAGGGCACAGTGCAATTTGTGTTATTTTTCCCATAAAATAGCTAAGACATCTATCCAATCTAGAGAAGATGTACATGCATTTCTTATTGAAATATATTTTGGGTTTTTTTTATAACAGTAATCATGCCATTTATGCTAGTAAGAAATATGCGGTTAGAGGCAAATTGAGACATATTTTTGTGTCACTAAGAGATAATGGTGTGTAGCAATGTATCAGCAGCACATGAGGAACCAACATTTGAAATGGTGCAGTCACACTCATGGGTTCATGATCAACCCCCAGATTCAAGACTAAAAGTAATTCAACTATTCCATTGAGCGAGGCATGCTGCATCATCTAAATATGGCATTCAACAAATCAGTAACTAAAGAAGCAGAAAGCAAAACCTGAAAACCAGTGATGGGAAAAGTTTGGTTTAGATAGATAGACATTGGTGAAGGATTTGTAGAGCAAGAAGGAAATAATTGCACCAGCAACTTAGACTGCAGTTTGCACAGTACAATTCATCAGAAATTTAGGCTCTTGTAGAGTGAATTTCAGAGTCAAGTGGGATTCAAGATGCATTAAAGTTCATGGAAGAAATGAGGAAAATACAGAAACAAATTGAAGTAGAGCAAGAGTGTAGAACAGTGTAATGAAGAATGAATGATGAAATAAGATCAGTTTTGAACACGGTTAATTATAAGAAATAGAGAGGCTCCCAGGAACCACCAAGAGAAGAGGTGAAGTTTTACCTGAATCCCAGTATCACTGATGTTTTTGCATTCTGATATAGAAAGTTCCTTTATTTTTCCTTGGCAGCCAAGAGTCCTCAAACCCTAAAAAAATCCAGATAATCTTAAAAATCAATACATGCAAATTATATGTAATTATGTCAAGATGGTCAATAATATATGGTGCCTGTATATTAAAGCTTCTAAGAATTACAGCACCTTTTAAGACATTGTCCTCAGCAGAATGCTTATAGTTTAACCTCCTATTTTTGCTTGAAGTATGTACAGGGGTTTAGAATTCTTTGGAGAAATAATTCAAACGAAAAGGCAAAAATTAGGTTTTCCTCCCTGTTCAGAAAGACAGAAACTGAAGAAAAGTAGCAGGGTGTGAAATACTCCCACAGGACACAGACCAGGACTCTCATAAAGGAAAACACAATTACAGATCTCTTTCAAAATTTGGGATTGAAAGAACTTTTTTGCATTTTTTTCTTGTTGGAAGAACAAAACACTATTTGCTCTTATAAAATCTTAAAATTGCTGCCTTTATGATCTGCTTAACAGTCAGGTCTTCATGGCTACAGCTGTGGTACAAGACAATGTTTGAAAAGGTGCAATCACACCCACAGGTGCATGAACAACCCCCAAATTGTAGACAACAGGGAGGTGAAAACATTGGTAAATTCCTATTTTAGCAGTGCAAAAGGCTCTGAAGATGCTTCATGATTTTTACAGCTTGCACACCAGGAAACAGGACCATGTTCTGATCCTAAACTCTCTAATCTGAGAATGAAATGCTGATTTTGTAGAATGTATTTTGATAGTCACAAGCAGAACATCTCTGTGCTTCATACCAATAAAGTAAACTTCACTGAAAAACAAAGTTATCACTTTAGCCCATATGGCTAAAAAGTTATCTACAATTAGGCAGTGAACAGCACTGCACAGAGAGGAAATATCATCTTGAAAAAATAAGCTCATCTAACTAGTGTCTGGAATCCAGATGTGGACTGCAATGATAATACTGGAAGAGTGCGGCTGGAGTTCAAATTTTGCAAATTCCTGAAATCTCCCAGGCTGGATAAAACCAAAATGGAACAATGAAAGAGATTTGCAACCCTGGCTACTTCTGAAAACAAAGACATTTGCATTTTCCTCCGCAGATGCAGTTACGTGGTGAGCGTAACTTTCAACAGCTCCATGAAAATCTACAGCTGCCAATTTCTTGTTGACCAGAGCAAGACAAAAAGCCAGTTATGTATTTAAACCCCAAATGGGTTTATGTCAGAACTTGAATTTTTTACAGCAGAGACTGATAGTGATAGGTGTGACCTTATAGACATAATTTCTTCTTGCATTTTTCTTTGTTTAAAAGTGGCATCACATTAATGTAGTTGTTAATGAAACACTAAAGAATATTATAAAGATTTGTGACAACTAATGCTGCTATGAATTAATTTATAATCATTTTATATGACTGGAGTGACATTGATTCACAGAACAACTATTTTTTCTTTTTCAATGAAAATCAAGGTCTCCTTTGAGGCATTTCATTAATAATTCCAGATTTGAGGAGGGGAAAACAGAAAGAAGACAAGGAATGTCATTAGAAACTGCCTATAGAAAAATCATGAAACTCTTATATTTCCAAGAATAATCCTCTTCAAACAAGCCCTACACTGGAAGTCTAATCTATATGACATTTTTAACTATTTTTTTTTTTATTTAGCATATATACAAAGCAGACAATTATCACTAGTTTTATCAGACTTCCTGAGTTATACATTAGTATTCCCTGATAAATAATATCAGTATCCCCATCCAGGATTCTGACCTCCTTCTGTAGACTTTTATTTTCCATACTAAGCCTCCAGATGTTTTTGAAAGATATGGTCAGACTTATCATATTGTCATTGGAACTCCTGGAAATAGATGCTAGCAAAACAAATACTGCGTGACATACAGATTAGAATCACCCACTCTATGTGTCTCCAAAAACATATTTCCCACTTAACATACAGAAATCACTGTGCGTATCTTGGCTCAATCTCTGTTGCCATGGAGAAAGAGAAGACTTTTTTGTCTTTCATCTTTTAGAATGTATACTACCATTTCCATTTAGAAAACAACTTTTAAATAAACTTCTTATTCCTCAACAAGAGCTTTTTTTTTTCCAAGCAATTTTTACATTTTTGTTCTGTTTCATTTACTTCATTGCATTAGGCCTACAAATAATTGCAGGACATCACTTATTATTATTCCACCATGGCTTTTGTAGATGAGAAAATAAGTATCAACTGCACCAGGTGGTGAGGGTCTTCACTTGCTAGAGTCATCTGTGGCTATGGCATACCAAAGAACAACTCTTTGTCATTCATATTCACAAGCTGAAAGTCCCTCCCTTTCAAGTGCAGACTGCAAAGAATGTACCAACTCTGGCTAACAATAACCATGTGCTACATTATTTTCAGCTTCTGAGTCTCTTGTTCGCATGTTTACAACCTTAAAGGTCAGCATCTGTAATGCATCCTTATGTTCCAAAGATACACAGATGCTACTTCCTGTTCATACTCCAATAGGTTGAACTCAAAGTGACTCCAATCTTGGAAGACAGCTCTTCAGAGGTAACTCCTACCTTCCATTTCTGAACCATTTAATATTAAATAATTCAGCTTATCCTCTAAAATGCTCAGATTTCTGCACAGATTAGCCACAGTCAGACACCTGTTTTGTGGATCAAACACAAGAGAAGATTGTAATTCCTATCATACAGTATCATTTTTCTAATAACAATACATATGTGGCAGAATGAAGTTCAGCTCAGCTTCAGATAGTAAAAACCTTCTGGAAAATGGTTAAGCCCTTAGGCAAATGTAGCCATACTGTTTCCAATACCTGAGCTAAGATAAGGGTGGGTCAGATCTGTTTACAGGAACGGTAGAAACATTTTTATATTGCAATGCAGAAATCCCCCTAGATGACTTTGTGTATAATGCATGCTACAAAAATGACTTTCTGTACCTAACACCATTTGCAGTTGGACCAGATCATAACTTCTGGGATACAGATGCCAATGTTTCTTGACACTAACTCCAGACAACAGGGCATCCGTTGTAACAAAATGTCCTATAAAAACATTGAGACCAATTTTCATCATTGATAAGTACCTTTAATTCCTACTCATTTGCATTGGAACTCAAGGTGTTTGCATATCGGCATTGATTGTAAAAATCTTCTGTGTTAGTATTTCCTGTCCTTATGCAGAATTAAGTTTCTAAGTCTCTAAGCTAAATTATCTCTTTCTCTATCCTCCCAAGCCAACTGGAGTGCTAACATCTGAACTTGAAGCCCACTTTAACATACTTCAGCATTTCCTTTCCCCTGCCATGGGAATGTGTGCGACTTGTCACGTCTTTTCCTTTGGAAATCAAATGCAACTAATTCATTTGCAGTCTGTTGCTAGTTATATCTGCTAGACCTGATAATATTATTTTCTTAACCTTTACAACACTCTTCCTCAGTCCTGGCCTAATTTTCTAGTAGACCAAAATGTGAATACAGGCTATGGGTCAAGTCACTGTTGACTCAGAATCCCACAAAGAGTGCAAAGAAATTATTCTAGATAACTGTGGAAATCCAAAATGTCACTTTTAGTTTGGGTTTTTTATTATTAAGATATTAGTAAATATTTATGTTGAATCTACACCTTCAGGACCAGCCAGGACCTGAAGATCATTAAGTACAAACACATAAGAAAAGAAAGTTGAGCTGTTTATACAGCTATATAAGCACTACTCCAGAGTTCCTAATGAGACATTATCCTCAGTTTAAAGAGCACTTTACTTTAAAGAGTAACTACACACACAGCACACAAAAAACCTGTGCCTGATTAGCTGACTTGATGCCACAAATAATTCTTGAGGAGGCATTTTCAACCAGAAGTGAGAATTGGGCCTTAGATTATCACAAGAGAACTTCCATGTATGCCAGTCATTGCAGAAGAAAATGTAAAAGCAAAGAATATTTCTCTATATACTTCATATTTTCTTTTTATCTTTTATTTCAGAAGTGTATCGAGGTTCTTCACATGTTTAAGTATTCTACCTATTTTTTAGGTTTTAGGCTATTTTTATCTCTCATTATTACACTGTATGCAATTCACCAGTGGTATTAATCTTCCCTGAGTCTGTGTCAGGGCATCTACAGTTTTTTGCTAATCGATACTCTACATAACTCAGGAGCGAACTAAGTCTCTTTAACAATTCCTTCTATTATTCTTTGCTACACTTTTTTGTCTAAATCCTGTTTGATTTAAGGCACTTTCTTCACATGTCCTGACACTTCTACGCTTATTTTTCTTTTTAATGTCCCAAGAAGATGGGTGGTCCAGGCTATGTGCATCAGCAGCTTGTGTTGGAATGAGGAAAGCCAGGCAGCTGCACACTTCCAGACTCTCACCCTTGGAGCAAAGCTGCCAAAGCTGCATCATATAGACATCAGAAAGAGTTCAAAGTGTTTTAACAAAAATATGGACAGTATGAGAATAAAGCTGATGGAAGCATGGGAAACTCATGGAAGCATTTCCGCAAAGGCTGCTTTTACAGGAAAGATAAACAGGTTTTGGTTCTAAACGCTAATGTTTCCAGCTCCTCAATGGAAGCTTAAATTCCTTGTATATATTGTAAATAAGTTCAGAATGATGTCTAAAATAACTTGTGGCATTATCTGTGCATTCATGAACATGTTCACCATACTCACAATTTAAAACACTGTGGTCTATATTCCAAGGAGTTTAGAAGAGCAAAATCCAAGGGGAAACAATGAGGGGTGGCAGACTAGCTAGAAAACAAGGGAATTTGCTCAAAGAATTTAAAGGGAGTTCTTTCAAAGAACTTGACAGCTTTGCTCAGTCATTGTGGATTTTTTCAAAGCTGTCACTAGGCTGCAAATCTTTTCATTTCCAAGTGTCTTTTAAGTTGTTTATAACGTTAAGAAAGCGATCTCGAGTACTTCCGGAATGATAAAACCAGAACCAATGTCATCCCCACTATTAAAAAAAAAGTTATTCAGACTTGAAAATGTGTTATTTGTTTTTTCAAAAAATCAATTTTTACTAAAGAGGGAAATATTTTCTGAAATGTAAAAGAATGAATGCTGGAGGAACTGAGTGAATAAATTAATGGTTAGAATGCAGTTGTGGGGTCTTTATTTAATGTTATATATTTTATGAAAGTAAGAGCAATGTAGTCAAAGTCCTAATGAGAACAGAGCAGTAACTTCTTCACTATGCTGCTGGTATCTCCCATGCATGTAGCTGGCATCCTCTTCATTGAATGATACTGGGTTTTGTTAATGAATGGTCTTTGACTTATCCAGCAAGACACTTAAACACACATACAACTTAAACATGATGAATTACGTGCCTTATTCTAGCTTGTGATTAGAAGTTTGCCTAGACATATTCTTTCTGTGTAAAATGCATAACTTTCTACACCATACCAAAATGTGAATATATGCAACGATTATTTTTATTCAATTTCCAGTCTTTTTGTTGAGGAGTAAACTGAGGACAAGAATAAAAAACTTCACCAAGCATGAGAGATACCTTTGATGTATTTCTTACCAGCACTGCAGTTTTTAATTACTGTGAGTCTACAGGGTATTTATTTATTTCATATTAACAAGGCTCTCTTGTCAGGGATAATTTTAAGAGTTAATGGATTTCTTCCAAATGCAACAAATTTCCTGAATGAAAGACAAGGTTGCAACAGGAACATTCACTTATTTGGCACCAAATGATGCCTCAACTACAGAAGAGGAAGGCACCAACAGTGGAAAAACCCATTTTGATTAAGTCTGTCATAACTTATTGTAGTAAATTCTGCTCTGCTTTGATGGGCAGAATGATTTTGCTGTCATTTGAAAATAAAACAGAAAGGAAAATTCTCTCTTGTAGTGCAAATCTATGTTGTACATTCTACATTTTTCACACTATATAGCAAGACAGCAAAAGCAAGAGAGATCTGCTGCACAGGCTGCAGGAAAGTGTATGAGCCTTACCATTCTTCATCAGCACAGAGTAATGGTGCTGATTACTGCACATAAAACATTGTGCTACATTTTTAAAGCAATACTTACTAAGTCTAAATTGAAAGAAATCTTAATACAACTTTGCATGCTAATAAAATGCATAATATAAAGTCAAAGCATACAAATAGCAGCTTCTTACAAAGCAGACTTCTAGATTTCCTTTTATCAAATTAATGGTTTAAGATTAGAAAATGTATTTATTATATATGCATGAATGTTTTATACCCAAACACAGCAAACAGCAAAGTCCATAACAGTTTTGTAGCTAGTACTGGCAATCGGAACAGAAATCACACAAATGGATAAATGAACAGTTTCTGGCTTAATTTATCTGTCTTGTGGGAGAGAGAAAACTGAAAGCCTCAGAAATGCAGTATAAGCAAAAGAGCTTGGCTTATTGCCGAGGTCATGAGTTGTGCTATGTGAAAACTAGAGTAAGAAGCAAGACAGCATTTTAAAAGACTAGTTGTGGCAGGCAAGGAGAAAGAAAACATTTACATTGAAACATGGAAATTCAAGGCAGCACAAATTTCATTCAGATATGATTTTTCTGATCTTGGATTTCCCAACCCTCTTGGTTGAGCTTAATTTTGGTTTTTATTTTCAGGCCTCTCTAAAAGATTCAGGCATTTTAATTACTTTTGCACAGAGCACAAACTCTCTATTGGAGACAAGTAATAAAGTTCTTGGTCAGAAATCTGGTTGAACTGTGGCTGAGCAAATAGCCCCTATGGGAACTTTTCTCCATGAGATTTCTCCTACGTTTCTGTGTTCAGTGAAGTGTTTGCCCCAGAAGTAGAGGAAAGAGCAGAACTGGCTCTGAACCCTGCACACAAGCCAGGACCTGACAAGAACATCTAATGTGGAGGTCTGTGACGTTTAACCTGGCTCCCACACTCACTGTTTTGCTTTCCAGAGTGTTTTCAACTTGACACATTGAAGATACCTTGTTAGTAGTTCCTTCACTAGCAATTATTTTCTAGACCACAGTGTACAGCAGAGCCTCAGCTACAGCTAACATGCCTGAGTTTGCACCATAAAATCTAGTTAATGGAAAACACAATTTAAATGTTAAAAATAGTTTTTTTCCCTAGTTTTTCTCAGGCCCAATCCTCCTGGAGCAAAACTATACCTGCTTAATAAACATTCTTTTCAGATTAGCTTCATAGCAGCCAAACTTTCTGGCAATTTCTGTTTCTCTCTTTCAAATGTCCAAATTGTCTGACTTAAGAAATACCTTTTATTTGTTACTGCCTACACCTGCGCTAAGACTGTACTGTACATGTTTCTAAAATACTTTTTAACAGCACTGTTTCATAGCCAGGCAGGTTTTTAAATGGGTTTATATTGCTTCTTTGTTTTTTCAGGAAGCTTAGATAAACAGTAAACACATTTCTCATTCTTTAATCATACATATACCGTATCTGAGATTCTGGTTCCAGAGATATCAAGGGATATCAATGACAACATATTTCCCAAGGCTTCAATTCCAGCATCAGTCACATTTTCACAGTGGCACAGATATAGGTAGGTCAATTCATGACATCTAAAATAAAGAAACACAAGTGTCAGCTTTCTGCTTTTATTACAGCAATATAGCATAGCAAGTTCATTTTTGTAATAACCCCTGCTAAGTTTCTTTCAGGGGACCTATGAAAATAACACTCTAAAGTTTTTATACCTTTTATAGGCACTTCCAAGAACTCCACTCTTAATGCACAAATGTTTCAAACAAGGCCAGGTTGGATGAAGCCTTGGATGAGATGGTTTAGTGTGAGGTGTCCCTGCCCATGGCAGGGGGGTTGGAACTTGATGATCTTAAGGTCCTTTCCAACCCTAACTATTCTATGATTCTATGATACGATGAACAGCAACAGAATTAAATCAAAATATGGAAATCAAGGAGCTGTTTTTCATAAAAATACTTTAAAAATTAGTTTTATTTTCCCCCATCTCCAAATCTCTAATATCTAGCAAAGGAACTTACAAGCTCAATCCAACAACATAATACAGGACCCCATGGCTGTACCCACACCCTGCTACAGCCATGTAAATAATGGTACGCAGCAAGGAAAAACATTGCCAGGTTCTGCAAATCAGCACTCACTAACTATAGATGGAAAACTGAATTTTACTGTGTATGTGAGCACCATAAACTGTATCTTCCCATAACCAAACCTGAAGACCTAAAGATATGTGACTCCTCAAGTACTATGTCAGAGTCTTAGAGGTAACAATCCATCATTAAAACAGAGAACACATTCCCTGCCTAACCAGCAAACATGCTATGATTATTCACAAGTACTGTAATGAAAACATAAATGGGGCCTACTGAGAGATCTAGAAAGGAGTGAAGTGACTGACTCCAGTCCTCTCTAGAGATTTAAAAATGGTCTTTTGATTGCCAATACCAATGCTCTTTCTGAGGAACTGGAATTGAAGAGGTACAGCAACAGAGAGCTTTTGGTTTTTGCAGACATCAGTATTTTTTGAATTTACAAAATACGACATATACATACTAATCTTTTAATGCAGTTGTGTCATTGTTAAACATCATTTAAGCACTCCCCCCCCCCCCAAATTAAGTCTTATTAGGTTTCCATATTTATATTGATGAATTCCCCTTTATATAATGGATCTTTTTTAAGAGATGCCAAAATGGATTAATCATTTATCTAGTACAATTTTTTATATACAATTGGCTGTATAATTTTATCAATTTATTAACATACTAAGAATTTTAGAAACATTAGAAATATACTGCATATTAGGAATATTAGAAATGTACTGCAATGCTATTGCACTAGAAAAATATTGTACTGGACCATGTTACCTTTGTGCTATTTCTGTGACAGAAGCATCAGTGACATGAATACAATTACTCAAATTCAGCTCTCTTAGCTTAGCTCCTGAAGAACCTTGTACAAACGGCACTACACCTTCATCACTGATGCTAAAAGAGAAATGTAGACAATATTTGTAACATATATTTTTTCTACTTCGTGTAAGTGGATATACAAGCTGCATCCAGCAACCTAAAATGCAGATAAGCAGAACTTAATAACAGTATTCTTTAAACAGCCTTTTGAACCCCCAAAAGAGTCAGAATAATTAATGGCTTGATTAATTGCTCTTTGGAACTGCTGAAAACCAGAACTTACTGAAAAAGAAGTGTATTTGAGATACGAAAAAATATCTCAAATATGAGATTATGAGAACTTCCATTATTTCCAACACTCAGATATGACAGCACTCCAAAAGACAGAGTTTGGAACCTGTTTCATAGTAATATTTGTATTAATATCTTTGTTATTTTAAGGAACTGAATTAATTTAAAGGAAAATATATCCCTAGCACAGAAGCAAAGTCATAGGTAGTGTAAGTGTGCACGTATTAGTTGTTTCATCCACATAAGTGAAGAATTAACCTGAGTTAAACATGCAGTTGCATAACTCGCATATAGCTAACTTGTAATACACACAAGGGTTATAAAAATTAAGTACGTAGGAAATCTGTCAGCCAAGTTGAGAGGGTTAGAGAGCTGATGATAACTTGGGCGTTTCAATTCAGTTCATATCTCTGGTATGTTTAACATTACTGTACGCTTAGCTTCTCAATGCATTCCCGGTATTTCTTCTCTGTTCCCTGATGAACAAAAAATTAATCCCAGAATTCTGTAGGACAGAATCATATTTTGGCTTGCACAGTTTGTTGCAATACAAAGAATCACGGCAAATAATGAAGTCCCAGAAACATATGGGTAAAGAATAGGACTCCTAATAAAATGATAACCTGAACAGAGCCTCACTGTGTGACAACAAGCTACAGATGGCTATAATTCGTAAAGTGTTAATCACTGCATTAATTCAACCACTGTGGTAGTTTTGGCGTTATCTCACAGTGCAGTTGGTTTTCATTTGGGATAAACTTAAGAAATACAGCTCCAGAATAGTTAATTTGGATAAAGTCCCTAAGGAATGCAGAGCCTGGCAATACAGTCAATTATATGTTAAAAAAAAAAAACAAAACAAAAAAAAGAAAGATATTCTGGAACCGTGCTGGGCTTGAGGGCTGAAATAGCCACATTATAACTTTCTAAATAACTGTGCTGTGAATACACATGCTAAGTTTACCCAGTGAAAGGGACCCATTCTGGACAAGTTTGTGAAGAACTGCAGCCCATAGGAAAGCCTTGCATTGGAGAAGTCCATGGAGAACTGCCTCCTGTGGGAGGGACCCCATGCTGGAGCAGAGGAAGAGTGTGAGGAGTCCTCCCCTGAGGAAGAAGGAAGGACAGAGACAATGTGTGATGCAGCGACCACAACCCCCATTCCCTGTTCCTCTGCACTGCTGGTGGGGAGAAGATAGAGAATTTAGGAATAAAATTGAGCCCAGGAAGAAGGGAGGGGTGGGAGGAAGGCATTTTAAGATTTAGTTTTTGTTTCTCATTATCCTACTCTGATTTGATTGGTGAAAAATTAATTTTCACAAGTCACATCTGTTTTGCCCATGACAGTAACTGGTGAGTGATCTCTCCCTGCCCTTACCTCGACCCATGAGCCTTTTGTTGTATTTTCTCTACCCTGTTGAGGAGGGGAGTGATAGGGTGGCTTTGGTGAGCATCTGGCACACCACACAAGTTTAGATGTGTTACAGTCTATAGTTTTGTGAATGCTGAAACTTTCATAAACGTCTGCAAAAGGCATAATAGGAATACAGAGTTTTACAATAGCTTTACAACTACATAAAACGTTTTGTTAAGGTAATTCAGGAATTCTTTAGCAGTAGAGACAGTAGACACATGTGCAAACACACTCACAGCCTAAGATTTGGCTAACAGGCTGGAAAATCCAGCCTTCTAAATGCTAAACCAGAAAATGCAGGCAGCTGTCCCATCTGCCCAGCTGAACAACCACCATGATGTCATGGTATTACTCCAGCACTTCTCAGTGCATCTACATGCAATGATATCAGATTTTTATGCAGGCACAGCACCAACAGGCACAAAAAGTACTTCAGTGACATATTAGAGCAGAATCTAAAACTCCACATGCAGCAGAAATTTAAGACAAGCAGCCATTCTGCTTCTTTGTATTATGTTATAGGTCTGTTGATTTTGAAATGTTTGGAGGTTTTGCCTGCTCTGTTTCTTCCCACCCATGACTCCATCATCATGCCACAGACAAGGAACAAGCATGCAGCTGCCCTATCATTTATCTTTCTTTCTACTGGCACATGACAGAACTGAAGTGGAAGTCTTCACATGAAATACATCCTTCCTCTACAACACAATTTACAATGTTGTCTTGGTAATTGTAAAAAATTGGCAGTTTTGTTTGTATCTTAGTACTTTATCAAGTATCATTTTGATAGTCACAAAATTAAACAATATCTAAATTTTAATAGAGTTGTGGCATTGGAATTGTCTTTCATTATAATTTTCATCTTCATAGCCACATTCCAGCACTAAAATATGATGTGGCTATTAAATAACGTTATGTCTACAGTAAATTTTTTGCTTGACCTGGACTAATGAATGCGTTTTTGAAAACATAATACAGGAAAAAGAACTACCTGTAGATTTTTTTTTTCATCTTAAGATAACATGAATTAATACTCTAATACTTTATTTTTTAAACTGAAAGATGTGTTAACAGGATTTATTATGAGCATAATTTACTAAAATTCCTTTGCAGTCATTTGCAGAAATCTGGATGTGATACAGTACCTTATGCAGTCTGCTACATTCAGTACAAGAATATGCTTCAGTGGTGAAATCATCTTGAGACCAGCATCTGTAATCCTCTGGCAGTCAGCCATATGAATGTGCCTGATGTATGGGCAGCATTTACTCATTAACTTGAAACTTAAATCAGTAATTCGGTTATTCCCTGTTGAAATAGATGAAGATGAAAGTTAGTTACGTATCTGACATACATTAATGGCCTCATTCAAATACTCACTGAAAAATGTATTTCAAATTATCTGGATGAATTTTAGAAATACATTATCTTACTAATTGTGAGGATTATACTAACCTTCAATGCTGACCTTGACCAGTTCACATTCAGCAAGGGCTTTAAAAGTTGTATCAGAAAGATGTGGAGAGTCAAGAAAGACAACAGATGTTATCTGTTGGCATTTTTCAACCACAGCCTTTGAAAAGAAAAAGGTGAAATAAAATATTCATATACCTAAGCTGTCGTGTAACAAAAGATGAGCAAATATTCCACATATAATACCAAATGTTACAATTTCAAACAAATAGTTACAATCCATTTTAACAGTAAATTCAGCAGTATATAAATTATTGAAATTCTCCATATATTTATTAGGTTTGGGAACACAAGGAAAAGAAGTTAAGTAACTGGAGACATGAAGTATGGCAGACACCTTAGACAGTGATCCAGTTAACAATCACTTTTGCAGAAGCCTGAAAATTCTTTTTTGATGGGCAAAATCAGTAGCAGGATGCTGTTGCCATATATTGTGTTTGCTTTAACGCTGAAAAAGCTGGAAAACTCTCATTTATAAACTGGAAGACCATAATTCAGCCATACCTAAGTAGCAAAAGAAGATAACTATAATATTCTGAAAGTGATTGCAAGTGAGCAAGATAAATACATTTTGGTACCAGATTAAAAAAAAATTTCCTCTTAAATTGTATCTGCATAACTTTCTGTAAAGTCAGTTGAGAGGATAACCCAGCTGCAGCACCACAAAATTGTTCAAAGTACAGACTTATTTTCAGTTTCTTACTTGAATACACCTGTCTGTAAGAGTTGGCATTTGGTTGATCAGCAAATTCTGAATCCCAGTGCAGCCACTGGCAATATTTCTGAAGCCATCAACTGAAATCTAAGTAAGAAACAAAAGAGTTATGTCTTAGCAAGCCTACAGTCAACACCATTTATGGGAGTGGCAATGAATGTCATTGTCACATCCTTCTACATTTGTTTTCCCAACTTTATAAGGGAAAATGGCAGATGCTCAAATCAGGTTTGAAGCAAGGCTGGAATGTAGTAAAATATCTTCACTGTTTTTTTCTAGATCCATGGTAAAATGCATGTTAAACTCAGATGTTTTTTTTATTTTCAGGTTGGGGTGGCCTTTCTTTATAAATTGCTTGAAATATTTTTTGTTGCGTGTCTTGGCCTTCCTTCATAAAGGATTGTGGCACTCTTTGCACTTTTTCCCTTGTGCCGGGGAGTGTCAGCACTAGAGGGGAACTGGCTACATGTCTGTCAAATGTGTTCTGAGGCTTGAAGTGTTCATGCAGGTCCCATGTCCAGATAGGCAGAACATGGTGTTGCTCATGACACACACTGGCACCGTTAGCATTGTGGATGCAAATAAGACACAGTCCAATGTCTTTTAAGCTCAGGATAAGTGTAGCATAAATGTTTTATATACAGTGGGTCTGTAACAGACTGCAAAATGACAGAGAGAAAACCCTTCCATCAAAATAGCTATAAGGAGTATTTTACAGGTAATTTTACATGATGATGTAAAACCTATCAACTACACTCTGTCAGCTGCCTATGTTCAAGGTCAGGTCTGATAAGGTAGAGCTGTGTAACCCTGGATCAGGCTCCTCTGCAAACAGCTATATTTTAACAAGGAGCTGAAGGAAAAAGAGCAAAATCTTGGGAGGCAGGAGGGAAGGTTGCAGGAAAGGATTACACAGAAAGGTAACCATCATGTAATCACAAGGAGGTCAGAGCATGTAGAGCCTGTTGGTGCACCCCAGTGTCTAACACCCCCTCCAACTGAGATGTCTGCTGCACAAAAGGACACCATAACTTTGGGAATGTGGTTGATGTGGGTAACACAGATCTCACCTATCAGCATGGATATTTTGAATTTGCCCACCTCAAATGATTGCAGACCAACCAGTATTAGTGTAGGACTGCTATGTCAAAGGCAATCCTCTTTTCAACTGGTAGTGATCGCCAGAAGATAAAACACTGGCATGGAAAGATGGGTCCCAATTCTCATGACAGAATATGAAATTCAGTCGTCCAAATTCTACGGTTTTGTACTCCCTATTGGCATATGTAACATAGGACAATGTTAACTAACTGAAGTTTTCTCAGGCCAAAACCTCCAGTATGTAGAGCAGGGATTAGCTTAAACTGTGAACATCATGCAAGCAGTTGCCAGAGGGAGGTACTGGACATCCTCTGCCGGTCAAGAAGCACTAATTGCTTTAACATGGCATGACTAATTTGTTCAAATAAGAGTTTGCCTAACCCTGCAACAGGCCTCCTCGTTGGCTTTCAAGCAGTGCAGCGACAGAAGACAGCATGTTTCTACAACATGCACCAAGTAGTTTAATATGTTAAAGTGAAACAAATCACTCCCTAGAGTTCAAGAGGTGAATTTCTGGTAACTGAGTCTTGTTCTTGTTCTATATACTACAGAGAGTAAACCATTCCCAAGAGAAGAGAGGGTACGTTACATCATACACTTTGTTGTAATGCATGGTAATAACACTGTTCATTTTAATCTCAACACGATGCCTTTTCAAAAGAAGACTGAGGTTTTCACTCTGCTCAAAAATCAGCCACAGTTTGTTAAGCAGTTCAAGTATGCTTTAGCTGCTGTGACAGTAGTATTCCCCTTTGTAACTGCTGAACAGTTTTGCTATTAAGAAAAAGAGTAACTCTGATCCTAAAGAACAGTCACTCATGCAATATTGAGCTTGTTCAAACTGAAGAAACTTTGTAAGACCCAGTTCAAATTGTAACCAACTGCAGCTTACTCCTATGACTGCTAATCGAAGGAAAGCATGAGGCTTAACAGAGCCTGCTGAGAGCTGCTCTTGGGATTTATTTTTTTTTACCATGAGCACACTGTTAAGAGTACCCATCTAATTTGGTGATCACAGTTACGATATATAATTATAGAAGAGGAACCACAGTTTTGAGGACTTTAAAATCAGGGGAAAATGCTGAATCAAGAAGGTGCTAATAATACTGATGCTATTTTAAAAACAGACTGCAAAAACAGACTGCTTACTCCACTGAGATTAGGAATATAACTGAGGTGTCTATTTTAGACAATTATGAAACCTGGGATCTCTGTATAGCAAAGAGCAAAAAAGACCCCAAGGCAGGTCAGACCTGAAAAAGTCTGATCACCTCTGGGGACCTCTCTCCCTCTCTAATTATTATAGAGATAAATTAAGGTAAGTTTCTAGGTACTGCCTTATGTTAGAGGCCTAAAATTAAGTGAAATACCCATTCTCAAAAGGATAGATGGTAGGTAGCAGGTAATCAGATCAAACTCAACAACATTTCTACTTGACAGAAGTAGAATATCTGTTTCTGGAATTCAGTAATGGTTGCACAACGTTACTGCAGTCTGCAGGACTTTTAATCTCTTTGTCTGGAAAAACACTGTTTGCTTAACATAGCCATCTGATACCACAAATAGCAGCAATTCAGTGTTTTCCTCCGTGCAAGCCAAAACCAATTATACTGAAGCAACTAATAATACCCCTGCACAGATTGTTTCAGATTATTTTTTCACTTGAACTGTTTTTTAACTTAAAGCTGGAAAATGGATTTCAGACATCAGGTTGAGAGAGTTTCAGTGCAAAACGTGCATTCAGATATGATTCAATTCAATTAGTCAATATTTAGATGCTGCTGCAATATCATATGTATTTGTCTTATTTTGCTTTATTCCTAAAACAACAAAATCTTAATCCTGAATTTCTTTTCTAAAGCCCCTATGGATTATCTATGAAATTTCTGTCATTATTGAAGATAAGGTGAATAAATACCACATTTTTTGCACATTTTAGTAAACAAATGCTTTCTCAACTTACTTGGACTTTCAGCGTCCAATAGATAGCCTCAAGACTGAACAACTTGACCCAAGAATCAATGTTAGGATACATATGGAATTTAATTTAATACTACATTAGGTAAAATCCCACTTAAATCTCCTTCTTCAAATCAATCATGAGGCAGGATGTTTTGAAGGTTATTATGAGGCTTTGATCCTATAAAGTTCTGCAAAACAGACTTTTCCTTCATGACTCAGTAAGATTATTTTATAAATGTATTATTTAACAGAATCAGAAGTCAATGAAATGATCATATATAAAATATCATTCTTTGTCTGTGATGAGTTTTCAGTCTAATAGGTAAATGACTGATTTGGGGTTTTTTCTTAACTGTACGCTAGCATACTGCTAGTATACTAATTCTGAAATGAAAGTACATCAAAACAACAAAAGCTTGTTTTGTAGGAGCAAACTAGAGCTGATGATTTGTACCTACAGTTTTAGACAATAAATGTTGTCAAATGATGAAATGCTTCTAAGAATGTCAAAAATAATATAATTTCTTTTTTTATAGTTTCTTAATTCCAAAGAATGGGAACACACAGAATTTTTATTCAGGTTTTGAGTTATTTGCCACATGCACAGTACTGCTTTAAAATTCTTTATTTTTCTCTTTTGAACTGATTGTATTTGTGGAATCTACCCTGGAAGGCAGAGTGCTACGTGAAGCACCGAAGAGATTTTGAAGAAACACTATTCTATGATTCGAGTACTGTCAATGCACTGTGAGTGCAGAGACTTGAAATAGAAAGTTCAGAATTGAGGAAGTGTTCTTGTGGTGCACAAGGAGCAATCTTATTTTTCTGTTCTGTGTTTGTCAAGAATGATAAAACAAATCATGACATCCTTTCAGATGTTTGGCTCCATTACACTGATGGTTTGCCTCCACGTGTTATTTTCCTTCTAATTTTCCACTGTCCAAAACCAAAAAGGATTATGTTAACATACTTCTGAATTAGCATATTTCTAAAAATATAGAATACTGCACATGCGACTTAAAGTGTTCTTCAGTTATGTAAGTTTGTACTCAGGAAATGTAAACAATCAGTCCTCTCCTTCAATAAATAAAGAACATGGCTCACATTTTCTCTCCAAGTGATGGCCCCTCTTTAAGAAAGCCAACAGGATGCTGGGTTGCATTAACAAGGACAACACCAGCAGAGATAAAGTCACTATCCCACTCAGCGCTTGTCACGTCACACCTGGAATACTGTGTTCAGTTTCGTCCCCTCTATGCAAAAAAGACGTGGACAGGCTGGAGAGGGTCCAGACAAGCAACAAAGATGATCCAAGGACTGGGAAGCCTGCTATATGAGGAAAGGTTGAGAGAGGTGGGTTTGCTCAGCCTGGAGAAAAGAAGGCTCAGAGGAGATCTTATCCCCATGTTCTAGCATTGAAAGGGTTGCAACGAAGATGATGGAGATTCCCTTTTAAATGAGGAGTCACATGGAAAAAGCCAGGAGTAATGGGCACAAGTTACTCCAGGGGAGATTTGACTGGACACAAGAGGAAAATTTTTCCCAGTGAGAACAATCAGCCATTGGAATAATCTCCCCAGGGAAGTGGTGGATTCCCTAAGGGTGGACACTTTCAAGATGCAGCTGGACAGGATGCTGGGACATCTAGTCTAGGTCATGCTTTGCCCAGAAAGGTTGAACCAGATGATCTTTGAGGTCCCTTCCAACCTGGCATTCTATGATTCCTTTTTGACGCTGCCAAAATGAGATTTCCCCTAATGAAACCAGAGCAGGAGGAACTCAGATTGTGAAAACTGGTGAAGCCTACATGTTTCCCAATAGCTTCTCTGTCGTACCCACAAACACTGAAGGATATCAAGAAATGAAAGGGTCAAGTTTACTATTCCCAATGGCTTGTGATCTCTTACCCAGCTGTTGTAGATGACAGCAATTGATGGACTGTTCAAATAAATTTGGGGCCAGAATAGTTCCAGCCTGAAAACCAGCTATAAATGTTGGCAACACAAAGATTGCTTTCAAAATCTCCATGTTCCTATTTAACTGAAAATATCCCGCACTGAACTGTTCTAGTTACATAATTACAATCTAAAATGTCAGTAAATGGCATGCAATTGCTTTATAAGCTTCTGCCTTTTCATTTTTTTGTCTAATAGCAGAAAATTCTCCACTTACACCATTCAGTTTCAGAAGCAGGACAAAGAAAACTCGTGCTTTCTAGGTAATTCTCTGATAATATCAGTGGTGTAACAGGACACCTTTTAAGCAGGACACAAGAGAATCTCAGTATTTTCATGAAAATACCTTGAAACTCATTAATGAAAATAGTTACCACTCATGCCATAACAACACAACCTCAATTACTGAAATTTTATGCAAAACCAACATGCCTACAATTCATCCATTTTTATTACCATGTATTAATATAACAGTCAAAGGAAATACTGCCTTGTTTTATGACAACAGACTAGAAAATGTGCGCTTAATGCCCAGTTTTCTGCCTAACTATGTTTTAACAGGCTGTTTAAATGCCCTGGCACCCATGCTGCCACTCGTAGAATCATCAGCATAATCACCTGTTTTACAGGTGGGCTTGCAAAACAGCTGTTCAAATCCCACAGTTGTAATAATGGTAATAGTAGAACCCATGTAATAAAACCCTGTGATGTTAAAATGAAGGGAATAATAAAAAAGGAAACATGAAGTAATGGGAATAATACATATTCTGTCCTATAGTACACTTTTAAGCATAATTTAAATGTTTATACTATCGCTTCACTACATTTTTCTAACTTGAAACATTAGCCTTACAGAAGTTCCCTTTGGCTTAGTTCATCCAATGAAGAAGAGAAAAAAAAAGATAATTCTATCTTATTTAAGTGCTTTCTGCAATAGTGATGCAATTTGATGCTCTTTTTGGTTTTAACTGTTTATTCAAGTGCTCGGTCATAGTCATTAAGAACTGGTCCAGAGTTGTGGGGAAACCCAAAATGGAGGAAGCCATGGAATCCCTCTCAGAGCTCTCAAACACACTGGCGAGAAAAACCACTTTCCTCTGGAAAGGGGAGGATTGTGGTTTTCCTAGTTCAATGGTTATCATTTTTCTCTGACTTCTATTAGATCATGCTTTCTAGAGGCAGATCCTCACAGCTCATGATTGCTCTTCTGAACAAGCAGGAATGTTGCTTTTGGAAAAACTAACCAGCTACTGGCATTTTGAAAAAGAAACTCAGAGGTAGGTAGATCTTACCTGTCCTCTAACCTCAGCCCTCATTTCAAATTTCATGCTGTCACCACACAATAGTGTCAGCATGATTCTCAAGAACAAGAAACACTCACAGTGAAGAGCAGTCAGAACAAGCCTGTTGCCCTATCTGCTTTCATCCTTGGTTCTGAAAAGGTTTTGCTAGATGGAAAGTTAACCCGTTGTATTCTTCGGACTACATATCATCTTTATCATTTCACATGTGTTTTGTGATTTGGAGAAAGAAATATATGTGGGAGTCTTTATTAAAAAAGTGGCAGACTTGTATTGCCTTACAGTTTGGCATTTCATATTGCTTTTGTAGTATTTTTCAAGATACAGTGTATGTTTGAAAGCTTCTAAAATCATACCAGATTGTAAAACCTTGGTTTTCTTTAAAAGTTTAGTTGGAGACAAAAATAGTCCAAAACATTAACTATTTTTAGATTGCAGTTATAAATTCTACTTAAATCAATGTACTAAACCAGTATAAAACAGTTACCAAAGTTCACTTTTTAATTATTTATCTTCTCAGGAAATCAAATGCAAATTCATATTTTTCCAGCGCAGAGTGGCTTTTATTTTTTTCAGATCTTAGTAAAACCTGCGCTTTCAAAGCTCCTGATTTAAAATTCTAACTAATGGCATAAAATTGGTCTATTTATGGCTACAAAAAGCAAGCCTTGTTCTCATTATGCAGTAAGTACTAGCTGTTTATAGATCTGACAGTTTGTTGGAAGTGAGCCAAACCTATAGTGCTATTATTCCTCAGTAAAACTTAAACAGCTGTAGTCATGTAATTCAAAACCCTGGAAGTCTGCTGCAGGGCTTGTTCTGCTTCAGTATACCATGAATGCAGGATGCAGCCAGTCATATAAAGGATACTCTTCTTCACAGAATGAAAGAAAGATGTGACCTACAAACCTGAATGCAACCTGAAAGATCCAAATAGATGAGCTTGTGACAGCCTTTTCCAGTGCTCAGGTACAGTAAACCTTTGTCTGTGAATTTTCTGCAGTGAGCTAAACTCAGATGCTGTAAATTGGGGAAGCTGGTTTGCAAATGAAAAAAAAAAACAACCAACAAAAGCAAACAGAGAGCAAATTATTACAGCGATATCTTGCAGAAACAACATAAAACTGTTAAAGTATTCTGAAAACTACTGTAAAGATATTTGATACGAAATAGGATTATCTGAAGTTTGAAAGTCCCTTTCTTCTGCTGCACTTTTCCCTCTGCTGTATTGCAAATTACTGGAGAATAGTACTATCATACAACATATTTCATCATCTGAAAACAGTATCATTTTAAAGTTATATCAAATAACTGCAAAAGCATACTTTTTAAAATGGGATTTTTGTGTGCATACTTTGAAAGTAACAGACTTTTCGGTGTAAGTTTGCTAGACTGTCTTTGCCATTGATTTTGCAAGCAGTGCCTGCTGGAAATGAAAACCAGAACTCTATCAAAGGGCACTAAAAACATAAAAGTACAATTACAGCTTCTCAAGTCATATAATTATTTAGAAGAGAACTATTAAAAGAACACAATGAATTGAAAGAGGTACAAAAGGGAATTATCCAAAAGAAAATCATCCAATGTTAGGTTTTAACCAGTTCTTTTGGAAAACATTTCTTTGTACTAAATGCTAGTTAAAGAAAATAAACTGTATAAGTGGAAAATGTTAATCAACAGCTTTCTGTAAAAGCAAGAATCTATAGTCTGAACATACTTAAGTTTCCGTCTGCAACTTTGGTTTATAACATACTGAAAACTATTCACTTTCATGAACTACATTTCTAACTGAAGTAAATAACAGTTGCCACGAGCACCACAAATGAAAGCATACCGAAAATCAAAACCTAGAAGTAGGACCTACTGCTCTGGTAGACATTTAGTTGTAGGGATATAGTCATACAGTTCTGCAAGTCAGCAAAAGAAGGCATTTTGAAGAAAAATGGGAACACCCACTGGGGAGCTGACTGCTTAAGGAGTGTCATACATTTTTGGAACTCAGTTTATACTTTCAGTATAGGGTAGGGAAACATGCTAACTTGAACTGAGCACAAGACAGAAAAGAAAAATGAACATGCATCAGAACCAGATATTAGAATATAAAGGAATGTGTTTGTGATGTGGGATTTTTTTAATGGAAACATTTAATTCATATTAAATACAGGAATAAAAATACTCTTCTTCGAGAAGCATAAACCTTTTTACATGTTAGTGACATATTCCACACAAATGAGTGGAACTCAGAGATAGTATACTTCCAAAATTATCTGATAAAATAAACAATAAATTAAGAGACTGGGTTTTATACTCTGCTAGCTCTGAGTCTTTTTAAAGTATATGTTGTTACAAGGCTGCCCAACTTAAGCCTTTCTTACTGCATTTTGAAGACTGGGATCACATCCCTGTTTTGTGTTACAATTACATTCTGCAGGAGTTCTGTCATAATGGTTTTTCAATTTTGGCATTAGCAATATCAGGATCATTGTTTTAAAGCAACCTGACAAAATCACTTTCTGATTTTTATTCCTGATAGACAATATTCATGTCTACCATATGCAAGAGAACTCTTCAAAGGGAAATTGCAGCTGACAATCTTGTGTAATACAGAGGTTAAAATGGTTGTATGGAACACTAGGAGAGAATCAAAAATGACCAAACAGTTTTGAGCACATTCAGCCAACACTTCCTTGTTCCTTGTTCCAGTAGTGGACATCTGATATACAATAGCAAACTTCATGTGCAGTATTATGAGATGCAATACTGCCACCTTTAAGAACTTTCCATAGTTACCTTATTACACAGGACTTGTGGAGAGCTAATGCTTTTGAGATGGCATATGAAATGTTCATGAAATTTGTCTGCTATCAACATTTTCACAGGGCACCAACTTTTTGTACATCCCCATCTCAGAAACAATAAGCTTTGCTTTTTTGTCCAAAAATTAATAAAAACACTGGTATCTTACGGGCTTAAATCAGAAGCATCATGTGTGACCGGGAAAATGTTTTATTAGAGAGGTACAAGTTAACTGCAAAATGTATTTTTTCAGTGGAGAATTTTTTTTTTTGTTTCAAAAATTTTATTGCATTGAAAGCTTTGCCTACACCAGAGAATTCTTTCCTTGGGTACAAGCTATTTACACATCAGCAGAAATGAATGGGTCTGACTTTTGGTGGCAACAGCATGTTCAGGTACCCAGAATAACATAGGCTGATACTACCTATAGAACAGCTGTTCCAAACTTCAACATAAATATAAGGAAATTTAAAAAGACAAAATACCAACCAACACAGATAAAGCACAGATTATGATAAGAATAATATTGATGAAAAAATTAATGGCAAGATTGGACACATTAAAAGGAAAACTTTGCCAAAACAAATGTTAGTAACATGAGGATATATAGACTAAGTAAAATGAAGGTCAAAATGTACCATACAGATGGCAAAGAAAAACATATTTCTGGACTTTGTGGGTGTGCTTTGAAAGGAAGACATCAGTTTTCCTTACAGTAAAGAGAAACAATGTACAGCTATCTTCGAACCTATGTATGTCTTTGTGATGCTGCTACCATGGACCAGCACACCTCTTTTCCTTTATGGCAGCTTTTAATGCAGCAATTCTACCTATCAGGCAGACTTCAAGACTCGTGGAGGGATACACCTAAAACAGTAATGGCAGACCTCTGTAAGAATGTGCATTCTTCACCTTCAGCTCACTGATCTTCCAAATAAGAGCTTGGACTAACTCTTTGTTTTGCAGTTGTCGCACAAGACCTTGGCTCACACAATACACCTACCCACAATCCTCTCTTGCAGAAATAAATTTCTAAGAACATACCTAACTTGCAAACTTCTTGCATCACCACAAAAACTGGACATGCCCAGGAAAATATTGGCTAGCACGTTCTTTTGAAAGTTTCTATAAACCTCTATGAAATATAGAGGGTATTTTTAAATATACCAAAAAAAAGAAGTGCTATCTAAGTCAAATGTATGCGGCATTTTTTTCATTTTGAATAGCAAACAGAATCCTGTAAATCACTCAAAAAGAGTATTTCTACTACAATATGCGTCTAAGTTTCCTGCAAGATTACAACAAACACACTTCCATATTTCTGTTTACTTTTACCTCGGCAATAGTCGTAGCGTTCCATTTGTAATATCTGTACAGGACAGATTTAAATAGAGAAGAGATCTGCAGCCTTCTGATATGACTCTCATCGATTCATCCTGAATGATAATTAAAAATAAAAAATCAAGAATTACATCGAAATTATATTTGTATTGTTATCTTACATTTTTATGCTGAGTAACAAGGGGAAAAAACACGAGTAAGTATCTTTAAATCATCATAAGAATCTCATGATGATTTATGATGACTACCACAGCCATTTTCTTTGGAAGCTTCAAAGTAGAAGACTGAGAGACACATGATGCTACTGTTACTCAACTGAAGTGTGGTAATTTTAACATTCCAGTTCAAGGAGACATGATAAACTACACAGTCCTACAGAACACAGGGGACTTTTCACATGACTGAAGGTTAGCACATTTATATGTTTTGCTGAAACAAGATTCTTGTTAGCTAATCCTGGTATCTAAAACCACTGGTTAATTTTCTCCATGAACTCTGGTACACTTCTCTGACCAGTAGTATCTTTTACAAAAAGCCTTCTGTTTAGTTCTACCCTCTAGGTGGAATATTAGATTTGATTAATTACAAGGCTTCCAATTTTTATTGACCTGCAAAATTGGTACTACCTATATTGTTCTATATATCATTCCATTCTATTCCAATCCATAATGGGAACAAATCTCCTAGTATGAAGAGTGTTTCACAATAAAAGTCAACATAATAGAAAGGCAAAAGGTCAGCACTTATACACAAAAATGTTATAGTTGAGTGTGTATCTCTTGCCATGTCGTGGTCATCTTTCTACTAAAGGATCACCAAGATAGCTGGAAATTCAATACCAATCAGCTTCAAGGAAGAGTTTGTGCTTTGAAGTATATTCCTAAAACAAAGGATTTGAGAGAGGTGACACCAGTAAAAATAGGTATGGAAGAAAACCATAACCTGAAGAGAACAAGTCATAAATGGTGAGAAAGTATTTAGTGAATGGCACAATGGGGAAAACTCTCCATTCCATGTGAAAGCAGCACAACCAGGGGACCATATGAAGTGTCTGAACACAAACACTTGTAACATGGGAATCAACCAGTAAGAATGCACAGGTGCAGAGCAATGCTTCTATTGGGATTCCAGCAATGCAAGGTGTAGTACACATAACTGGAGGGCTGCAATTAGTGTAATGGAATATTTAGGAATGACAGCCCAAGAAGGTGAAGACAAGTTGCAATCTATGCCGTGGAGCATTGCATTGGAGGGTGTCAAGTCAGTTGACATCTAATTTGTAAGGATTAGAGGTTAGACCTATGAGGATTACATTGTGGTAGGTATCTATTTACAGACTGTTTGACCAAGAAAAGAAAGTAGATGAAACCTTTGAGCAGCTGAAGGAAACCTTACAACTGCCTATCCTGGTTACTCATGAGAGACTTTAACCACTCTGATTATCTGCTGGAAGAACAATATTGTTAGGCACAAACAATCCAGGAGACTTTTAGAGTGTCTTGAAGACAATCTCTTGATCCAGGTGACTGACAAGTAGTCTAGGGAACATGTTCTTCTGGGCTTGTTTCACAACAAGGAATATCTGTTCAGGGATATGAAGAAATAGAGTGGTTTTGGTTACTGCAACCATGGAAATGAGAACTTTTTAAAATCCTGAGAGTAGAAAATTGGACAAATTGTAGAAGAACAAGCATATTTTAGCTTGTTTAGGGATCTGCTTAACAGGATCTCATGGTAGACAACCCTGGAAGGCAAAAGGGTCCAGGACAGCTTGTTGATCTTCAAGGCCAAGGTACTGAATGACTTTTTTTGCCTCAGATTTTATTACTAAGGCTGCCCTGCAGGAGCCTACTAGCATTATCTGTGGAAGTGAAGCAATACTATGATAGAAGAAGGTAATGTCAGGGAGCACTTGAGGAAATGGGATGAGAAAGGATGCATCAAAGAGTACTGAGTTGGCTCCAGTCACTGAGAGGCCTTGCTTGTTTTTGAAAGGTCATAATGAACAGACAAGATTCCTTGTGACTGGAAGATAGGAAATGACACACCAATTTACAGGAAATAGAAGAAGGAGGATCCAGGAAATTACAGGCCAGTCAGCCTCACCTAAGTCCTTAGGAAGGTTATGTATCAAATCCTTCTTGAAGCCCTGTCCAAGGAAGATGAAAAAGTAATAGTGAAGAGCCAGCAAGGATTTATGAAGGGTAAAGCATTCCTCACTAATGTGATAGTTTTCTATGATGAAATTACTGGATCTATGGAGAAAATGCAGCTGTTGAGTCTTGAATTCAGCAAATTAAATAAAGGCTGGATCAGTGGACTTCAAGGTGAGTGAAATTTGTCTGGATTGCCAGGCCTAAGGGCTGTCACTAGTGGTGCTAGAGTCCCATTGGTGGCTTGTAGCAACTGGCATCCCTCAAGGGTCAATATGGGGGCCAATACTATTAAATGTCTTTATAAATATTTTGGATGATAGGAAACGAGTATATTCTCAGCAAATTCACAAATTATTCCAATCTGGGGGAAGAGTCAATGCACTGGAGACTAAAACTGCTATTCAGAGAGATTTAGTCTGGAAAAATGGGCTAATGGAAACCTCATGAAGTTCAACAAAGGCAAATGCAGAAGTCCTGCATCTGGGTTAGAATAACCCTGTGCATCAGTAGTCTAGACACTGGTCAGAAAGCAGCTATCAAACACACTGACCTGAAAGTGCTGGTCAGTAATCATTTCAGTGTATGTCAACTGTGTGTCCTTTCAAGAAAGGACCAACTGCATACTAGGCTGTATTGGCAAGAATGAAACCAGCAAGTCCCTACCATCCCACGAACGAGGCCCTGACACCACCTAGGGATGTGCTTGCTGGTACATATCAAATGTATATGAGCAAGCAAACAGAATAGACAGTTATGAAAGTGTTTGAGTCTTTACAAAGCCCTGGCCCACTTTAACTTATTGTCTTCTTTCAGGAGCAACAGAATCAAGGATCAAAAAAATCATTGAGAAGCGTACAACCTCTGAATATTACACTGTAATTATAATATTATATAGCAGAGTCAAACATCATTTTTCCATCAGAGAAAGGTAATTGAAAAACATTAAAGAAAATTAATGGAAGTGCAATAAAACTGAAAATGCTAAAGGAAAAAGAACAGACAACTATATAGTGATGATGGTGATTGCATACTTAGATACCTTTCAAATAAAGGCTCTCACAAATATCTAAAAATATAGTGAGAATTTTTTAGAGCCTATGTGTATTACTGAGTGAAGGAATAAAGGAACCCGAAAACAATATAGGATTGAAATGTATAGTTGTTGCCAACTCCAAACTTAAAACACAAAAAAACCCCCACCCCAGACTGGTAAAGTTTTGGAGCATGTTTATTAAAATTAATTGAGATTGAATATATCAATTTGTATTAGAACTGTAGAAAACAAATGAGAACTTCACTGAGTATCTCTGAATCCTACTGAATTCCATTTTCAAAGTACTTGAGAACACAACTCTCTACTTTCTATCAGGAAGATATGTGTGTCCAAATAAACACAGCTCTTTAGAAATCCTCCTTCTCATTAGAAATTAGAGTTCATGAGAAAGGTCTGAAGTACTTACATTTAATCCCTGGCATTCAGAGAGATTTAAGCCTTGCAAATTCTTACATGCACCTAAAAATAATAAAAAAGTGAATAATAAGAGTGAACAGTTCAAATTCTCAGTGTACAACACAAACATAAGAATTCATACTACAGATTCAGTCCATCAAGGCCTCCCTTAAACCACAACCACAGCAGATTACTGAGAAGCACCAAAAAAACCCCAAAAGCAGAATATAAGGTTGGAGAAAGCTGTCCTGAGGAAATGTCTATTCTTACACTCCATCAATGAATGGCACACTCAGGAGCCAAGCTGTTTTCAGTCTTATGTTACCAAAGGACCAGAAAGCTACCTGATTAAGCAATCTGATGTTAGGAAATGCCAGAGTTGAGTTTTCCATATAGGTTTATGAGGTGGTGCCATTAGACCAATTGTAGGAAAAGCCCTGCTCATCTTCTGCAGGTATTGAATTTCAGAGAATTTAACTGCCTGAGACAGTCTCTTCTCTGTGCATATAATCATTATTTTTAGAAACTCTTATTTTGCAGAGACTGCTGCAATTCTAACAAAATAATGAAAGATAGATGCCTGACACTAGAAAAAACACACATCCTTTCAGCCACTCTTCTGCCAAATTTTGAGTCTATTCTCCAAGTAAAAGATGCAAAAACCCTTATTAAACATAGTAATACCTTTTGCCTTAATCTAATCTTCAAAATAACTGATCTGTTTAAACTGAAATGATCAAAATAGGCCTGATATACAGATGCCTGATATGGAAAATGCTATATGAAAGGTTTATACAGTGAAAATAAATATATTTTAAAAATATTTAAAAACACATTTTCATATGGTAAGAAAAATTACATGTTTTCAACTGCAATAAGCATTAGTACAACAATAGATCTGTATGATGTTTTCTACAGGGACTGTGGCTTCACTGATATCCTGTAACTCTGTCTAACTCAGTGCCTTTTTGAGGAGTAGGACAATACTGAGAGGGACTGCGCATCTGAAAAGAACCTAACCAATCAAAATCATCCTTAAGGCTGCTAAGCCACAGAAATTACATAGCTCTTACATGTTTTTTTTTTGCCCCAGAACTAGAAAAGACAGTTATAATTTTACATGTGAATGCGTACATGCTACTAAAAGCAGTTGCTAATTTTGGTATTATAGCTGAATATATTTTAGTTAGCAGGCAGAAATGTAATACTAGTAAAACAATCCGGACTCAGGAGATGGAAAGGAAGAGGAAGGAATTTTCCTATAATTTTTTATTACCTTTCCTACCCCAAGTTCTTTTTCTATTTCCTAGCTCTGCTGGATAGAATGAGCTATCACATTACCAGAACAATTAACAGTTCAAAACAACACAGAGGATCCCAGTTAAGATTCAAGTTATTAAAACACATAATCAATTTACACTGACTAGCATATAGCTGCCAAAAAGTTACATATAAAATGCAATTTTTCATGTAAGGGATAAAGTTGTTTATGCAAACACTCATTCGCACTGACATTCAAACCAACAGAGACTGAATGAAGATAGACAGCTGGTAACAACAGGAACAAAATGGAGAAACCAATCAATGAGTTTTCAAAGGTAATAATGGGAACCAGCCACTTGGATTAGAGGGATGCAGCAACAGGTGTAGACAAGACTGCTCCATTTGTCTAATAACTGCACAAATACCAAGAACTCTCTATAGCTGAGATATGGTTTAAATTTATCTACCAATTTCTTTTAAAATTAAAAATCTCTTTGCTTTCAAAAGTATTTTACCTGATATTAGTTCGTTTACTGTGCCACCTTTCCTCCAGACAAAAACCAAGTTTTTTGAGCCCAGATCAACAGTGTTTAGAAACAGTACATCTGTGCAATGATCTGCACTCAAGATCAATACCTTGCCAGGTGCAAAGGTCCACAATCATAGAGAAAAATTAACTAAGTAGTTACTCCAAACAGTATGATGTTCTCATTGAAGAATGAGAAAAAAGTTTCAGAAGGGATGATACTGATTAGCAAAAGAAATTTGTGAGTTTGAAAATAGTTAGAAAATACAGCAAGCTGAGGGGTTAAAATGATTTTAAGGAAAGATGACCTTATGGCCAAACTTCACTGAAGATGAAGGAAAATGGCAATACACAGGAGTACTATGGGAAATTCAGGAGGGAACACAGGCTGAAAAATTACTAAAAATACTGAGGCATTTTAGACTCGATTGTGGGCAGCAGTCCTTTTCTTCCCCTAATAATAATTCCTCAAGACTGTGTTTAGCTTTCGTAGAAAGCTGGAAGCTCCTGGCTTACCACTCTGTACTGTTCCTCCTTAGGTGGACAGACCTGCAACTGGTTTAAAGCACACCATGGCCATGACCACCAAGTTCTCTTCTGCACTCTGCCTACACTCAGATGACATATAACCTGATAAGCTCTTCTTGTGGTCTTTCTGAGACAACTTTCTCTACCTGACATGGGCCATAAGAGACATTTGGTAGTAAGCAGGGCTAGTAAATTTGTATGGTAAATACATAAATGGTAAATTTGGGCTCAACCTGAAAACGAGACTGCATTTGAGCATAGTCTATAACTGAGAAGTTGATAGGCACTAGATGTGTTCCAGTGGGTCGACATTCAGAAAGCTGGAAAGTATCAGCTTCAAGGTCCTCTTTCAAGCTCATTTTCCAAGATGAACTTAAATACAAAGAAGATTCAGCCTGATGTTATTTTCCTGAATACATGAGAACCTTTTAATAAAGATCAGTTAGAAATGGGTCCATATAGTTTCCCATGTTTAATAAAAATGAATAACAATAAACTAGAGACAGTAAAAAACAGCAACACAAAAAAAAAAAAAAAGAGATAGGACATTAAATGTTCAAAGTATTTGTGAAGCTCCAAGTAGTGTGATGATTATTTGACCGAATACTGTATATTATGTTCAAGCCTCTACGAAAATGCCTGTTTCATCTGGTGTAATGTTTTACTTCTCTTCCAGCACAGGGATCCCACATACTCCAGCTGTGTCTCCTCAGATCTGTACAACACTGATTAAGATTATCCAAAAATTTCAACCGTTACAGCTGTCACAGAAAATAGCTGGGGCCAGCTGAATGTCAGGATGCAAGTAGTTACTATTATACTACTACTACTTCTTTGTAAAGCATCTGACAGTAGGAAGACAAGGATTAGGAGTTTGAGAAACAATGAAAGGGAAAACATCTTACGGAGAGCATCTAGCACTGTTAAGCGCAATGCCCAAGGCCTACCGTGTGATATATACACTTATCTTCATGAGAAATACCTAGATTGTCAGGAAAGAAAATTGATTTTTGTGGCACCTGATTGGCCAGAGGATTTAAAACACATGCTGCTAGCAAGAAACAGGATTCGTAAACTGAAGAACAACATGTTTTCCAAGTACAAAGCACTGAAAAGTCTGGATTTACAACAGAATGATATATCAAAAATTGAGAGCGAGGCTTTTTTCGGTTTGGATAAACTCACCACACTCTTACTTCAGCATAACCAAATTAAGAGTTTATCTGAGGAGATTTTTGTTTATACACCCAGTCTAAACTACCTACGTCTTTATGATAATCCCTGGCATTGCAACTGTGAACTAGAAGCTCTTGTTACAATGCTGCAGGTTCCAGCAAACAGGAATTTGGGAAATTATGCCAAGTGTGTGCATCCAATAGGACTGAAAAATCAAAAGCTAAAGCAGATAAGAGCTGAACAGCTATGTAGTGAAGAAACCAGGCAGGACCCCCAAAATATAAAACGGGAAAAGCCTGAAGCTGCCAAACCAGAATTTGATTCCGCTTCATGCCACATGTATGTGTTTCCTGTACCAACTCTCAACTGCAGAAGAAAAGGTTTGTATCTGTCTTTATAACTGAAATAATGATTTTAATATTCTTTAATATTCTTGCTCCTTTACTACATTTATTCACATACTATTTACAGCAAATTAATATAGAACTAGTACCCACATTACTTTAAGTACTTCTGTTGTTTTTTTCTCATAACTACAGTCAACAAGTAGGAGTTCTTTCTGCATGCTACCTCTACTCTGCCACCCTGACTCCACAGATATCCTTTAGTGCTCTGGTATAAGACATCAAACAAAAGTCAACAGGAATAAAATTAAGAACACACTTACTGAAGGACCAGCACCTCACAAGTTACCAGTACCTCATAAGTCTGATTTTACAACTATAAACATACTAATTAAATTACAGCTGTGCTGAAATTATTGCACAGATAGAGAAAAGCAGTGTCTTTTCTTCTTTCCAGTGTACAAACCCAAACAACTTTGACAGAAGTGATCTGTGAAACAGGACTGGAGCAGCCAGCTGTTCTTACAGTGCCAAAAGGAACCTGGCTGCAAAGGAGAGCTATTGCATCCTCACATTTTCTGTGCAAGATTTCTTCTACTAAGGGAAGAAATTGTATGATTTTGTTCATAAAGAAATACTTCCCCTATGTGCTTCTTCCCAGCACCCAGCAAACATTTCAAAATTGAAGTGCCTTCAAGAAATGTTTTTCAAACACTCGGATCCATTCCATTTCTAAATCCTTCTCAGGCTCTTAAAAGCCACAGTTAAGCCTTCAGGGTAGACCAGATGGGGCACAACTCAACAAAAAAGTGTACATTTATTCATCTTTTATTTCCCACACTTTATCCCATGATAAAACAAAGCAAACAATCAAATATTGAGAAAAGACTCATTCTTTAACATTACAAATCTGAAATAAAAAGCATTACTAGAAGTAGCCAAAACTGGGAGTTTTTTTTCCCAAGTTTTGCAAAGCATAGTCTGCAATACCGAATCACTGCACTATGGTTTGCCCACTTGTATCTTGTGTTGTGTTTGCTAAACTTCTGTTTGCTTGAACAGTGACTTCAATTTCTGTAACTACTCTGTGCACCCTTACTCTTGGGCCTTAATGCCAGCGCCAAGCACAGAAATCAGTATAAGGTGACAATACCTAAATATAAAGATTTAACAATTTCAGTATTTGATTTCATGGTTTATCTACTACGTATGGCATAAAAAATGGT